GTAATTTATTGTTCCGGGCAATTTTATCTCTGTCCGTGGTACGTACATACGATTAATAGTTAGCCGGTTAATTTATCGCCGAAGCCTATATCATCGACGACGGTGATGGAAACATATCGATTCAGGATATCATAGGAAATCCCATTGATTTGCCTTAGCGAGTCCACCTATTCCAGCTTCCAGAAACCCTGGAATCGTTGCATCTGTATCTGCATCTACATACATATAAAGTACATGTATACATATTATGTCCGTATGTATATCTCATCGCGTAAAGATATTCGCGGTCGCAGCAACGTTCTCCATATAGCGTCGAATGTAAAATTCCGAGAAGCACAACGATAGATAAAAATAGATAAAAGCGATGGTATCGGTGGCCTGTTGCTGGCTTTCTGGGAACGGTTTCGTCAATTCGGGTCAACGGTGCACCGGTGCGCCTCGTTATGTCTAAAAGGGGTTTCATGTAGTTCGAAGAAGGAAACGGAGTTTGGTTAACGAGTTGCTGAACAGTACGGTCTCAGCTTTGTCTCAGTGTCGATCCTTTTAATAGAAGCTTGTGTTCGTGATTCGATCTTCAATCGAGATGCGACAAATGCAAGATATATGTATACATTGAACAAGTAAAAAAGTTTATACGTGGCAGCCTGCACAGAACAGAATCTCTTAAGATTCTCTCTGCTATCAGAAGGTACAAGGTACAATATGTATTTACAGTCTGTTACTCCTGTTAATTCAATCAATCCCGTACAGTTATTACAGTTCCATACGGTATAAGTCACAAATTACTCACGGTGTCCATCTTTCACACGTTTACCATCTACACAACATACATACACACACACGCACACACATGCGACAACTGTTTTTATCGTTTCCGAACGGTCATGTAGTATTAATATTCTCGATGTAAAATTTCTGAATGAAAAAGTCACGTTCGACCGTGAAACGCGATCATGTTCGATACCATTCGGGTAATAAGTACGGTTCGCGTTTTTCGAATGCTGTTTACGAAGCGCTTAGCCAACCAGAAAAGTCGCTTTTCGCTGCATTTCGCTTTGATTAAGTAAGTCCGATATCTTGCGCAACGCCGTCGAAAGAAAAAGGAAGGAGAAACAGACGAAACGGTTGCGTTACATCGTCTCGTCTCGTCACGAGAAGATAACGACGCGTGCAGAAATGAAAAAACGAAGCACGAAGCACGAAGTATTAGCACGTAGAATCGGCGGCATTGCGTGTGCACGACTGTTTTTGCAAAAGTTGCGAAATTTTGCAATCTCTGCAAATCGCGGGAGCGCGAATGCGAGCGCACACGCGTAAGCCGTAAGCGAAAGCAAAAACCGATCGACCACGTTCTGTTCCTGTTCCATACCGTGCAAGCGCCCTCGAATCGAATGCAGAAATCGATGTTACGGATATCGTGCGACTTTTATACGCTTCCCGGGTGTCGGGATAGCATTTTTTTGTCCTTTCGAAACAGGCTGAAGTTATTTCTTAATCCGCCGCCACTGGTGGAACCAGTAGTGAATCAAGCCTATATTTCGATCGACGCGTGAACTGCATTTTTCAAATTACCGTGTGCTCCTTTCCAAATATGTTTCATCGTTATCATTTCGCAAAGATACGTGTTCTCATATACCTCTACTCTATCTAACCCGCTTAACTTCTCCAACCCGACGATCGTACATACAATGTACATCTATGTACATGTGCACTGTACACAACCTTACTTATTAAGATCTATGGTAGAAAATGCTCAGCCATAGATCTCGCTGGAAACGTTAAATTTTTATAATCTATACATATCATTCTGTATCTATTCTGAAGATACCGAAATCCAGAATTATATAAATATTTAATTACATATCCATATATGCAGCTATATGTATATCCCAGTTGATTAAATCTATAAGAAAGTGGATATGTATACGATTGAATTTAATTATATGTATACATACTTAATGATACAAGAGGCTTGCAAGTCTCAGAGAAGTTTCATCGAAGATAGCAATGTATTTGTGGATGTAAGCTCGCGTAACAAAAGAAAAGCATTCAATCGACGTCAAACGTCCCTTATCCACGGAGAAAACTACGATTTTGATTCTAAACTACGAGAAAAGTAAGTGCGCAGTACTTGTCGAATAAGGTTAGCCGGAATGTAAAAGCAAGGGGTAGAGGAAAGTGGAGCACAAGGAAATTGGAGGGAGTGCATCCATAGGGATTATGAGTAAGAACGTGACAAAGAAAAAATATTGCAGAATAAGCGGGAAAAGCGACAAAGTGGAGTACGACAGGGGAAAGGGAGCACAAGAAACGCAGGTGCTGAGAAAGGGAGAAAGAAAAGAAAAAGAAAATAGAAAGAAGGGATGGGAATGTAAAAGAAGCGTGTGGCGCGAGAAGGGTATCTAGTTTTGACTTCGTAGTAGGCCTCGATCGATGTTGTTACCATGACTACGGGGGCAGTACCGCGGTGCTCCACTGCTGATTATTTATGTCAAGGATCCCCTCCTGCCACGAAGCTCGAGACGCGAACTCAAACGCAAACCATCCCGACGAGGGAGTTTTTCGAGAAGTTTACCAGCATTTCGTTCTCTGTGTCGCAGTTTTCAAACAATTTGTTCACGTAATAAAAGTACCAATACTTTGTATACCACTCGCGGACGGAACTATAGAAACCGGATTTAATTCCAATTCAACCTTAAACTTCTTCCCTTCTTCCCTTCTTCCCCAAATGGTAATCTGATCGGTGAGACAACAGATTTTAATGTTTGCATGAGATGGGCGAAGCAATGGGATCGAACGCGACCCAATTCCGCAAGCTTTTTACGCACCGCGGTAGCGTTAAATGGCCGAGAATCTATCTGCACCGAGCAACATGATGTAAAATTCAGCCCACAGTGCAGAACGAGCCTTCCTTGAACACACTGCCGATCACGGGGAAACCAATAAAAGTTAATCTTGCGGTTTAAATGGTTTCATGAGCTTTTTTTCTTGAACGAAAGCACTCAATCGTTACCGGAGCCACGACGTTTCATGTGTACCCCCAAAGTGGCGTTTTTCAATTATGAAATAACGCTTTTCGAGAAGTTTCCCGATACTACGAGCGGTTCCCGTAACACGTAATCACAATATCTATGTATAATAAAATGGGTTCTAAAGTACATGCTGTTATTTCAAAAGAAATTCGGCTAGAAAAAAGATTAATTTAAAGGATTGTCAGAATCCTGAATGAGAATTAAGACGATTTATATACCCCGTACATGCATATCTCTGTCGATTCATTTGGTCCAGCTCCCGAAACATAAGTACTGTGTAGCTTCCAGTTGATTCTACGGCTGTACTACAGGGTGATTCTCTCGCTAAAGGTCCCAAAGAAGGTTCCCGCCGAGATGCTCCGGTGCTCTTTTCCGAACGAGCAGGATGGAACGAGAACCCGTGGAGGACGCTTTCGACCCAGTTTCACCCGATTCACCCTCGCTTGGCGATGGCACCAGCACGAGAAATCGATACTGCGCCTAAGGGCCACGGTGCTGTGCTCTATCAGTACGAAAATTATCACTCTAGTCTGCGCAGAAGCGATAATTAGAACCCTGCAGAATGACATCACTTTCCTTCTCCCTTGCACAATCTTTGAAATTTTCCTCCTTTATTCGTTATTTCGAAATTGTGAGGTTGTGATTTTAACAAGTTTCTATTCGCGAAAATAGTCGAATTTTTATGAAATATAACGTTCGTTAAACATATCAGATTTTCATGACAATTTAAATTTTCGAATTACATATGTACATACTTTGTAGTCGATAAGCAAGAGACTTTCAACCTGGCAGTCTACGTCCACAGCACTGATGGTGATCTCCCACAAGGGTGAATTCGTTCATCTGTGGGACAATAAAATATTGACGATCATTTGAAGGTTATTCAAAAGAATAAATAATGGTGGAAACTTTGTGAAATACATACTTATGTACACATCATAGAATAATATATAACACATTTCGGAAAGTATAATGCAAACTTCTTATGCTTCACATTTCAATTGTTATCGTACTGAAACATAAATTGTGTAAATTTATCGTGTACTTATTATTTATAGTTGGCGAATGTAGTCGTTCATTTGGATATATGTACATAAAAGCATTGAGTTACAACGTTTGAGTCACGCGAAAAAATCAGAACACTGACACTGCTTGGAAAAAGACCGACGATCAATAATATGTATAACGAATTGTTCAGAGACTCGACTCACAGGCACATAAATAGGATCGGTGCAGCCTTTTAATGGAGTATAGTCTGCAGAATACTCAATAGGCATCAAATAGACGAAGTAATGTGCATATTTTTTATTCGAGACCGAAATAAAACAGAAAGTAACAATTTCTTTTAAAAACGATATAATTGTTTATAGTTTCCTTTTTAGTACTACCAAAAATATTTTCTTCGTATTTGTATTATTTATTCGGTGTTATTAAAATGCATGTCAATATAGATTTACAAATCTACACTTTGTTATTTAAAAAAAAATTATAGTCTAGCATTGGAAAGTTTAATTTTACACATATTTCCAATCCGTATTAACGGTTTGGTTATCTGATACATTTGTTTCTAGTGTCAACCGGAAATAAAGATCAGGGAATCAGGACTGTTTGAAGCTACTCTTGTATCTATATCTGCAACATAAATTGTGCGTAATGGGACAGTTACTCGTTATCGAGAATGTGCAATATTGATAATACACAGTGGGCGGATGAGGTCATATACACAGCAAATGTAATAGGATATGGCGCAGTCTTTTTACTACTCTAAAATTTGAGAGATTAGGAAAATTAACTTACCATAAATCGAAAAATGCATTTCCTTCATCCGTTCCGTAAAGGATAAAAGAAAATATAGTGACGCATAGTTTTTAATAATTACACGGAACAGACCATTCTTACAACACAACACAACACAACACAACACAACACAACACAACACAACACACGTCCACATTCCCTCAAATTAAGATACTTAATTGGTTTTATTCTATAGACTATAGACGTACATCAGGAGTTTCGCTACAGTCAACACCTTCTCGCTACCTCAACACATTTTGTTTAAATCATAATTTACGCAGTTTACTATCAAACTAATGTAATAATTAACGATTACCTCTTTTTAATATTTACACGTATTTCATTAATCGATCATATATATAATACAACTTGCATTCTTTGCTGTCAGCAATTGCTAATAATTAATATCTTGACGTGTACAACCAACTCACTCCTTTTCAACTTCCCTCCCTTTGAATCTTCCTTTCCGAGTTAATCGTATTCGAAGCTAATTACGAATAACGTAGTATAGGACCACCGCAAAGAACAACCAGAAGAATATCCCCTCGTAGTTACTCGAGATCGTTTACGAGTCACGCGTCAAAAACCCTCTAAACCAGCCAGACTCTCGAATAGAAACAGTCATAATGTCGGCTACGAACTTTGTCGTTATACGTATGCTTGTTTGTGCACCCTTTACATAAAATAATTATTTAATATCCCTATCCGTTCAACCTGGGGACAAGAAGATAACCATCGAGAGACAGAGGAGACCGTAGTTTGTCGTTTTATCGTCGAGTTACGTCAAGAATGACCTACGAAATCCGTTATGTATAATATTATAAACGTCACAGGGCGAGTGATGCGGTGATACACCACCGCCGACACAGGAAGCGAACGTAATTGTTTCTTATGACTCGTACGTACGATATAACAATCGATGATTTGTTTTTATACGCCATGGTTTTGTCGAACTTTTGCATCACCGATCGTACGTACCAGTATTCTGCATGTAGTCTAAGCTCGATGATTTTATCATACCGAACAGTAAGTACACTATTGTGTACGGAATTTTATGCGAAAATCTTGATCAAATTAGGATATCGATAATCATCTGTTCTTAAATGCTAAAGTCTCCAGAAAACAGATGGTTACGAAATTAAAGCTGTGTATGTATAAATTAAAACGTAGGGAATCGTCGTGGTGGCCATTTTTAAGAGGACATGGCTGTTAATTTTTCTCTTTCGTTTCTATCTACAGCCGCCACGTGATCAGGCTTTTCACCTCGCGCGTAACGGTCCCACATTTTTTTGTATAACATTTCCATGCCTATCGCGTACAATTTGCAATTGAAAAGGGGACTCTCGGATCTAGCTTTCCATACCTTAGCTCTCGTCGCTTTTAAGCTAAAAACGAAACAGAAAAAAATTAACGAAATATTTACTAATAAAGCACAGTCGAATCATTCCCTTTCTTTCGACCAATTATTATACGAGTACGATTTACTTACTATTCTCTGTCGGTGCCTAAACGAACAGCAATATCCTGGTATTCTTGTCTTGTTCGTGCTACTAAATCGGGACATCCCAAGGTATTCAACTGACTAGCAGCAACACGTGACGCTAATGTCTCGCCTGGCAGTGTAACCACCGGAGTTCCAGTCCACAAAACATCCATACTTGTAGTATGACCATTACAAAGCGGCGTGTCTAGGCATACGTCGGCCAATTGCCCCCGCCTGACGTGTTCTTCTTTAGCCGCGACATTACTGAACAAAATCCTACCGGGTGTCAAACCTAATTGTTGAGCTGTTGCTTGCAAGTTTGGCTCGCCAACGGCTGGGAAACGAAGCAGCCACAGAACTGAGTTTGGCACATGTTTCAAAATCTGGAAGAAAAAACCGGAAACTAATGTTGAAACATTTAAAAAACCACTTGCAATTTGATTTTCCCCCTAATTATCAGATAAGTAAATTTAAGGACTAATGGTAATCACGCGAACAATTGTTAGCCGATAGAAGACACGTAAAGGCGAGCACAAACACGCGCACGCAGCCAAAATCCCGTGTAATTCGAGCCTTCCTTTCGCGTCAACCCATTAAAATCGACCCTTTCGAGAGTGTTGGTGTTGTTAGTGTTCTGCGATGTGCGCGCGCGTGTGCCGCGTCAGCCATCGCGACGCCCTCTAGAATCCACACGTATTTTAGAATTATCTATTATATGTGTATAAAGCCAGCGAACTTACATGTGCCCACATGTGAAGCGTGAGCGGATCAATTTTATACAACTGATTGAAGTTGCAGTAAACAACCGCGTCTTCTGGTAAACCGTATTGTTGTCTCGTCGTGATCACGATGTTTTGAGGCACTTCTTCACCCGTAGCCGTCTTGTTGTTCACTTGCGTAGTTGCCATTCCGTTTTGAACTACAACACCATTAACAGACATCTGACACTGGCCGGAAGCGATCATCGTCTCAATCGGAGTAGTGGTTGGCAGTTCCGCAACTTTCAACGAGATTTCAACGGGTTTGTTTTTGGCATCGGGTACGACTACTTCGCGGATTTCTTTAACCAAAGTGTTCTCGATCATTGGAGACAGATCAGTAGCATTTATCACGGCTACGTTGTCTGCTAGTTTGCCTTTCATGTTCAATTTATCGGTTAAAATAAGCCGTTCTTTGAGATGAGGGAACATTTGCCTGTAACAGAGTAAGAATATCACTATAAGCACAGTAAAATAATTAATCAAATAAAGCGCACGGTATAGAGAATATCACATGATTTCGAGAATAAGTACATAAATATAACCGTAACAACCTACCCAGACCTAGCTAAGATTTTAAAATGAAGATTAATCGAATATGCAATCGATATGATATTTCGTTTTTGTTTTTGCTGTAACACTTCTCACCGAGTCATGTTTAAACATTTCGACACCGTTTAGTCATGAAATTTTAGAAAAACTAATTATACTTGGAAAAGACTTACTTGTGGTCTCCAATGAAATACGTGTGCGGCATGTATGCAAGTTTCTCACTGTACTGACTAGCAAGTTCCAACGGTGAAGTAACTTCGTCCGTAATTAAGTAATCCATGAAACTCGCTCCCGACGTTCCCGGGTATCCAAGCCACATTACCTGAATCGGTGCCGGTCGTAGAGCAAATATCTCGTTTCTGGCACCTTTTGTGTATCCGTTCATATTCACTAGAATATGTATACCATCCGCATTAATACGGTCAGCGGCCTTCCCATTGCATGGAATTTGCGAAAGGTCGATAAAGTGTTCGGCTTCTCGTGCAATCTTTGCTCGAAACGTCGTTCCATCATCGGAGCTCAGGGCATAGCAGAATATTTCGACGTTCTGTCGCTCATGAAGTCCAGGAACCGATTGCATGAGATGACTGGTTGGATGATTTCCGAAGTCCGATGAAACGTAGCCAACCTTCAGCCGGGCGGTGACATCGCGTGGATATTTGTACGGTTGCTTGTGCAAAACGTGAATCTATAATAGTCATAGGAAATTATTGGGAACTTGGAGAATAAACACGATTGCGCAATTTTATAAATAAAACGCCCGAACAGCCAGATGTTCGGAGAATACATTGCGATCTTATATCTGCCTTCCATTGTAGCTATTTATTTACACATTAATATTCACAATGTGTGTAACATTCGTGACTGTATAAAAAAACAAAATATTATATATACTAACCTTTTCAATGCAGAGATTAGCGTGCCTAGCAGCGATGGCTTTCCTAAATTCATGCGAGAGAGGATAGAGCATGGAATGATGTGGGTGCACGCTGGGCAATCTGTTCTTGTCCAGTTGCTCTGCAACAATGGAGACCAGTTTCTTCATTCTAGCTTCGTAATCGGTCCAATCGCACACTATCTGCAGACAGTGTGCCAAATTGCAATACGCATCCGGAAAGTCGGGTTTCAATTTCAGAGCAGTTCTGTACGATTGAATTGCCTCAGGAATGTTCCCTGAATCTTTATGGATTGAGGCTAGATTGGAATGAGCGTCGGCAAAAGCGGGATTAATTTGAATGGCTCTCGTGTAACATTGCAGAGCCCCTTGTATATCTTGCATCTCCTTCAGTGTATTGCCCATATTCGAGTAAGCATCCGCGAAAGTCGGCTGAATACGAATAGCCTCTTTGTAATGCATCAGCGCTTCGTTTAGCTTTCCTTGCTGTTGTAATACGGAAGCAAGATTGCTATGAGCTGCTGCGAACTCGGGGAATACTTCGAGCGCTTTCAGATACAGTCGAGTTGCTTCTTCGATGTATCCTTGTTCTCTTTTTATGTTGGCCTGTAACCAGAGCATAAGAAGAGTTTCTACCGAAGAAAAATATATACACTGCATTGAGATCGTTTTTTGACCTGAATGGCAGATCGATATTTAAAAAAAAATCAAATTTCAAAGTAAAAAGATAAAGTCATGAAATATGTAGAATAATATTTTTTTGTGAATTTCATTAGATTTGATTAAAATTTAGATTTCAAACATTTTCTGTGAAACAAGGGATACACTACGATCTCCTAAACCATTGACTACCTTCCATCAGACTGACTCTAGGAATCGCAACTAATCATTGTGTGTGTGTGTGTGTATAAGTACCAAATTATTAAGGGAATCGGCGTGTGAGGGACAGAGACGAAGGGCGGTGTTGTAGCAATCCTCAGCCTCAACCACTTGCCCTTTTTCTTTGAGCGCGTTCGCCAAGTTACAATAGGCATCTGGGAAATTTGGTTGTAACTCAATCGCACGACGGTACGTATCAATCGCCAAATCAATGAGCCTGTACACAGAAACATAAATAAATCTCGCTTTGATCTTACTAAAGCGATATTATGAAAACGAGGACAAATTTTCACTTACCCTTGTTCATAGTAAACACAGGCCAAATTTCCATGAACGACCGCATTGTTAGGGCTGAGATTCAATGCACGTAGATACGCAGCTACAGCTCTGTTAAGAAACACAACATTCGCATATATTATTGATTGTTGTACGTTTTTAAAAAAATATTAACGACAAATTATTCGAAAGAATCCGATCGATGTAATTACATAGAAGAAATTCTCAGTCACTTTTAGAGTGGACAACACTCATGCGCGAACATCACACCCGAGACAAGTCGAACACGTGCCAGGTAACTATACCGTGAAGCGTCACGAGGACGATACACTCGTGCCGCAAGACTTATGAAACAAACCAGTGTCGGAATTAACCTTTTCACGCTATATTTAAACCAAGAGACGCAGCATCCGGGGTTAGAAGATCGCGAAAGGGTTCGCTCTAATTGAGCGCGCAAAGAGGATCCGATCGTAGTCGTGGGCGAAATCACCGTGTACACGACAACGCACTGGCAGTCCATTCCTTCCCCATTTCGGTGTTTCGATTTTCATAAATTAGTGCTATCGAATAGAAAGGCAAAATGGACGATTCCGAAGAGACGAGATGCGACCGTTGTTAGTTTTCCGCCGCAAAACTCTTAACTACCAGCTACGTTTTTAATAATACACCCCCCACCATCCGTTAAAGACCGTACACACCCTCCCACGAGGATCAAAGGGTTCTCTCCCTCTGTGGGGGCGGAGCGAGTTTTGGAATCGATAGTTTGTCCAGTTTCTCCCGCTGTTGTGCGTAATGACCGAGATAGCTTGGGACCACGAATACGCGTAAATACAGAGTCTGGCCTACATTGAACAAATACTATGTAGTTTCTTTTCTCGTTGCCAAAACATTTCAATTCTCTCGTTATGAAATGCGTTGTTCCAAACGTTGGGTATTCATGAACAGTAATAATATTTACGTTAAGTCGATCGGTATGTGCTAACGGTGCTTACCAGTTTCTTCTTGGCATTAGTCAACAGTTTTTTAACATCAGAGAAATATAAGAAAAATAAAGATCGGATACTTTTTTAAAAGACCTCGTATATCGAATAATCCAATAAATCTTTCTACGCCCCTGTTATGCATAACAGATTGATAACGAAATTTTTATTGCCATTGCATGTTCAGTTGGAATAAAGAACCGACGGGACTTGAAGATACATGTGCTGAAGAATGACGTTATGCTCGCGGGCATCTCTGCGAAGGAGACAGAGAAAGAACGATGAACTTGAAAGGACGTTGTATTTGTATGAATATCGATTCCCCGTGTTTACATGCCGAATCGTGCCTTTTCCTCGCGAATTTTTTTTTTGTTTTTTTTTTTCTACGAACAAGTGCTAATGTCACACGGCACTTTCTTATTCGAAAGACGATGACCATTTTTAAAAAAAAAAAAGGATAATTAAAAACTTTGCATGTACCTAAATCTTTAAGAAACGCCAATCAGCATAAGAAGCAATGGTAAAACAATTTGTGGAACACGCATAGCACTATACTATTATAATGATTTGTGTGACTTTGTACTACCATTAACGCCTGGAATAGAAACCATTAAAGGAATAACTTATAAAGTCACTTTCTCTCTAGCACAGACTTTAAAACCAACGCCAATATAAATCAAAGGCGACGATCGATCAAACTGTGCGTATAAATCAGTTATTTTAGTGGAGAATTTTTTTAATGGCTCGGGAATCGATCTCGGGTCTTCCGTTTACTAGGCAATTGTATTATCCACTGGGCTAATCAGCCCATCCATCATACTTTTCTCAATTCATATTGTACAATAAAACCTAGTTCAAAAACTCACGATGGTGGGTGGGGTCTTTTTGTTCATCGATTCCAGAAAAAAAATTCAATCAAAACTCAATAATTATACTAATTTTCAGATATCACAACACGTTCAGAAAGAAACTATTTCATTTTCATGCTACTATTAACAATTTCATGGATGTTACGTTCTTGAATGTCAATGATATGACGATACCCCTGGAATTTTCATAACACATGTGTCCAAATTGTGAATTGAACAGTTCATAAGGCCGTGAAAAATAATTGTACAGATTATGTAGTAAGTATCACTGAATTAGTATTATTAATCGTACAAGATCCGCTTTAGTCAGAGTACTTAACATCTCGCAATTAGTCCCACCAAGAAATATTTATGACGGATGGATATTCCAAATCTTGCCAATGGTCACCCTATTATTATCATGTAAATTCTGATACGGTAACGTGGGCTAAGCTGAACGACAATTCTGAAGACTCGATAGAAACAGTTATTATATGATCTCCCCTTACCTATCGAAGATCCTGGCCTCTTTGAGCACGTTGCCAAGATTGATATACGCGTCCAAGAAGTTCGGGTCAAGCGCGACAGCCTTTTCAAAATGATGGATTGCCAGCCATATTTCACCCTGAGCGTTGAACACGCAGCCAAGATTGCTCCAGGCGACCGCAAAGTCTGGACGTGTCTCGATTGCCTTTAGGTAGCATGCCTACAGACAAACGATGAATTAAAAGTAATGCTCGCGTAATGTAAGGGACGCGCCGCGCGTATTACCCGACCTCTCCTCGCCGCGCCGCAGCTTTCACACACTTCACCAACCTCGGAAACCTCAGAGAACAAACACACACACACACACACACACTCACTCACTCACTCACTCACTCACTCGAACATACTCTCGCACACACGCGCGCGCACGCATACATACACGAACACGCACGTCAGTCCACATTCGCTCTATCTGTCTCCCTTCTTTGTTATTAGCCCCCTACTGTCGCCGCTTTTACCTTCCTTCGGAGGGAAAGGAAAAGACTACACTGATTCAATTCTATTGCATTTTGATAGACAACTTTTAGTAAATCGTGCTCTACTATCTTGTAGTAGGTACACTACTAATGAAAAGCTGTCACACCAAAGATTACTTGATCTAGAAGATCAGTAACCGGTTTCTTCGAGTTGACGATTTACTATCGAAGATGTAGACTATTCAACTACAGTTCTAAGATTTGTTACACTAAACCTGAGAGATCTGTTGATGTAAGGTTCGAAGCATCGTTGACACTGTCTCGTCAAGAAGAAGAAGAAGAAGAAGAAACAAAAATTACCAACCTCAGTTAACTCGTAATAATTGATACTCTGTGCCGAAATTCCACATCTTCTCGGATATTTAAATCTTATACGGTTGCAGTTATTCCATGGGGAATTAAAAAAGAAACGGAGACAGAGAAAACGAAGCTTATTCTGCTATTCGTGTAATAGGTATGAGGATTTGGTATGAGATCAGGAAGAAAGGTAAAGAGGTGCGCGCTAGAAACGTCATCGTGGAAACGTGAGCGATTCGGGTGTCTCGTCTCGTGACCGTCGATTCTCCGGAATGCGTCCGGTGGACTCGACGGCACGTAGTACGCCCTTTGCTATAGTCATCATCATCATCATCATCATCATCATCATCATCATCATCATCATCGTTGTCAGTCGGCCAATTCACCTCGAGGATTCTCCGTTGGTCGATGAGCTTGAACAAACACGTATGTGTGTAACTTTTGTCATTACCCATGTCCCATTTAGCTACATATATGTGTACAAATGCATAGAGATACGTATTATAGGTTAGAAATCAATAATGGCACGATTAACAAAATTTTTCAAAGCCCCCGTTACGCGACGACGCTCCTAAAGGTCAAACAGGGATGTGCATCGCGCGTGCTGAGAGGCGGGCTGCATCATATAAAACAGAGTAATCCGTACCTAAACAATAATTAAAAGGGCATTTACAGTCGGCCGATCTCTACGTGGGACACAGGACAAGAAGTGGATTAGGGGTTGATCGGTTAGAGTCAAGGAAGAACCGAAACAAGAGGACAGAAACGAAGTTGGATGAGCTTCAAAATACCATTTAGGAGTGTCCATTTCGTCGGTGAAACGGAGAAATGGTCTGTAAATCATCTCTACAACTTCTTGCACTGTACTTGAAAGAATGGCATAAATTGTAGTACAATGCAAAAAATTTTTTAATGAGATATGTACCTTTTTCCCGTCTTTTCGTTGACAGGTTAACAAAATCCAACTTTCAAATCTCGTGGAACAGCGGAACCAGTATATCGACGGTCTGATGGAATCGTTCAAGAGATCGGCCTTAGGAATTACTTTACCTGCAGTGTACCCTTCGGTAGGTTGACGGTAGGTACGGCTTGCAAGCTCTCATAATAAACTTAGACCGAGAGACAGTGTGTTACTGAATAACCAGATTCAGATTCACCCTTTGTCGAGGAACCCATGGTAACCGAGACCAATCACATTGCTCCGACTTCCCCTCCTAGAGTTGATCATCCCATCCACAACAATAAGACAGCTGCGTTAATGTCTCTTCACTGATACTCTTCGCCTCAACTTTGTCTTCTGTGTGTGCGTGTGTGTGTGTTTGCGCGTGCGCATGTGTGCGCGCGCGCGCGTGTGTGTGTGTGTGTGTGTGTGTGTGTGTGTGTGTGTGTGTGTGTGTGTGTGTGTGTGTGTGTGTGTGTGTGTGTGTGTGTGACTATGTATATATTTTTTCAAATAGGTAAATAGAGGTACCTAGTCCTGCATGCCAGTTTAGAGACACGCTTCGCTGAGATCGTCAGCCACCATGTTAGATATGAGTACCATTACATTAGTTGTCACATTGGTACATTAAAAATTGGAACTCCTGTAGACCAGAGAATTAAATTTTCAATCTCTGATGGTCTGATGATATCAATACTTTTCAATGCCATGATTTGTATCCTTTTTTCTGATTTTTCTATGGAATACAGATTTGTGCCTTTCTATAAGCGTGTGTACTTCTGGTGGCGAAACGTACTGAGCGAAACACGAACGAGCTGACTAGAAAGCGCTCAAGAGTGGCAGGAAATTCAACGGAAGGCCTTTCTCGTTGCTGCATTCGAAATTCATCGACAAGCGTATCTGCAGACAGTACTCAGAACATCCACAAAGGGGAAGGTTCGATTTGGCTGTAATTTTCACACAAGAAACTCAAGTCCGAAAGAAGTGTAATATCAGCAGATGGTTGCTTATCGACAGTCGCCGCGCCGCGCTGCAGTGTGGGAAGCAGACCACTTGACTCTAGTTGCTTTATTACCACTTGAAACCAGCAAAACTCTTGGGACTCCAAACAATCCCGTGAGTTTCCAACCGACGGAGAATATTTCTAATTTTATAAATGTACCAATAAGATAGTTTATCAACATACTTTTCTCCAGTTATCAAATAATAAGAAAAACTTCGTCAAGTGATCTCGCGCTATCATATAATATCACCGTACACACAAAAGCGGTTACTCTGCATAGTTGGAAAAAGTAGTTGGAAAGAAAAGGTCGCATTTATCCACATATACGTAACGGATTGGTATACCTAAAGGCAAATACACATTCAGAATAAGCTCAATCAAATGAGATGAGCTTAACAGATACGGTCGCGCGCTGCAGGCCCTATTGTTGCTTGCCACGCTTCAAACAAATGTATCAAACAGAAAGTAACTTTTTATGTATCAGTAATTCAATTTAAAACAAACAAAAAAAAACCATTAAGTATGCTGTAATAGGACCGACAATTATTGAGAGTTGCAATAACACCATGAGACCACGAAAACCCATGCTATTGTCGTCTTTGAAGGTGTTATTGCAAGACGCGCAATGCAAGAGGGAACTGAAACTGTTTCCAGTTGACTTTAACACTAATACCCTCGTGTGACACGTTTGACGCTGTGTTGTCTCGCTAACTCATGATCAGGAGAACAGAGCAGGGAACATCAAACGCGGCATTGTTGATTAAAATTAGGTAGGGATGGATGCGCGCGCGATGTACTATTCGCTATCGGAATGTGTGTTTAGATTCGTTTTCTTGTAATAATACAGATTCACGCGTTCCTTGATCCGATAGCGTGACACCGCGCGCCGCGCGCAAACTTTTACCGCAACGAAAAAGGTATTCTGCTTGAATGATGCGGATACACTGCTAGATTCCTGGCCATTCTACCGAGACACTGACTAGCGCTCGTGCACATCGTACAAAATGCATTGATGCCTTATCAAAGAAAGCTTTGTAACCAGCCAACATCGTAGACCCGTTTGACTGCGGCACCAATGCATCCAACAATGTGCATCACACGTTAAATTAATTTACATTAATAGCTAATTGGCAAAGGAACCTACCTTGGCTTCGTCAAGTCTTGCTAATGCTTTCAAAAGATTACCGAGATCGCTTCTCACGCAATAGAGATCCTGTAACACAAAGGTACATTCAATATACTCCGATGTAGATGAACATTATATAATAACCCTTCGAAGAGCATCTAAAAATAGATTTCATTTTAGCCTAATATCATGCTGAATTACTCACAGGGTTGTATTGTAGAGCAGTCACATATGCTTGAACTGCTTGTTCCATATCTCCTGCAGCAACCAAAGCAGCTGCCAAGTTAATGTATCCATCAATGAAGTCTGGTTTCAACCTGACAGCATGCCGATAATTTTCCAATGCCTCCTGTAGCTGACCACGCTCCTTGAAAACATTTCCAAGATTGCTGTAAGCCTCTGCCAACAAGGGATTTTGCTTTATCGCCAAACTACTATAATGGGCTGATCTGAAATGTACAAAAAGAATTTTTTAACACTGTATAGAGAAAAAAAAACACATAAATCAGTACAAATTGTTTGAAGAAAAAAAACATTTACTTTTCTAGCCTTCTACATTGAAAATGAATAGAAGACAACAATAAAAGAACTCCTGTGTTGTTTGTCTCTTGGCGCCAAAGCTGCATGCAGTGTCTTTCTGCATTTTCGTAGTCCCCTGCTTGATACTCTCTATGAGCAAGCTCCAATAGCCCTGGAAACAAATTAAACATTATACAAATGTCTTTTTGCACATTCAATGAAATGTAAAACATTTTTATTGAATGAATTAAGACCAAATTAATGAAGAAGTTGATGTACAATATAAATTGTACATCGACGAACAAACTCTGCTTTCGCTAGGGGAAAAAGCGGCGACGGGGAAGATCCTCGTACTACTTGGTAAATTTGTTTTAGGTACTGAAATAAATATTAGATAGAATATTAATTGAGCATAAATGTCAGTAACCCCCAAGACCAAGTGGTGGGGAGCCCTTTCCCTAAGACGCTTTTCCCCTAGCTCTAGCGATGCCGAGTTTAATCGTGAGTTATTTCTAAAAAAAAAACATACATATATAACGTTGTCAAATGTGATAAGATATCGGAATTAAAATGGCGTAGAACGACAAAAAATAACTCCACAAGGCACGAGTATTGAAATGGCGACTTCCGTCGCGCATTCAAATAGACAAACGCAAATGCCAAACTGTGAAGTAATGATAAAAGAACAAAATAAAACATAGGAAAGACATACTGAAACACAGTATACAGAAAAGAAAATATGAATTTTGTGATTCTAAGAAGAGCACACAGAAACACAAATGAAAGTTACGACGTTGTATATGAACTTTGGATAAGAATCTACGTAAAAATAATATACGTCTCTAGGTTGATTAACACATAACGATTTTTCTTTAAGTTTGTCGGTCTCAAACACGCGAGGGGAAGCCGGACGTAAAATATACGAACAGTAGGAATCAACGGCGAGATTTATGGTCTGATTTTCGGCGATTGCAATCAACTCCTTGCCCTGGGTATCCTGTGTAACAACCAGAAGATTCTGTCCATTCTGCCACTCGATGGTTCCGTTACAAATATCATCCGAACTATTCACCACGTTTCCAATTACTATTTCGTTCGAGTTTCTCAGAACGGTTTCTTTCTTCTCGGCGAATCTCAGGGTCATTTTGTTTACAAATGTTTTTCAGTTCGTTACTCTGATCTACCCGCGGGAGCGGCACAGGTATGTACACACATACAACCACACACTGTGTACACGCGCAATCATCAACTTCGTTCGAACAGTTTCAAGAGACTTTTCTCGACACACCAAAATTTCTCTCTCGGGCTTTTCGTCCTCTGAAGACGGTCTTCCAGTCGGTCTCAAAGGCTCACTCAGCTCACTGCTCTTGTCACTTCCTTCAGTCCAGTTTTCATACGCGTCTTGTCCAAATTACAGATCCTTGACTCTTACACAATTTTGCATGACACAACGTCGCTTCTCTTTTCTGTATACACTGCGTCGTTCACCATCCACCGTATTCCTATAGAAATTACGCTCCCGGCCCAAGTTAACCCCGCCAGATCGTGCAGCCAGCCGATTGGTTCACTCGACCACTATGGCGGATTTCCGCGTCGTCGTACTGGTGAAGACGTAAAAGGGAACAAGGGTGAGGAAGACACCCGGCTCATGGGAACGTCGACACCAAACTCGGTACATATACATGTACCATATGATTTTTATTTTCCATGTTCCGTATAAACAAATTTTTAGCACATCGCTCGTACATTATTCCTTTATTTTTATGATAATTTGTTTTCTTTGTTGTAGGACTCACTTATCTCGAGTTTTTAGTAAACAAAAATGCAAATACAGCTACACTTTAGATGTATACAACTTGTTGAACAAGCATTATGTACTGGTTACACGCGATACAGATTTAGATTTTGAAGTACTAATTACTCAGTTCAGATTTTATGTAATGTTCGAGACCTGATTTTCTGGTTTACTATACATATGTTTGTATGTACATACAGGAATATTGTTACCCTTGAGTTATTCATGGAAATTTCCTGATGTAATCAGGATCAACTTTACATATTTGAAATTTTTAAATATTAATTGGAAATAACATATAAAAATAGAAACAGTAAATATCACAGAGAAAATATAAAAATTTCGGTAGAACACAAGGCGTGTATGCACGTGACAGAGCGTCGCCGCCCGCACAAAGAAACCAAACTAGTGGTTCTCAACCGCTATTAACAAAGATAAATTCTTTTGACTTTTTGAAGGTGTATTTTATATTTGTGAATTATATGTTATATTTCGATCAAGAAACGATCATGTTTATTTTATTATAATGCATTTTTATAAATTAAGATAACGCTTTGTTATTTAGATTTAACAATATTTATCATACACATACGCACTTTATATCTTTCAAACTGTGAACTGTGAAAAAGCGTCACAACTGGAGTTTCGATTTCGAAAGCAGCATTAGGAAAGTTTGAATAAAATCGAAAGCTTTCATTTGCGAAATAAAGTACGTAAAGGGAAAAACGTTGCAAAGAACCACTGAAAATACGAAGAGGCGGTCGGCCCCCACTCTCACGCGCGGAAAGCAGATGGAATAGGTACGGAATGGAATATTCCATCGTCACTTTAACGAAGAGGGACGGTGAATCGGAGAACGAGAAAAGAGAGAATGTAGCTTAAGGGAGAGTAGACTCGCCGAATGGGGGAGAAAAAAGAACTACATATATGTAAACTACATAAATAGTATAAGCAATAGCAAACCATCGATGCTCCTATTCGTATGAAAAGTAAAATAAAATATGAAATCGTTAAATGACAATTTTAATAGTGATCATTTGTGCATCCAACATTATTGAAACCGTTGAGCAGCCACCTCCTTATTTTTAATCGAATAATACAAATTTCACACCTTTCAATAAACGAACAAAAAAATGACTAACATTATGCAATAAAATCATCTATAGTACTTGAAATGGTCAGATACATTCCAATTTTTCAATACATACTACACGTGAATCTGCAATGCTATACTATTTTGTTTCTTTTGGATAAACTCATATTTAGAAATCAATGAGAAACCGATAAAATGTTTTTTTTTTAAATTGTGAATATTCACGTAAAGTATCAATCTCATTAAAAAGTTTCGAATAAATAGCATAATTCAATGTCGCTCGTAGAACGGCATTGTATAGAACACGAGTACAAGAGGGAAAATACATTGAAGAAGCTACAGAAATATTTATATGTATACATATAGTTTTCGTTTGTCCCAACTTGTATATATGTATACATATATGTAGAATTTCTCGCAATGTGTATTTTTAGCAAGGCCTAAAGGAAATACACATCTATCCATGGACTCGTTGCCTTGTTGCCCGTTCGATCGGAACTTTGTTAATGAAACAATGATGGTTCCATTGGATTGAAACTCCGTTAAGATCGTTTAATTACATACCAACTGTCGAGAGCTGTTGTATTTCGTTCATCTTGAGAATGACACTGGTGCCCGCAATTTGTTGATGATTCTGTTGCTGCGGCTGCTGCTGTGCTTGCATGATCACGGCCACCATAAAAAAAATGATACGCGAACAAGAAGAAAGACGCGAAAAAAATTTTACTAATTACTCGTGGAAAGATTAAGTTGCCAATATAGAGTGTCCAGATCGAAGGCAGATGAATGGCAACGAGTCGAATCTAGACGCAATTCGGAATGTCTCGTGAGAATCGAAACAAAACCACAGGTACGCGCAGCTCTTAGGTCAGCATGCACTAGCGCGATCTTTCAGCGTGCGCCATCATGGATTTTCGAGCACACATATATATATATATATATATATATATATATATATGTATATGTATATGTATACTTCAAACTGGCCAGATCAGTATATACATACGGTATGCAAGTTACGAAAAATAGTAATTACACGGCCGTCGAATATTTCGTTGCTCGAGAGTCTTTAACGGAAAACTCCGACAGTCACGGTTTCGTAAGTTCTGTCGCGAATAGCAGCCTGACAACGACACGAAAACTCTAGCATAACGTTGGCCACGGACACGTACGTAACATGGGCCGACCCGGAAAACCAATCGATGAACGTGGATAAACGTATTCCGGGACGTATAAGAGACTTGTGCAGCTCCACGCGCGGGAAATACGTCGCGCTGATACAGACGATGTAATTACACTGCACACTTTGGGCTATTATACTCGGTGAATCTTGGAATTTTTCTAATAAAAATATTCCGACAAATATGATACCAAGTACTCTTCTATAAAATTAACTAAACATGAATTTAATTGTCCATAATGTGCATAATATTTTTCCCTTTCAACAAATTGATCTGTTAATCGTTACGGCGTGTCTCTACGTATGTGCATGTGCAGGGTTTGACAAAGATATTATTATAGAAAAAAGACGGAGTAAAATTATTGATCGTAACAAACATAAGTTTTGTATAGTAAGTAAGTATATATATATGTGTATCCGCACGAGCAAATTCGGCTTCCGCTAGGGGAAAAAGTAATAGAAGCCGAGTTTGCACGTCAGTGCGTACGTGACATACGTATAATTATAATTATATTTAAAGATACAAATTATTAAAAATAGGAGTACTATCAAGACATTATTATTCGATAGACTACCAATGTGGAGTGGAAATATTGGATGTTATATAGAAACTAATTGTTATGTAGAAAATTGCTGAAAATTTTAAAAGAAAACTATGAGCTGTAGAAAAAAAAGAATTAAACGCATACTGGTTTTCGCGCAATAATATGGCCACTTCTGGGATCTCTACTGAAGATTGTATGAGAGCGCCAAGACGGGAATGACCAAGAGTGACTTTCCCACCATTTTGAAAGAGTACTGAAGAGTGAAGAGTACGAACGTGCGAACCATTTCTTCTTCGGTGTCATTCGTCTCACTCTTACGCTGCTCAAGCTCAACGCTGCTGCTTGCTGCTCATTTGCTCATTGCTGCTGCTGCCGGCGTTGCATGGTTTTGTGCTCGATACTGGTTTTACTTCGGTTAGTTTGCAAATTAATTATGGCAGAGAACAAGGAGCGTACTTTCATTATGATCAAGCCTGATGGTGTCCAGCGTGGACTCGTTGGGAAGATAATTCAACGTTTCGAGGATAAAGGTTTCAAGCTTGTAGGGATGAAGATGGTGTGGGTAAGTTCCCTGATCTAACGCATACTCGATCGTCCTCTACAAGAAAACGCGCATACTCCGATCTTCATAGCCACGTGGACGTCGGCTTCAAGCCGGCTTTTTCGTTTTTCGCAGCTTACCGTGAAATAGAGTCTCACAAGCTCCTCTTTCAAAAACACCTGTCGTGTTTCCTCAATCAAGAGGAACATGTAGTTTTCGTGATCTTCGGTGCTAAGCTGCGTGGGACTATAATTCCTTACGTTAACGTAAAATAGTTGGAACGAAGGTCTACAATGTCCTTTGTCTTTACTTAAAATATATGTGTACACACATATACATACATATATGTATATAAAAAGAATTAATAGTAACTATTTTCATACATTCATAAAGGTGAATTAGATATCATCATAATTGATTCATTGCAATATAGCATTAGCACAAAGCCTGGAGATAAAACTAATGTCTGGTATAATATGTATATCGATTGCATTATCTATTTAATGTTCAACGCAAGAAAAGACTCCAATGCAATATTGTTTTATATTAGTACTGCAATTTACTCCTTTTAGCCGACAGAGGATTTATTGAAACAACATTACTCAGACTTAGCATCTAGACCATTTTTCCCAGGCTTAGTTAAATATATGAGTTCAGGACCTGTTGTACCCATGGTAATTATTTTATATCTAATCAATATATGTACTTCTCTTTCAAGTACAGACTTGAATGTAATGATTAAATTTTATAATTATCTCTCAGGTATGGGAAGGTTTGAATGCAGTAAAAACTGGACGTGTAATGCTGGGAGAAACAAATCCAAAGGATTCTGCACCTGGAACAATTCGTGGTGATTTCTGTATTCAAGTTGGACGCAATATTATTCATGGATCAGATTCTGTTGATTCAGCCAATAAAGAAATTAAGTTGTGGTTTGGAGAAGATAAGAAAGAGGTCATTGACTGGGCGTCCTGGGCAGAGAAATGGATATACGAATAAATTAAATAGAATAATTCTTCACAGAGTTTTAACAATTGATTATACAACAACTTATTCTCTTCTATACTGTATTTTGTCCATGTGTACTGCCATTCAAATGACACAGAGGAATCGTACATAAATTTGTCTGAGAAGAAACCATAAAAGAGGTTCTTAATAAATTGTCTTTAAAGAAACAGTATCATGATTGATGTTATTGCTGTTTTTTTATAAATTAAAAATGCATAAAGATAGTACAACGTACGAGAGTGATTTTATATTTTATCATATGAATATTGTGGCCTCCAATTACGCATCGGGTTCGTTCGCAAGTAACTCCATTTCTAGAGGCATCCTGATTTCGTATCAGGTTCGTCCTTGTTTTCAATCATCCTAGAGGCTTTTTGGCTTCGCGTCAGATTCGTTCGTGCACCTTATTAACAAACTGATAAACCATATTCCTTGGAAAAACTACACTCGCCGGCCAGTCGCGCTGCTCGCTACCCTGGCTCGTAACAGGTATGTATGAAACTTTTAATAGATTATAATATAATATATATAAGTACGTAGGTATATTACCTATTCATACTTAAAAACTGAAAAAAATGCGTATAAGTAGTGTAGTACATTATTTGTCATCAAATGTATTCTTCAGAACATTGCATACACTCTCTATATATTAATAATAATAGTATTCTTAAAATATATTAAACTAGATGTAAGAAATCTGAAAGAATGGATTGTTGATCTTTTAACAAGATCGGTAAAATAAATGCATTTTGGTGTAAAAATCACGTTTTTATAAAAATTTACGATCAATTCCTAAGTAGCACATGACGCCTCGAGGACGCCCATTTTACGGCTATTTTAGGTCTAAGGCGCCTTTAAACCGTCTTCAAAGCATCATTGGGCGTCATGTGCTATCTGGGTTAAGTACAAAACAAAATGTATGTTTCTTACACGCGCTTGTAGCATTGAACATTTACAGAGTTCATATCAACAGTATCTTGACAACTCTTTGATTTGTCGTATTGTATGATATATGTATGTATATGTACGTGGAATATGTGCGTATATTGTACGAAAAAATTATTTTAAAAATGTATCAATTATTGGGAGTTCTTGGAGTCTGCAGTCGATCGACGCAAAAAGAAAGTACTTATGTATCTCTTAGTGTCTATGTCATAACTATGTATGCAGTTATACATACATAAATGAATGTGAATGAATTGAACGTGAAACTAATTATTAATTATCCATTTGTCCCAGGTACGCCTTACAATTTGGACAATAGTGTTTTTTCACCAAACAGCTGTCCACGCAGTAAGGGCAGGGTGCACAACACCATAATCTGGAATGAAATGTTACTTTAATTAGTTTTGTTATAAGTTAGCATATATGGTTATAACGGTTATAACCTAGAACATACGTTGGCTACTTGAAAAATTTACATATATGTATATCAACGTTTCAAGAAATGTACTTTAATCACGATAATTATTTGTATTATGAAGTTCATCCTGATTTCGTTGACTGTAATTGTATATTTACAAAGAGACATATGTACATATTTATCACTATATTTTTATCTGCTCTACGAGGTGACGCTTTATATGTACATACATATACATCAATACTATAAATATGTATAAGTATAAATTCATAAAAACTGTGTACAAATTTATAAATTGTATGTTATTTAATTACCCGAAAATACACAGAACTAGCGCGAAAAGGTGAGTTTTCGTGTTCGATTCCTTTTCTACATGTGTACTGATACTGGCTTGACAATGGGGGCAAGTCAGACGTTGCGATTCTGGACCAAATTGTGGAGCTCCTATGATGACAACATCTGCAATAGTATTATTTAAAACAATTATTTCATTAATACAACAGATTGCGTGCTTGTTGTCGTAGTAAAATTACTCATGATACCCTACAATTTGTATTCTTTTATCTTCTTTTGTAGTATAATCAGTTTATAAAATACATATAGTCAAGCATAATAGGCAGCATAAGATGTAGTCAGGATACGGATTGAGTTTTGAATCCTAAGACCTCTCACGTTTCATTAATTCGTTTTACGCGTCTTTACACTTTACCGTCTTCCTGATCCCGATCACCCACAGCTGCTATCTACAGTTGGATCAAAATCTACTGGCTGTTGAAGGCAAGGTTTAGGGGTTTAGGGGTTTAAACACTGAACTTGCTAAGTGCATGTAAGAATTTCCAAAGGGGACGCAATACGCTATTGTACAAAATCCATAGGGTCTTTCCAGATCAAATCTTTTCAGCTCTCATCAGTTTCAGTTCGACAATTTACAATTCCCTTAAAACCAATTCTGAAGACGTGTATACGTACATACATATGTATGCACATATATTCTTCCGACTAAAAGCGATTTGTACGGATTCCCTTAACGCTTTAATATATGTTAGTGAGCAGAGTACATAGGTAGTGGAATTCTTTCCTAATCATACGTGTCTCTAAGTAGTAAATGAATGTAAAAAAACTCTGTGTCATTCTTAACTATAGAGGTAATTTTCAACGGACAATTAATTTCGTTAAAATTGTAGCAATGCAACTTTCTTTTCTACTTTGATATCTATTTCATACTTGGTTGTCCTTCGTGATTGCCCGGTGGTGATGGTGGCAGTGGTGGGCCACCGTAGCCTGATCCTGGCATGAAACCAGGTGGTGGTGGTGGTGGTGGTGAATACGGCATACTTTTGTCCATAATAATCTTAGACTTTATCTGAAAAGAATAATTTCAATATCACGGGGTAAATAAAATTGATAAACGCGATTAAATGTCCAGTGTAAACTGGCTTACATAACATAAATATGACTAACAGTTTTTTGATACGAGAGAGTGATTCATCGATTTATTTTTTTATAATTTATAGATGCACAGTGTTTCATAAATTTCAAAGCAAATCGAGCTTCAAAAACGCACAGGTTGAAACTAAATTTCACTCTTCGACGCATCGCGACACAACAGTAACATTGATGCAATGACATCATCGTCATTTGCAGAATTATCAGAAGAAGTAATTAACGATAATAAGTCTTTGATAATTAATGAATCACCGCGACTGTGCAGTCAGTCGGTCAGTTTTCACTATTATTAATGGACTGCAATTGCAACTGTATATACATATATGTATGCATACTGCATATGTGCGTATGCGTTGACTTTCCTTTATGTTCAAAGAAAATATGTACTACACTTTGATAATTGTGTACGTTCTCGATATAAAAATTTCTTTCACAATCCTGGAAGATTTCGCAATTGCGATGGCTGATACGTTCAAAACGAGCACACAACCGATGAACCGATGATATTCGAGCAATGTTACGCATACAGGTGTGGTTTGGCTCTATCGTTTATGTTTTTAGAAATAAATGAACTACAGACTACATTGATATCGTTACGATTATCGGGTGTATCCGAGGAGGCTAGCTTATCGTGGTTCAATCGATTGAATGAGATTCGAACTTCTCCGGCTTAACACTTCCGTTGCTGTATCAAGAATAAGCGATAAGAGGTTGATAAGATACCATGTGATAAACAAGTTTTTACGAAACCATTTCCTGTACTCTGTGAATAGATTTCTATTAAATGACAGATGTAATATGCACTGAAATTTTTCAACACAAGTAGCTACATACCTACCTATAAACTATAAAGGACGCGATGTTATCGCTAATATTAAAAATGTATGTACATACTTACATAGTGCTTTTTAAACATTCATTTGCGCGACGAAGCGTGTGTGAACTGTGAAGTGGAAAGATTTCATGATTTTAGATTCAGAAGGAATCCGGTAAAAAGTAACGATCAAAATTTGTTTCTCCGGTGTAAGAGATGGAAATTTATTTTTTTTAGAAATAACCGTAATTTTAGATAATATGCGCGTTAAACAATTTTGATAAGTGGAAACGAGAAACGGATATGAATTAAGAGTAACAAAAGAAAACAAGATCGAACGAATGACGTAACTTCGCGTAGATTTGACGACATCAACAATAAAGAGCCATGCTGATTGCGAGATACGAACGACGAAACGTGCATGCAAACTTATATTCCGTGCAATATCTACTTAGGTATTTACTTTTGCCAGTTTTTTCATGCTAACCTTGGTTATTAGTATTTTTGTACCGACCAACCGATAAACCAGTAGAAATAATTACATGTGTTTACGATTCGCTGAACGTTCAACAGAATACCTTTGTAAAAAGTATTTAAAGGCCGTAGATTTGCGATTTTGCTTTACCATTCTTGAGCTATATTCCCAAAGATGGCGACTGATATACAATATGTATGTATATCTTGTATCGAAATAAAGATCTACAATATCTATCCGTAACAAAAAAAAAAAAAAATTGATTGTATGCATTTATAGCATTTAGTATGTTTGCACAAACATTCACGGGCCAGTACTTAATGATACATATTTCAAAAATTGAAATAATGTGTTTGTCATTGATCGCAGCAGTTTACTCCACGACTTCGTTATATCATATACATATTATATGTATACATATGCATGTATACCAACAAGGTGACACCATGAAGTGAAACTTAATTCCAAAGTAATTCCAAGTAAATCGAAGTCTTACGAGTTCTCACTTTTTTCGAACAGTTCGTGTATTTCAAGTAGCTAGAAGAATTCGAACGCTCGACTCGGCTCGACCGACCGATCATTATTTGACTCGAGATTCGAGTTACTCGAATAATTCGAGTACTCGCACGCTCCTAATGTACATATATATTATGTACAAAGTTATGTACAACAAAGGAAACAACTATACTTACGGAAAAGCTTTTTAAATAACGATGTCAGATGTTACAGTTTCAAATGAAAAATAATCCCCCAATCAGACGTTAGGAAGAAAAAAACACACTATATCTTTGCATTTTCATTAAACCGTTGAAACGAGCAAATCGTTTCAATCTTTTGCTAAGTACACGCTTACAATTCGGTGCCGGCAGAATCTAAAATTATCTAGCGGCCCACTTTATTACGTACGATTTCCATGCACACATACCTGTTGGAGTCACCGTTCGATCTCACTCTGTATGTAGTCTATAGGTACGACGAGACTAAACAAATAGTCAGGTAAGTACACCGGCGTGGGCGACGTTGTGGTGTTGCGACGTTGAAATCCAAATAACGACTTGCGTTCATGCCGCTTTCACGTGTCTCAAATTTTCTATATGTATCGATAGCTGTACTCTTGTCGGACGATAGGTGGGAGGGTTGCGTTCTCGAACGAGACTTCTGCGAAATGACGTAAAAGAACACACGTAATAAGTGTTTCGTAAGATAGACGATAGTAGGTACATATCGGAAGTTTTGTATTATATATGTACTTCTTGCATACGAATATCAATCGTCTTTTTTTTTGTAATTAGTAATTTGGAAACCGATCGGACGACCGGACGTACTGTCGAAAAATGCCCATGCACGCACGTCGGGAGACTGTTGTGTCCCCTATTGCTGTATGTACGGGTCATTCTACGCGGCGACAAGCAGATCACTTTTGTACCCGATGTCTGGGATGTTGCTCAAATTGAAATATGTTATAGTTCATGTGAAAAAGAGGATAGGTGCTTGCATGTGTCATCATTTCGATGATTTCGAAATTGTTTAAACCTCCGTAGAATGGGCCGGAGTTACGCGCTCGCGAGAACGATACGCATACAGTGATGGAGTTGCTGTGTGTGTGTGTGTGTGTGTAATTCGGGAACTGAGACGCCGCAGAAGTATTGACTTACATTTTCGGCTCACACTATTTCCTTTTTTATTTGCTGTCCTTCCTTCTAGGAAGGACATTTCCTTTTTCTGCTGTCCAGTACTCGGAGAGGGTTAAAAGCTATAGACCCTCATACATAAGTAGTACTACTTATGTAGTTGCTAACTTTCGCCGATTTTTACAAAGCCCACGCGCACAAAATAAATTTTTATCTTCGCGATTATTGAAAATTTGACATCCGGCTTAAATCTGAAAAAATTTGAAAAAATATGTTTGTGTTCTGTGATCTTCTCTCTTTAAAATCCGTTTTTGTTCGTGTTTTTGTTCCGCGGAAGTTCTAAAATTGTGGTCGCAGCAGGTCGACGAACTGCTCATTTCTATGCCAAAATCGTAAAATTTTTGATAGAAATAAGATCGAGGAAGGAATCTACATATGTAACTAAGTCACCTTTGGATCTAATCTAAAGATATTGCTGTTACTAGTGAACATCCCAAATATTCGGTTCTCCTATTCTTGTAGGTTTCTTTTGCGTACTCATCAATTGATATTCAGAATCACTCTGACAATGAGAGTGAAATACTCATATTCATTATGATTATATAAATATATTTCAGACCGATGCAATGGCGTAATTTTTAAACTAAAAACCGTTGACGTAGTAATGATCTATGTTTTTCCTAGTCTAAAACTAAAAACCGCTGGTTTGTTGTTGCTTCTTCATTGATCTGATACTTGTAACTGTAACAATATCTTGAACAGTCTATTGTAATAGTTAAGCGTATTGAATGTTTCGTTTGTTCTTTATTAAATGATTAATGTTTTGGAAAGGAGTAATTCGAGTGAATCATACGAATATGATTGTGATAATGATAAGGATAATATGACGAATACTTTATGAAACGAGCATTCATTTCTCTGTTCATATTGTGTATCACAAGGAATAGTTTTCACTTAAAAACTTCTCAGAATTAGAATTTTGAGGGAAAGTTTTCAGTTTGAAAGGATAAAGCATTCCCTAATTATACTTGTGTGTGTCACTGATGAAAATGAAATAACTGTCTCAATGTTTGTACATACATATGTACATATACATAATAGTATCTCTTCTATATTTGATGTTTTATTTGTGTTAAGTGCTTCCACGATTTTTGCATTAACTTAAGAAAATATATCCAGGTGATCGTCTCATTTTGTCATTTGTTTCGTGAATTCGCTAAAATTATTTCATCCAAATGATAAATGAAATAGAAAAATATGTACCATATATGCGATAACCTTTTACGACCATAATTTACGAAGGAACCCAGTCTATAAACATCGTGATCGAAACATTTGTTTAACAACTAAGGCGATTGTAAAATAAGTTTTAGCGACAGTTGTAACAATGTATCGTTACCTTGAATGCGAAGTGATCAAGAGACAACCAGTTACTTGTTATATTAGTAAATGTATATTAGTGATTTTGTTCAATTCGTATGTAACTGGTCAAGTTCCATTCTAATCGATTCAAACTGTTGAATTATTCATACGGTACATTACAGAATAATGCTTTTTAAACGAAACTTGTTACTCGAGTGAACAATATCTATTTCGTATTAACGTACACGTATACCATTGTATACAAAACATTTAATTCCATGAACAACAATTTGCTACGGAAAGAAACTTTCGAAATTTCACTCGACACTAGAAAGGATTGTACCGTTCAATTTTAATAACATTGTGATCTATCGTAAGAATGAAACGGTCGTTTCTTGATTAGGTTTAAGTGTCCGCTCTTATATGTATAAAGTTCTATGTTCTTTGGCTAAGACAACAAGTTTCCCTAACAACAACAATACAAATACAACACATAAAACACGTGTCACGAATAAAAACGTCGTTTTATGGTCCAATTGGAAATAACCAGTCGAAAGTTACAATCGGACATCAATACTAGTTAACATTCTTTCCTTCTTCGACGATTTGGACGATCGATCGATCGATCGATAGCGTTGATAATTGTTTAAAATTCAATTCCTACGTAAAGTAACGAGTCTTGACGGTCGACCAATTAGCCAAGGGGCATTACCTAAGGGGGACAGTATAGTACTAGTACAACGATCGGGATCGATCATTTGCGAGGATAAGTTTCTGGATTAACTGTAGGTCGAAATTTCTGGTCGTTAATGCATTTTCGAATCGATATTACTACTAGGAAGATATCTACGATCGCGTTAATATCAATACGCTGGCAGTTATGGAATTGGTGTCTAACGTTTTGATGGTATTCGTGGGGAATGTTTCACCGGTCAAAGCTGATAATTTTAATAGTTATAACGACGAGGACGACCGAAGGGCGGGGGCACTAGATTTCACGGTGATTTCGCACTACGTGTTTCGTGCACGATGCCTTGGCGCGCTTCTCAGTCTTCGTTTCTTTATGAGGAACGATCAAGTGTGGACTTGCACTTCGGTTTCCGTCCGAGTAGCCTGCGGAACGACGAGGTCCATCTCGACCGATTGAATCCTCCGGTGGTACATTGCTCGTCTGGCTCGCTGTAGCACAACGATTCGCTGATCTTTCTGCTGCTTTTACCACTGCTGGTGCTGGTGCTGGTGCTGGTGCTGGTGCTGGTGCTGGTGCTGGTGCTGGTGCTGGTGCTGGTGCCGGTGTTGGTGCTGCTACCCCCGTTGTCGTAACATCGTGATCTTCGATCTCCGATTTCCGAAGAGAACCTGAGTCAAGAAGGTTGTTATAGATACAATTACAGTTGCGTTAAAGAGAAAATCATTAGCGGAAGATGTTCGTTAGAGCGATGCAACCCCTGAACCGGAAGAGAAGGCTCGAGCCGTAGGTGGGGCGCTAGAATTGGCCGATGATAGGGATATTTCAGCGACCGGCGTGCTGGGATACGCTTCGTCGTCCGAGACACTGTTACTGCTAGTTGTACTACTGCTGCTGCGATTGCTCCCTCCGGCGCTACTGTCCACGCTGGAATCATCGATGAAGCTTATTTCTCGATCGGCCAATGGCGAACCGGTCCTCTGTCCACGCGACGACGATGTTGTTGTTGTTGTTGTTGGCGTTGCGCTAGGTCGTAACCAAGTTCGTAGATCCTGCAGCGGCGCTTGAAGGCACTTGAAAAGATTGCCGCTGAAAGTTTTACCAATCGATGCTGTAGACGATTCGCTTTGTGTTCCGTAATTTTTGCGTTACAGACAGTTAAAGGGGTTGTAAAAACAATCGACTTACTCGTCGCGATAATCATCAATCTCCGCAAAAGTGCGGCGCGCGTACAAACAAACAGAGCATCGCCGACGGCGGCGGCAAGACGTGGCGTGAAGAGTCGCTGCACGTAGATGTCTCGCGGCGTGTCTCAGCGTAATCGTTTCTCGAGTCAGGGCTGCGACGCCTTCTTCTCGTCTGCGTCTTTCTTCTCCTAATTCCCCTTGCTCGACGCGTAACTTTTCCCTCAATATTTCATTCTACAAACCGAAAAGTTTGGTACAAATTAGTTTCAAAGGTTAACCCAGAATGGAAATGTTTGCTAATATTATACATATAAGCAGGCGGCTTGCGTTTCCATCCTATTATTATTTTTTATATACATACAATATGAGAGAGAGAGAGAGAGAGAGAGAGAGAGAGAGAGAGAGAGAGAATACTGTATTGGTAGGTAATCGGCCTAGATGAAGCAAAGTTCATCGCTTAGCTAAAACATTAGCCGCATTTTCACCTCTCTCTCAAGAGCATCCCGTTCAGCGCGAATCACCGTGGCCTGCCTGACGACATCCTGTCGAGCTCGTTCCAGAGTTTGTCTCGTAATCTCGTTCTGGGCCAGTTGCATCTGTAGACGACGCAAAGTCACCTCACGCTGCCTCTCCAGACGATCCCGTGCCGCTACGCAGCTGTCCCGTTCACTTTTAGCTCTTTCCACTTCTTCCTCCAGCCGGAGACTTCGCTCTAATTGCAGAAACAGTTCGTCCTCTTTGCCGCGAAGGTCGGTTTCGCAGCCTTCCATTCGCTTCTCTAGGACCCGTCGAGTCTCCTCCAACTTGTCCCTCTCAGCCTTGAAAAAATATTAAAGAGATTATCGTGAAATACTGTGGTGCGGACCCCCCCCCCCCACACACACACACACAAACAATATTCGTACAAAAACAACATTACAATGTAACTAGTCTCATTAGAGTAGTCTATTCAATAGCACTTATCCAACGATTGCGAACCGTTAAGACACGATGATTCGTGGAAATATTCGAAAAGGACTTTTTATCGTTTCAGATTCGATATCGCGAGTGCATGTGTAATTGAGAGGGATAGATAAACGAACTTCACCCAAACATATTTCATATCTATGATCAAAAGTGAAAATCTTAACATCTTATCGACAGTACTATTGCACCGATAGTTTACAGCTAGAACGAGATTTTTTGGAGGCGAAAATTGATTCGACACAATTTTGCATCATTTGTAACACACAAAAGATACTAGTCAACATGACGCCATTACAGTGTTATCCGTCGATAAAGTGCATTAAGATACATTACAGTGTTCAACAAATTTTCACTTTTTTTCGTTTTTGTAATCTCCAATACGCGTTCCTGATAGATTTTTTTGCGCTGGAATACGAATCTGTCAACCGTTTCTTTCCAGTACGCCGAGTCTTTGAAAATTAATTTAAAAAAAGATTGTAAATTTTCAAAATTAGAGTTATGTAGTGCTTTTACAGTAATTGTTATTCAGTTTCTTTTGACACGAAATAATTCTCTGGATTCTTCGGAACAAAATGATATAAATTTTAATTATATTATAGACATCTAAATATGTTTAAATAATGTTCAAAGTGAAAAGGACACCGAAAACGCACCAATTTTTGCTGATATTCTTGAATTTATTTAAAAAAACTAAGGGACTAGGAGAAAATCTAACCATAGCACGCGACAGAGCAGACCTTTCTACTGAGGAAAATACCAAAGCAAGTTACAAAATCTGTTTTGTTTTCAATAGAGAAGCGAAATAAGTGATCAAATCACACGGCAACGACAGTCGTACTCAATGACGGCGGTCGACTTGCCTGTGCGCGCGTTTAACGCTTCCGTTATGCCGAGAATGAGTGGCAGGCCAGGCAATAAAGATCTATCAGAAACGCCTATTGAAAATTGCAAAAATTTTTACGTGTTGTACAGTGTTATCGGCGATGATGATCGAATTTGTATGTTTTTTCAATCTGTTTGAAAAACATTATACTCCATAGAAGCGGCCTGTACACGTTGAAATCTATTTCTGTTCAGTGAATCATCATAATCCCCCGCTCTTCGAAACATAACTATGTAACATGTAATTAAATCAAGCTCGCGTCATCGAGATTACTCATGACTCAGGGTAATCCGCCAAGAATGGAGAAGTTGATCATCATGTAAAATCGTTGAACATTCTTAAGAAAATCGTACTATCTTGAATCTCTTCTTCTAACTTATTTGGCCATAGCTTCCGGCAGTGAATATCAACTGAAAAGCCAAAATGTTCCAGTTCGTTCCAAGTGTGGATTCACCTTTAACCACTCGAATGTTGTCTAGCATCGCGCTAGATGCCGCATTGTAGGTCAACTTAGGTGGGTAAGTTAGCGTCGAGAGGTTGATGAACGCCATTACGGGCTAGATTGGAGCGGACGCCGAAGAGTTTCCCGGACCCCGATCGCGACGGGACAAGACTGGGACAGGACTAGGATGGGATAAATGGGACTGAACGAAATGGGACGAAATGGGACGGGGTAAGGGCAAGGGAAGAAAAGAGAAGAAAGTCGCGGAAAAAAGAGAGAAAGAAAAATGGAGGGAAACGAGACAAGTCGAAAGACAAGACGTGAAACCGCAGAAGGAAAAACCGGAGTATCGAAAAACAAAACGTAACCGATTCTTGTGTTTTCTGTTTTTTTTTTTCGTTTTCTTTGCCGTGATTCTACGACTTGGTTTTGCTTCTGCGGTCTGCTTTTGTCGATGTTGATGAACAAATTCTGCGGTTCGAGACAGACAGCAGACGTACAAGTGGTCGCGGGTAGAACGGAAGGCCAAGGGGAAACCAGTGCCTACGGCCTACGGGTATACAAGTATACATACATACATACATACATACGTATACACAGTCGGCGTAGTACACAATATAACCAATGAACGAGACTTATCGAACGTCGCGACGTCGACGACCGTCTTTTCGTTAAGTAGACCTTTCTTCTCGAAAGGCTTCGCCCTGATTGATTGATCGATTGATTGATTCTCCCTTCTTCTCTCTTCATTTGCTTCTTTTTCAGGGTAACTCGGTAACTCGGTCACTCAGTACTCATGGCGCGGTGGAGCCAAAATGAAATAGAATGAAACTGAAATTTTTACGATGAGGACTCAATTTATGGTTGTGAGTTACATTCTCTATTCTGGTGATTTCGATTTTTATACTCCGTCACTTTAGTGTTCATCAATGTATTCCGAAATAGGAGGATTTCAAATTCTATGTATTACATTTACGAAACGACGGTTTTAGTGGACTATTTTCTCGATGGCAATTGACGACGTGTCCGAAACCCAGGAAACCCAAGGAGCTCATATCTGCACTTCATGTAGACGTTTTCTGAAATTCGATGAAGGGATTGATAACTCAATTTCCAATTGATTCCTTGCTTTTGTATTGTTTTTCTGCATATCACGTATGTATGTATGTATGTATGTATGTATGTATGTATGTATGTATGTATGTATGTATATATGTATGTACATTACACGTGCTGCCATACTTAAATTTCAAACTGTTACATTCGCATTTCATCAACTTTCGTAAACTATTAACCGAAACAATACGAGTATTGAGAATAACCGAACTATGTACCATTTCTCATAGTACAATAATTATTCTCTAGTTAACGCAAGTAGCTATCGAATATGTACATACATACATAGGTATGTATACCTACCTACCTATTCGAACGAATCTACACATGTGTAAGTAATCTGGATTACGTTAACCGTGTTAGCGCGCGCTGGCCTCAGTTTTCACGGAACAGAGTCGTTATCAAATTTCGTCCCAAAGAACTGCGTGAGAGCCCAGAAAAACGCTCGAGACCTTTAATACCGCGTGAGAAATGTTCTCTCTACGGCTGAACCGTCAATCGTCGCAAATTGGCGTACCGGTAAACTGAGACTGAGAGACACAAGGTGCACGAACGCGAGCCATGCAGTCTCAACCCTTATCTAAATTAATAGAGAACCTGCAGTCCTACCCAATTCTCGCCTAAAAATAGTTCAACGAGCGTTAACATAATTACCCTGTTATCTTGTGAAATTTACAGCGATGCAAAGTACGTACCTATACAATAATAGATTAGATTTTTTTTAGGATTTTCCTCTCAGAACGTATATGTATACATAATATAATATGTATATACGATGACAGAAAGTTAAAGAATTCCCCTACGGCTGAGAAAATAGGGTTTCTCTGTATCATAAAGAAGGAATCCAGCTGATACTCGGTCGTGTTTAATATCTCTAAACATCGTACCGCTTCGGTTTCTTCGGTTTCGTCGGTTTTTATGAGCAGATCTTGTTCGAGCAGACATTTTCAAGAAGGTATCTGCAATGAGATGGGAAACGACTCGTAACGGCAATCGGAATCGTCTCTTCCACTGGAAGAGTTTCTCCTCCGGTCCGACAATGGGAGTGGCATCTTATCGATAAATTTTTTTCCAGCGTAATCTCTCCCGCGGAAAGAGCAGGTTTTCTCTTCTACAATTTTGCGAACGATATCAGCCGAGCAGCTTGATTTCACTTCGGGCGCAAGCTCTTTGGTTCAGATAACATCGAGCAGACTAACGAGATCGCGGAAGAAACGCTCGCATCTCCGTAATCGTCTCAGGAATTAATTGCACCATTACGCGGTACTCGCGTGAATACATAGAGATCATTTTCCTCGAAACCAGTCCGAATACAATTCATTCATTCTCTCTCTCTCTCTCTCTCTCTCTCTCTCTCTCTCTCTCTCTCTCTCTCTCGTTATTGTTTTGAATTTTTAGACGAGTTACCGTTACAAAATACAGAATGTAAATCATAGAAAAAAAGAATAACACTTTATGTCAAAACAAGTACCTACGTACCTATGTACAGTATGTACCTGCCTACATATCTATATCTGATTTTCTTCCGAGCTAAGAAGTAAGGTGAAAAGGATAGTAGTGCTGAAATTATACATATGCATACATATGTATACTATAGATATATTATTTGGATCAGCTAATCATTTAACATGTAGTAGGTACCTATCGAAGTTTGACGAAATTACCAAAGAAACCCGTGAAAAGATTCACCCAAGTTCCAAAGAATTCCAGAGAAACCGATCTTGTTCTTTTTTAATATCAGATACGTATTTTTAAAAAGGTATCGACAACTCGACAAGATAGAAACAACCTTATCGATTGATCACGTAGATTTCACCGATCGATATTTCCGGGAGACTAAACACTGGCCAACAAACAATTTGCGAATGTGGTTCGATCGAACATCGGTAATCTCTTTTCCACGTACCTTGACTTCGTGGTACCGTTCTTCCAAGTAGTACGCGATACCCTTTGCTTCCTCGTACTTCGCGGCCAGGGCAACGTATTTGTCGTAATGGCGCTTGAACAACACGAATCTGTAATCAGAAAACACCAACAGTGTCACAATCACATATGTACTGTATGCACAATACATATACGATACGGTTTAGGATGTAGATTTCGCGACGACGTCGAAATTCTCTACAGTGATTTAACATTACAACTACAGACAGGTATTAGATACCGATAAGATAAGATTAATTGTACACAAGGTTGATCCAGCTTGCGAGAGATAATAAGTAAACATAATGCTCTAATAACTTTTGCGACACCTGACTGATGTTGATTTATGGCCGAACTGGGAGTTATCGACTCTGTGTGCGCCTGGTTGAACCTGAACCTTTTCATTTCCGCTTCCTTTCATTCGTTCTTTTTTTTTACGCGCCCTGAGAATACGTAGATGTCGCAGATAATACGTGTATCAAACGTAAGAATATACTTATCTCTCACTGTGAAGTGAATCGAACATCTAATGCTCAGCATACGCTCGAAATCATTGTAAGTATCGCAACTACAATATTATACTTATTATACTTATTATTATTATTATTATTATTATTATTATCATTATCATCATCATCATCATCATCATCATCATCATCATCATCATTATTATGATTATTATTATTATACTTTACTGCATCGAAACATTCCTTACGACGACGGCTTAGCAACCCGTTCTAATTCATTCTCCAGAGACAGTCTATGCAAATGATATTTGATTGTAGATATATTCGATTTAGCACCGCGAACAATCCCTGAAACAGCATCTATCCCGCTCGGTTCTCATTAATTATTGTAAGCATAACATTCCTTCTCGCATTTGCCTATCAACGTTGTGTTTCGTAATCTCTCGTTAAACATCTCGCCGTTAAGGCGTTAAGAAACCGGAAACGCAACCGTGTCCCACGGAATTTTAATGAGAGAACGAGATACATATGTACGTATATCGAAACGAGAAGTCGAGAGAACGCGACCTTTCGGTCATGTTGCCAGTCCGGTTTACCGTCGTCTCCCTAGGATTCTCCTCTCCGATCGATTTCTCTGCGTCTGGATTCTGGATCTCTTCACTGGGCCCTATCCGAGTCCGAGTCCGAGTCACCGAAACTTCCTCTTCCTCTTTCCGCTTGTATTTTCTTTCGACTGGCTCTTACTGTTTGTTATGAGTCACCGACACTCGCACGACCGATGCTCGTCGTCCATTCTCTCACCGGGCCTCCTGGAAGAGGACTTTCGCTTTCAGGATTGTTCGACGTGTGCCGTGTTCCCGCCTCGAGATCCACGAATGACCCTTCGCCTATCTTCTGGCCGACTCTGCCAGCTTCCGAGGCCCGTTCGATCGTCACACCTTTCTGGACCGAGACGCCTCCGCCTAGAAAACCTGTCTACGGCTCGATCTATGTAATTCTAGCGCAGCTCCGAAGGTGACGGATCCAACCCGCTTGCAATCGATAGCTGCGACGTGCGTGTTCCTATATCGATCGTGTCCCGCGTCTCGCGAGCTCCGGATCTATACTCGTGGATAATTTTTCTTTTTTATTCAAATTCGAGACGCCCTCGATAAACGTGATTGGAAAGCGGACAAGGATGATTCATCGATCGATCGACTATGAACTAGTTTTGACTGTCCGAGAACCGACGCCGACGCTTTGACGGACGAACCGGATCGGCAGCGATCCGATAACAAAAAAAGAAAAACGAAGAAAAAGAAAAGAAAAAAATATTATTACTTATAACAGGTCACATTCTGTATTTCACGATTTCTTTTTTTAACGAAATTTATCAAATACATATACATGATATAACTTGACTTGATAAGAAGCGACGAAATGTTATTAAAGAAATTAAACACTCGAAATGCACCCTAAATGAATAAAGGAACTCTTTCTGCTGAACATTCTTACCGTGAACGTGATTTGCTTCTACAATGAAGCTTCGCGCACGCTTCAAGTCCTGTGACGCCCGTTATTCAGTTCATGAAATCACGTTTTTTTCTAATATGGTACACGAACAGAAATACCGAAGACAACAATGGTCTATCAATTAAGGGCCCACATCAATGAAACTGGCATCCGAGTAAAGCCACATATGTATGTATGTATGTATGTATGTACAATACATATAATATTTTCATAGGCAGTCCACGTAAGTTTCATCATGCACGAAACTATTACAGATCGCTAACAGCTAGGAATAATCTGCTTCCTGTCTCCATAAACATAAACTATAAACGGAAACAAAAGAGGTTGTACGTGCTAAAAAGCCTACGTAACACCGATCGGACCTGTCCGAATTGCACCTACTGATTTCGATTAAAATACAATCAGAATTAGTATCCCCCACCCATTGTATGAACTATCCGTCCGCCGGTTGTCCAAACAGTTTCCTGTCCGTCAGTCTGATGTAGGTACTCGTCGGACTAACGCTGTTCTACCGTAAGTGTAAGTACGTAAGGCGTAGGGTATAGGTATATTTTCGCGAATTTCGCTTTTGTACGTTGTCGAGAGAGAAACCTGTGCAGCAGCATTACAACCTTGAGAAAAGGAAAACGGGCTGGCAATAAATACTTTTGTCAACGAGCGAGTCCGCCGAGTTCCGTTAGTCAATGGAGAAACTGCATATAAATCGGATCGACGATTCTTACGGGCAACGACTCATTCGTTCGGTATTCAGTGGGCGTGCAAAGAGGATCTTCAGGCAACTTTCTAATGCCAGGTATCTCGGTAAAAGGGTTAACGGCGCTGTATAACCGCATCGAAAGTCGCTGCACGACTGATTACAAAAGGGTTGCTTGCTGCCCCTCCTTTACCCCTCCTATGTACTTCGGTTTCAAAAGATTAAAAAATCGTTCGACGGACGAGTACAAAAGAAAGCGAACGCGCACTTCCATTTCTTAACCGTCTTCGGAACAGCAAAGGTGGATGATGTTCGCCAAGCGCCTGTAATTGACGAAATTCGTCATTGACACGTTCAATAAACCGCTAAAACACGAGAGCTTTCGCGTTCTCGGAAGGCTCTTTGGAATTTAGCGCACCGCTGCTCGAGATAAACAGGTAAATAATCCGCTCAATGTATGCGCCTGTGTCAATTGAGCGACTTATCGACTGTAATTGTGGACGTTGATGGCAAAATGGCACATACGCCAGAACGCTATTTCGAGAAAATCAACTTGAAAGTTTTTATTAGAATACTACTTAATAAAAAAGTAATGCAATTAAAAGCAATGTTATTGCCATACCTACATACACATGTATCAGAGTCGATTTGGATGATTTACAATTTACGGAATTTATGGAAAAGGGGCACATAAGCCTATGTATATATGTATAGCCTCAATTATATCATGTATTGAGTTCCTCGTTCTATCAAACATCAAACCACAAGGATCTTCATTGTATTTCTAGTGGACAGTTTGAATTATGAATACGCATTACCGACACACTGTTTTGACACAGATATTTATGTAAATTTGCACTTTCTCGGGGTGTTTATAGAAATGCGAATTATAGAATTTATAGAAATGCGAATTAATCAAATTTTCGAGCAAGCGTACAGTAGGTACGTGCGAAAGGTATAACCATTCTAGCTGAATACTGAAAATTCTGATGCACGTATAACGGTAAAAATACAGCCCACCACCAGTCACCTAAAAATACCTTCGGTTTTTGGCAAGAGTACATTCGATGTCCACACTTCTGATCGGAACTGGATTCGATTTGTTCGAAAAATTACTGCCACTTATAAATTCAGTATAAAGGTGTTGCTCATAGATTTACTTGTAAACTCATAAGCATAAGTAAACCGATTAAACACAAATATGACTATTTTATTGTACCATAGATCCGTAAAACTCGCAGTAGATTTGTAAGTGGGATGTATAAAATTCTTTCTACTGAACGAAAACACAGAAAAGCAACGATTAAGTCACAATTACTTAATTAACATCTTAGGCTTATCTGCGAAGCAAATCAACAGACAAAACTAGAAATGAGTAACGAAGAAGATATCCATATTATTATATAGAGTGACCGAAATAAAACGATTCGATTGTTCAACCTGCTGCTTCAAATCTGATGGAAAAATATCATTCGTATAAGTTGATCGCGATACATACCTACGTATAGGTTTTTCTTCCGTTCCACGACAGACGCGAAGGAATTTTTATTTCTCGGATATAAGAATCGTGAAGCAAAGTCCGCGTCCCAGTTCCCCCGGCATCGTTTCACGGCCATCGCGACGTCGATGACAACCTTTTTGAAGAGGTACAATAGGTATGTACATAATGATATAATGTTGTTGGCCTGGCCACCGATTCGGAATCGCCGATCAACATGTTACCCGATGCGTGACCGTTGACTCGTGCTTACGACTTACGAGTTATTATCGAGTCCCGACCGTCTCGGCTTGGCTGTCGTAGAGAGAAGACAACAGAGCTAAAGATAGCGGATATCCAAACAGCCTCGTCTGCCTCATCCTACAGAAGAGGTTCGAAAAAGTATCGGCCTATATAACACTGCTGTGTCATACATTTTGTCGGACATCTACAGTCATGCTGCTGTTCAAATTTATTAATATGTTAGGCTACAGTGGATGCACTCTGTGTTTTCAAGTTATTGTAGCATAAATAATTAATGTTATGGCCAAGAGGCCATATACATACATATAGTATAAGCTGAAGAGGCAAGCCGCCTGCTCTGTCATTTAAGACTCGCTAGCTACTCCAACTGAGCAGTCTATGTGTCGATTCTCGCTCTGTCTCTGTTACACGCATAGGCTGCTCAGTAGGGGTAAGCACCTACCGTTGACACGTTTATGGTCACAGCAGTTATACTATATGTATGTACGTATACCTCTCACTACTTTGCCCCAATCAATCCATCCTTCATTTCTCTCCCCTGTTAGCTACCCATTGTATGTACGTACACTGTGATCTAGCTCCGTTTCCCTTAACCTTTCCACTCGGAACAAGGGAGACCCGTCCTTTACCAGTGTCCCGTCGCAGCTTTATTTAGACCACGTGTTTTCGAAATATACATGTATGTACACATGTACATGGTGCTTGTCTCATACGCGCGCGCTGAATAACTTCTATACATATAGGCTTTTGCACCGCGCGACAAAGGTCGAATCGTCCCGCCGCGACACCGCGAGGTGTTATATGTAGGTATTATATGTATATGTATTCTTTCGCAGCCCCCCCCCCCCCAAATATCGCGTCCAAATCCGATATAAAGATGTTTCAGTCTGTCTGATAATAATCGTTATCTGTAATTATAGGCAAAATTTCAAAGTTACTGTAACTAACGCGAGCTGATTAATTGCATTGATTAAATCGCATTTTAACTGGACGCGCGCCGTGCTCCAAAGTTGCTCGTAATTTCCTTTGAAGCTGTTTTCATTGTGAATGCATTGATACTACGACCGCGTACGTACATACATATATACATATACATATACATACATACGTCACGCATAGATATACATATACATAAATGTACATGGCACAACGAGCCTACGGAAGCCGCTCCTTCGTCATTAAAAACGGAACGCTCTTTGATTTCCGTTTTTAAGCACGCTCCGCACCGGTTCGAATACTTTGTCAATGATTGAACGTCACCGACTAGTAAATCAAACCACCCCGCACTCGAGAGAATCCTAGCGGAAATTGTACGATCCTCTAAGCTCTAAGCTTTCTGCGAGTCTTCTTGCACGACGCAACATAGCATGATTCGCTTTTTCTATTACGTTCGAATGTTTTCCGAATTTATCGTTAAAATAACATATTAATGGTAATAAATTAAGTATTAAATTAACAAGCGTAAATAATCGCGAGAATCGTCAAATAATGTATTAATAAATTTATCAAGTGGTAGGAGGCCCTTACCCTTACGCCGCTTTTTCTCCTAGTGGAAACCGAGTTTGCTGGTTCGTGTACATACATATGTCCGTGTACATGAAAATCTGTGGTACAAGATTACCGGTTTGCAACAGTTTGCGCGACAATTCGGAACAGCAGCTTAATATTCCTTGACCATGAGAATAATTTTATCTGTAATATGTATTGTGTACCCTACGTAAACAGATACGTCGTGAAACGAGCTACAATATAAATTTAATGAAACGATATGACTCAATTTAAAAAGAAAATAACGCGACCATGAAATTTGTTCATTAATAATTCAAAAAGCTACTTAATAGGTACATATAGATGTATACATGTATCTACTTCCCCGAGTATCCGAAGAAATATATACATACATACATACATACATACAACCTAATCGTGAACACGTTTAAATCGAGCGTACTGCAAATGCATCACCCGATGCATTTATATCCTCTCGTAAAACGCAAGAAATCATCGTAAACCCACGTGTACCTATACATATAACTGGCTGCTCGTCTACATTTACGGTTAACACACATATTTCAAATCCCGGATCTCCAGTGGCACGACTTGCAAATCTGTAATATCGGCTTCGGACGGAGTCTCTCCGGTACGGTCGGAAATTATCGAGAAATAGTACACTTCGTTCGGCTACGCTCTTTGTCCGTCAAGTTTGAATGGTCTAATTGCACTCAGAATATACCGGGTGCATTGATAATTGCATATTCCCCCTTGATTCTATTTCACATATAATACATTAGATAAGTATCATATGTATAAAAAGTACACTCATCTTGTAATGTTGAAGATACATATCCGTTAGGTATTAATTATTCGCTCGTCTCACAGTCGTATGAGCACGTAATACGTTCGTTCGTCTAATACTCTAATGTAAAAAATGTGTAACGTTAAGCGGAGACGTGTTTCCCGACATGTATGCTATATGATATGTATCTGCGTAAAGTCGCCATGGTTGAGCGATCTGACCCGAGGGAAAGATAACAGCTGTAGCGGTCGACGCCGACGACTTAAAATTTGGACACTGAGTTGACAAATCGTGGGCGCGTCGCCATGATAAAAATCAACAGAAAACGATGTCCTCATTCGCGACACAAACAAGAAGCGTACCGCTTACGTCGATGATAAAGTCGAAAGATCGACGTTCGAGGAACAGGATATAGGTACATACTTATTGTATACTATGCACTTTGACGCTCGGAACGGTAAAAAGAATCAGAAAAAGCGGTCGTAACGGGCTATAAAAGCCGGTGAAAGACAATTCCCAATGGAAAACGGTAAGGATTATTATAAAAATGAGAATATAAAGTGCCTGTCGGTATGTTCTTTATTCTTCCCACTTTCTTTCATCTCCGTTTAGAAAACGACTAGAAATTCGAAGAGAATATACAGAGATAGTCGAAGGAATATTTAAATTTGACATAATCGTCCTATTAATTTACGTTTTCTATTACTATTTTCTTTCTACTTTATTTTCTATCATTACCGCGTACTTATAAAACTTCAAGTATCCCAACAGCTCTTTGATGGACTTTACATCTTCTGCATTCTCGTATGATTTTCTACCTACGTATGTGTGTAGGTATGTATGTATATATGTATATATCTCTATGTATGTATGTATACTTTGTGTGAAACTCGTACGTATAATAGGTATACATGACAACAATAAAATTCAATCACTGCTTTCTTCGTTTAACTCGAATAACATTGCAGTCGTAATACAAATTGGAGGAATATTATGCATGCTTGGAAGTAAATCACGTTTAAAGTTGTACTTGAGGGACAGAGAAGACTGGATCACATACTCACAGTTCACAGCCTGTCAAGTGAGGGGGGAACACAGGGCGAGTATTGTAACATGGAAAACCTACCCAGGTTCAAAGATGTATGTACATACATACATACATACATACATACATACATACATACATACATATATATATGTACACTTCATTACCAAGCTTTCCGTATTTATTTTTCGATGTCATATTACCAATAATTTAACCTCGAAAACAGAAAAGTAAAATGTATTTAATGCTGCCACAATAGCAGTGTCATAAATGTTGCGAAGCAATGAACAGAACACCAAGGGTACATGTATAGGTATTTAACAGAGGTTTAAATACCCGGCACTGTATACATACCTATACCGTTTTCCAAAGTTCTCGGAACGTTCCTTTCTTCTCCATCTTTCTTTCGAACCATTTCACCCAGCAAATAAAATACAATAAGCTTATTTCTTCTCTCAGTTCTTGCCTGTCGATTTTCACTCTCAAAACAGAGACTTAAAATCTTAGATACACGAAAAATGATAAAAGTATTATTACTCTGATTTTCAGTTCTTTGATCAAAAGAGACCCAGCCTTTGTCGCGCGAACATTATGTACTCTCAAAAACCATTAAAGCCCAAGACCGTTTTGTTCATTCTTTTACTACGATATATGCAATATGTACTTATTGTCCATCGAAGGTGAAATAAATAAACAAGAAAAAGATTCTAACCTGTAAAGATCATTTTCTGTGACGATATCCCTAATAGAATCTTCAGGATCGATACGATCCGCAGGCACACCTGATGGTCTTCCGACCCTCGAGGACAACAACGAACACGGTGGTGGTTTCGCGTCGGTAGCCTCGTGGAGGGCGCTGGCCGCGATCAAGTCGTCCTCGGAGGCGGTGCTGGTCAAAGGCAGGCTAGGACTCGGGGAACGTGAGCCGGATATCACGCCGAGTAAATCCTCGCTTCTAGAGTGCCTCATCTCCATACCACCGTATCTGCCGGTGGTTGCCGCCATCGTTCGACCAACCACTGCGCGCACGATTTTTCCACGTTCAAACGAGATGAACACAGTCTTTGTCCTTTTCTTTCTCCTCGTACTCGTTGCCACGACCTCGAGCTGCCCAAAGGAATCGATGATCTAGCAACTACTCCCATCCGGACAAGCCCTCCAAGTCTTTCTATCTCTCATTCAACTAACTACATTCGAAACTCGCCACGCGATCCTCCGATTTTCATTTCGAGATCTCTCTCTCTCTCCCTTCCTCTGTGTTCTTCGCTCTTTCCTTACCGCCTTTCGCTCCTCGTGGGTTTACCACCATGTACCGAGGTACTTACATCTTGGGATGTTCCTTCGTCCATGGCAAATCAGATTTTTTACCATTATGAATCCTTTTCGTCGGAATTGATTCTATTGCTTCTGCCACATTTTCTTCGTTTACGATTCCGTTTCCGTTTCCGTTTCCGTCTCAACCCGTGTTCACTACCGTCTTGGTCACTAGAGATTCGCGACAGTTTTTTAAACAGTCACCCATTCATCTGTCGGTGGTATGTTGTATCCAGTGTGGTGTTTGGTCCTATTATCGTCTGTAGTTTCGTTATCGTTGCATATCGTCAAACGAACGTCTCGGTTTCTCGATACGTAATACCGTGATCTATAAGCTCCAGTTACGAACGCTACGTTTAAGTAACACTCGATTATCGAGAGATCACTGTACAAATCGTCGCTCCACACTTTCTCGATTTTTAACGGGTTAACGAGCACCGTGACGTCGCGCGAATCACCGAGGCTAACGGACCTTTTCTACTCCTTTGCACGTTCATACGCATTCACAGATTTTATCACGAATACCAGCAACACCTCCGTATTCTTAGAGATAGTAGACGGTAAAGCAGCAAAGTTGAAAAGTGACAGGCTGCAATGTTACCGTCGGGAGCATGACTTTTTTCGGACGAATCCACCTTACGACGAGCGAGTTTTAAGAAACCGTTCGATTTGTTAGCGTGGAACGATCGACGAGTCGAATCATTGATGAAAATTCACGCCGCCATTTCCTTCGGACGATTTATTTTATGAATATGTGTGTATTACGCCTCTCGAGGAATACCGGACACGAGGCAGGCAAGCAAGCACGCAAGCACGCACGCACGCACGCACGCACGCACGCACGCACGCACTACCGCTGAACAAGCTGATCTCTTTGTAATTAAAGTAATTAGAAAGAACAGGGTGGTTCTTCTCGACGGACCATGCGCGGCGAATACGGGACGCACTCTATACTTGTCCGGAATCGTCCACTTTGCGCGACGAGAGTTAACGAGACACTGGAGATCGTGCGATTTTAAATCTGCTGGCGTAGGTAAATTTTTCTTCGGCGTTCAGCCTTTCTTTCACGAGCCACGACCCAAGTCTGCCGTAACGGTAACCAACAGAGCCGCTTCGTCCTTTTGCAAGGAAGGGGCTTGCGGGAAAGGATAGACGTATACCTGCGCGTTGCTGCGCGTTCGCCGCAGGTATACGCCGACATTGACCAATGAACGTCCCTTCGACGAAATAGGGTCACAGGTAAATCCTTCGTCCTTTTCCTGTTGCTTATTTTTCGAATTCATCAAACCACTGTACTCTTGAAAACTCTAAGGCGATGGAAACGAGCATCGTAAGCTGTTGAATATTTCTTAGACCATTTATAGACTAGATTGTTCCGTACTTCCAATCCTGAAGTACGAAATGTTTTTGTCAAGAAGAGGTTAGTTCGTGTTTAATTGAAACGGTCGCTCTCCAGCCTTTCAAGGAACATAAAACGATTCACTAAGGTGCTCTCGAGAATACTATATATATAGAGAACTATAATAAATTTACTACAGTATGATGTACAATGGACCGTTGTGATCTTGAGTACTTATATCTTCCACAAGGGATTACAAGGAATCAATGAATCCGTCCAGAGATTACCAAAGGTCTGAACCGTCTGAACTGGTCTTAACCTGAACCTTTAAATATGCAGAACTATTATGAAACGTTAGTTATCGTACATCTCTTTAGACAGCGCTGTATACAATTCAGTTGAATGTATTTTCTATCAGATGGCGTTGCCTGTCCTTATTCAAAACAAGATTTGTGGTCTCGAATGTCTCTTGTCTAGCGATACTTATCATACAACATAAATATATATGTATGTAAACACAAACGTAAATATATAATTCGAATTCGTATATTCATTTTAGGTACAATATTAGTATAAATAAGTTGTTAAACAAGTTTTTATTGTAATTGTATATACATATATCATTAGATTGCTATTTCTGTATTTGTTTCCAACATTTGAGAATCATTTCATAAAATGATATTTTCCATAAAAATTCGAAGTCTGCATTATCACTCATAAAAGCCACCCTTCTTGATACGTTCGTCGAAAGATAAAAGGGGGGCTTAATTTTATTCTGTGGAGAATATATAAGAAATACTGCTAGGATTATATTAATAGTTTTATATTTGGATGTACAAAATTATTTTATTTTAAATTATTACAGGAAAGAAAAATAATTGAAATTTCTTGTAACCCAAAGAGACGCAATAGGCTCGTAAAGATAGTTCTTCTCGAACCATGGGAGACTGATCTACACAAAAAAAAAATATTTATTGTATATTTAATACTATTCTTCATTGAGATCAATTAAGAAATTCATGTTAATGTTCTCAGAAGTAGCAAATTTGCAATCAAGGCACTCATAGATCTTGGTGAATAAATCATCATATAATTGAAATAAGAATAACAAATCGTATCAAGTAGCATAAACACGTGAATTACTACCTTCTCTCCGCCAATTACATCTTGCATTCACGGTCTCACCTATATATATATATATATATATATATATATATATATATATATATATAAACAGATTTTATTCATGGAATGTCCTTGTTTAATTCATTAATAACTTTTAAATCAATTAATCAGCTAGCAAATACTGTGACTAATCACGGCGTTTATAGACCTTGATGATAAAAACTTCCAAAACAACTAAAAGTATACGAATTACATAAGATTCCATTTATACTTACACTTTTTTGTGAAATCTTCTCAAGTATATTAAACCAGAACCCTGTAAATATTTTTTTTTATTAATTTATACCTTACTTCGTAAACAACTATTTTTTATTAACAATTCGATTCAGCTAGCAAATACTATGATAAATCATGGCGTTCATAGATCTTGGTGGTTGGAAAGATTCATCATGAATATTTTATAATACACAAAGAAAGTGTAAACAACATTTATACTCACATTTTTTCATAATATGTAGTCATCCATAACGTCTTTGATATGGCATATGCATATTTCATCAGTAGAAACACCTGAAACAATTTTTCTCCATTAACAATCATTCTTTAATGCCTTTAGAATGATTTTTTATCTACACGTGAGTCAGTTAGCAAATACTAAGACTAATCATGGCATTCATAGATCTTGGTGGTTCGGAGTTTCATCATGTGTTAGATACGTAAAAACTAAGAAGACAGACATAATATGTATATAAAAACCGTACTCACTGTTTGTACAAATTATACGGAGGTATCCAAACAATCTGTAAAAAATAATCAATATAAGTCTTGTCTTATCTACTTGCAATTATAAATAATATATATGGTAAATTTTGTATCAGATAGCAAATACAAGAACTAATCATGGCATTCATAGATCTTGGTGGTTGCAATTATCATCATATAGATGTCCTATTACAAAAGGAAACTTTATACAGGGTATCTCAGCTAACTTGATCACCTCGAATAATGACTTAACGGTACACTTCATGAAAATTTTCAGGCGTGGAACTTTAATGGCATCAAGGGGCTCATCTTATAAGGTGGCGTACTTTTTTGTGGGTGGAGGCATTTCAGAGATTTTAAGGTCACCTTGATTTTTTTTAACGAAATGACTTATGTAGGTCTTGATGCCATTTAAGTTCCACAACTCAAATTTTTCATAAAGTGTATCGTTAAGTCATTATTCGTGGTCATCAAATTAGCAGACACCCTGTATACCTTACTACATTAACCTTACCTATATTAAGAAGCCCCAATGTCTAAGAGTCTGAAAATCTGTAATCAGAATAATGAATACAAAAATTATTTGAATGTATTATTAGAGCAACAACAAGTATGTAAAGTAACTTACCTTTTGTACATACTTATCTATATAGTTGCATATATATTTTTTGCAATAAAACTGTAAAATTAACTAGGCTGGACATAACTGCAAAGAAGAATCGTTATATCATTTTAACATGCAACATAATTTTTATTATACTAATCATTAACAATCTTCTTTGCAGCATTTGTCACTTTTATAAGTTTACATTAAAACATGTGTTTATTAATGTATACAAATTAATCAGCCTTTTTGGTTGTACGGATCTTCTTAGCAGGTAAAGGCTTTTGGGATCTCAATACAGCACTAGCACGACGCAATGCAACCTAGAAAAGTGTGTAACAAAAAGAAAAATTAAAAAAACATAAAATTTATTGTTTTCCACAAATGAATTTACCTTGGCCAGGTCTACACGGTACTTGTTCTTTGTAAGCAATCTCTTCAGTTTATACAAAGAACGACGTGCACCAGCTTTCATTGTAACTTTGACTGTAGCTTTTGCAGGTTTATTGGCTGCTCTTGCTTTCTTGTAAACAACTGTGAATCCTTTTTTATCAGGAGCATTAACTATACCAACACTCTTCTTATGAATTAAACCAGAGTAACGGTAGCTACTAAGATTGGGCAAATTGTTCGGTTCCTAAAATTTTATAGTATAAATCAAATACTGTTAAACTCTTTAACCCTTTCACTCCCAGTGTCAGATATATAGTAATCATCCGTGAAACGTTCCATTAGTCTGTACAGTATTAGCATTCTAGCAAGACCCCACTGGTAATGAAAGGATTAAATTAGAGACACCAAGCTTATCACACCTTTGTGTGATATTAAACTAAGTATGGTACAAACCGTGGAAAAGGGCTTATTAATATTACGCTTCTTGAGAAGGAAGGCATTGTTATTGCGGATAATCATCCAATTCAAATGGGACATCTTGAATGATCTGAAAGATTTCAAGAATTCCTTTATCTCGTGACATAATGAAGTAAAAACAGCTTTATTAAGATACTTCGAAGACGTTTGTGAGCTAGACTGCTTATCCAGACTTACTAATTAAAATCTAATACACTGTATTAAAATTACTGAATTCATTTTATAATTCTAAAGAAGCAACTTATTTAGAAATATCGTTTGATGTTATATTAGCGTTAAATATAAACATATGAAGAAATTAAATATCGAAAACAGACTCACCACGTGCACCGTCAACGGAAAAAGTCAAGAAAGGAACATTCGCAATGGCGGACAAAATGAACAGGCTCTTCAAGGCTCTCAGACCACAAGAAACTTCACATGTCCCTATATAGATATTTTATATTTAATAGATCTTAACTTTAACGATCTACCGGAAATTACGTCCTCTCTATAAGTATAAGTATATTGAACAACTGTTCATCAGCAAAATTTGAACGATGAAAAATTTCCAAGGCCACAGAATTTATCGTCTTATTCTTCAGATCACGGATTTTATAATCAAATATCGTACAAAATGTAATCATTAGAAGTTTTATGGCAATGCTTTATAATTGAAGAATTATGGCTCCTCAAAGGGTAACTCATGGAACATACAAGTCATTGCTTCTTTCTTGGTTTCTTCTTTCTCTTGGTGTTTATTGTTACTGGATATATTTCGAAAATCTTGAGGTATATAAATTGCTGTATCATCCTGATACAAAGGATCATTTTCGGGTAACGTTTGCATGTTCGCCCATCTTATTGCAACCTGTTTATATATAGATTTTCTGAAAATCATACAATGAATATGGCGCAGCTTTTCATATTTTATCCTCATGAATCCCAATTTACTTAGTACATATCTCCAGGATTTCATGAGTCTTGCATTTGCACCAACATGTTTTGAATCAGGACTTATAATAAAAAGTATACCTCCATATTGTAACAGATTATATGCTTTTTTACAGCAAGTGTATCTTTGTTTTGGACATGGCAAATATTCTAAAAACAAGGAAAATACGACTACATTGTACGCTTTTTCTGGTAACTGTAACAGTTGCTGTTTATCCACCAAAAGTATTTGTTCCTTTCCTGTTTGAGCATTCAGAAAATCACAATGTAAAACCTTTTCAGGTACACCATTCAAATCTATTGCAGTTACTTCAAATATATTTAAAGTCCCAAATGGATTGTAACAACTTCCTACGTCTAGCAATGTTATTTTCTGAATTAAGTCTTCAACATTTCTAATGTATGAATTACAATATATGGAATTTTCATTTTCTACAATGTCTGCATTGATTTTTGTCTTGATATTTTCTTCCTTGTCGTCATACTTTTGTATTCCACCATTTAAAAAATACTCTTCACATTGAGACTTTATCCATTCCACTCTACAGAGGGTCGTATGTTTTGTGTTCAGGTTATTCTCCAGCCAATATGTAGTTGCCAATTTTTGCATGGAAGATGCATATTTCTAGAACATAAATACACGAAATTACCAAGATTAATTTGGAATAATCCATTTTACTTTAAAATGGAAATGAACCTGTAAAACATCTTTGCGAGTTACGTGTCGTTTCCACGCAATCTCGGGACCATAATTCTGGGCTTCTTCTCGCAACGTAGCATGAGTCGTTTTTATTACATCCGCTAAATATTTATGCTCCTCTGTCGCCATTTGAAATTGTGAATTTTCATGGTTCAGTACGATCGTGGTGCAAATTCGCGAGAGATGCAGATTTACTCTCTATTTTCAACTTCAAAGAGGAATCGCAGATAAATATGTATATACAACGTATATTTAAATACGATTGACGTTGACCAGCGTTAACCTAATGCTTATCTCTGTATATAGTCACTGCTTATGTTGCTTATCTTTTGACGTTTCGTCCAGTTTCGTCAAATTGCCGTCATTCACCTCCCTTGACCAAAACAATGGCGGGTTCTGCGCTAAGACGATTAATGGCAGAGTATAAACGTGAGAATCATTTACTCTTGCACCTACGCACTCCGCTAGACGCCTCGCATCAAACACCTTTCCCCTTGCTTTTCTACCCACCCAATTTCGAACGATATTGTAACAGGTAACTGCCGTCACTTGCAGAGTTAACCTTAAACCCACCCGAAGGCATTATCGCTGGCCCTGTCAACGAGGAGAACTTCTTCGAATGGGAAGCTTTGATCACGTAAGTGATTCAAATTCTGATCGAAACTTTGTATTAGTAACAAAATATTGTGTCGTGTTAAATACCCTACCTTTTGCTCTTGATGAAAGGGGTATCTATGGTGTGGTAGTAAAATTGACTGGCAGCTAAGATACTCAGGTTTTAGTCATTGGGATAAAAGAAATTATATATAAAAACATTCATTCTGAAGAGACAATATTATCTGTTGGAAGCGGTACATATAATAATGTATGATGCTTATCCGAGGTATATTTTATCACATTGTATCATATTGATCAACTATATTAAAGGTTTTATGTATCTAGGTGTTATTTAACACACTGTCCAGTGCAAACAATATTTACATAATTTGTAGTTATATTTTATTAATTTCCAATGTCTTATTCCATACATGTGACATACATTTGGTAGAAGATTTCTTACATCTTCTGTTTTCTAACTATTTTCTATATTTATTTATAGTGGACCAGAAGGAACATGCTTCGAAGGTGGTGTATTTCCAGTAAAGTTGATATTTCCACCAGATTACCCACTGAGTCCACCAAAAATGAAGTTCACCTGTGAGATGTTTCACCCAAATAGTAAGACAGTTCTGAACTCAAGATTGTATTACAACATCTTACGAAAAATTTGTGACAATTGAATTTTTGTTTAGTTTACTCAGATGGAAGAGTATGTATAAGCATATTACATGCACCTGGTGATGATCCCATGGGTTATGAAAGCAGTGCAGAAAGATGGAGTCCGGTTCAAAGTGTAGAAAAAATATTGTTAAGTGTGGTAAGTATGTTAGCAGAGCCAAATGATGAAAGCGGGGCGAATGTTGATGCTGCTAAAATGTGGAGAGAGGACCGCTCGGAATTCGAGAAAATTGCTCTAAAACTAGTTAGAAAATCCCTTGGTATTCCACCGTAAATTAAGATGTTTGCTACTTAATTAAACTCTGAACTGTAATTAAAGTGTCAACAATAAGTCAGTGCAAAATACATACTGCATTTTAAATAACAAAACTTTATTCAAAATTTAATATTACGTGTTTTTGTAGTATTTATGTAATTATAATACTAATATATATATTGTTCACTTTTAGAGTATATATTTTACGGTAATAAACTATTGAAAAACGAGATTTTCTTTTTGTGCTCACGAACTCCAAATAATTTTGAATTGTTTAAAAATATTAGAATTGCCATTACGAAACTAATACCGAATAATCCTTATTAAATAGTTTGTTGTTCAATCATTTTGTTTTACTATAATGTTGAAAAATACATTGTTATATATTTGCAAACAGTCACATTATTTTTAAGCAGCAAAGAATGAAATCTGAGTAATATTTTAGATGAATATGTTGTGCATATTTATGGGGAATAATGATGTTTATATACTAAAAAAAGTTATGACGAAATTAGGTTTACTAACAAATTGTATGTAGCTTGATTATACATAAATAGAAATTTATGAAGAAATCATTCAATGTTTGTGTATATATTACGATGAAATCCATATTACCTTGAATTTAATAGTAGAAGAATTTGTTGCTACTCTAAAAACAAACCATACAACCGTTTCTATTCTTAGGGTTTATTTTTTTCTAATATACAGCTCAATTTCTTAAAGTCTCAATAAAGGAATTATCCACACCCCTGTTATGCATTTTGGAAAGCATACTTTATATTACCTTAAGTATTTACAAAAGTAAAAGTTTATATAATAGGTATCTGATTATCGTGCATCCCCCCACCCTAATAATCATCGAACTTGGTGATAAACTATATTGGACTACATTGGACTAATTTTTCTACTGTCAACTTGTAACAGAAACAATTGTTAGCTGTTGTCGAAGCAAACATAACTATAAAAAGCCAGTGCATTTTAAGTACTGGTTTATGGTCTATTAAAATTATAACCTGAGCGTATCTTCAAAACAGATAAAAAATAAATACAAGTGTTCGGAAGTAAATTGATATTTATTAGTAAACAATACTGAAGTCCAACTTAAAATGCAATGTTTATGACTAGCACTTGTCAATTCTATATAATAAACAATAATAAAGATCGATGTACCAATATGTTATAAACAAAGTACAACATTGTACTTTTACTTTTACTTTTATCTATGTTACATAGTACAGTTCTTTTATTTATTGGATTCATTTTTTTTATATATAAATTATTTTTAAAGATCAGTGCTAAACACATGAGAAATGCTACAGAATTTCAAATTATTAAGAACCTACAGGACAATGTTGTACAATGAATACAGTTCTAAACTTTGGTATATAACAAATAAATTACTTCTCTATGCCAAGTGTATCTTTTACAAGAAATCGAATATGATTGAAATATTTGATTGAACCATACATTTTCACAACCAGATTCAAAGGTGTTCTATTTAGAAGAATACTTATTTTTTTTTTCGTTAATTTGTTTATACCTCTCATCGTTGCTGGCTTCTTCCCTTAAGGAAAATGTATAGTTTAATTATAAGCTTTTATGCATTAATAATAGTATCACATTTCAGTAGAAGAAGTGTACATTGAATTCAACACTTTTGCTATGCTTTTGTTCAAAAAGCATTATAAAAATACAAAACTCTTCGATGACACACTTCCTTGTACATAATTACGCAAAAAACAACCTATTATATATATTTGTGTGTGTGCGCGCGCGCGCGCGTGTGTATGCGGGTGTGTGTGTGTGTGTGTGTGTGTATATATATGTATATTTATAAACGCATTGGTTACTCAAAAATCCTTGGCATAGAATCTTCATGTTTTTTCCTCTTTATTTTTAACGTTACTGTTAATAATTGTAATATAGAATAAAATAAAGCAATCAACGTTTTTCAATAATGCTAATTTCTTCACAAGAATACGTATGTGCAACTTATATTAATGTAAAATACATTTGTTATAAAATGGTACTAATTCTGCTCTATATACCTCCCTCTGCGGCTGAGGTATCATGGTGCCTTTAACCATTAATTATATGCACATGCTTCACATATGTTTAGATTCATCCTTAAATTTAATCTTGTCAGACAATCTGATAATAGTAATTGTATTGCAAAATCTACCACGTGAATATTAAGTATAAAATTTGTCTGTGTAGTATTGGAAAGTTTACGAAAAGGTGCAAACGGAACACGAAATTGTTCTGAGCAATATGTATGTGTGGCCCTCGCTATTCCATGATTCATAAAGCTCCGCAGGTAAAAAAAAAAACAATTAAAGAGTGGAACGAAACTAAAATGTCTGTTAATTAATTGCATTTTGTAACAGTCGATACACATTTCGTATAAAAACTTCCGCCTTCCTTGAAAAATTTATTCTTACATCAGCGCTTCGTAGCCAGCTCTATGTATAACATTAAAGTAATACAAAATTTATATAAGTAATGTCCCCCTGTTTCTGAAGAATGCGATATTGCAGGTTTTTTCAGGAAAGAGACAGAAAGAGAAAAAAAAAATATATATATATATATTAGAATTCATTAAATTGTAGTCCGAAGCTCCTCTCTACTTTTCCATTTGGTTTACTCGAATCGTTAAGTCGTCTCAAAAAACACTTCTCATTCAATTTCCATTGATTCTTAGTAGTATGTTCATTATAAGCTAAAATTTAGCACGACGATAGCAAATGAAAACGGAACACGAGAATCCTTATGTCTTTCCGAACGTTTGTCCGAATGATCGCAATCAACTGTACAGATAAAATAAAAAATTGTTTAAATAAAATTAACAATAACGTAACGAAATTCGATTTAGTGCATTGCATGATGTTAATATTGTTAAAGGTGATGCAAGCACAAGAATAAACGCTTCGATTACCTTCATATTCAACTGCATAATTTAAGGAATGAAAATTCCATAATTCATAATTTTATATAGCACCAGTCGCTAATCAGTTTCACCAAAGGATTCTCATTATCTTTTGAGACAAATACATACATTAAATGTTACTTTTAAAATTTGCTATTAAGAAACAGAAAGTAGTTTGCGATATGGTAGAAAAAAATTGCACATTTTAAAGTCGATTATTCTCCATCGATTCAGAATTAAGAAACGAAAAACTCATCAAAATATACATAGTCAAGATGCCAGGAATTTATAATGACATGGCGATTCAATATTACTCTGAAATTGATCTATGTATATATGTATGTACATAAAAATATATACATTAAAAGGTTATGATTGTTATGAAAATGAAAAAGAATACACGGGAAAATAATTATTAACAATTGTCAGAAAGTACAATTGATGGTTTGATGAGGATACTTATACAGCATTATGATTCCATTATTTCGTTGAATATTTCTTCTAACTTAATCAGTCTGTGGCAGCTACGTCTAAACTTAAAATTCTGATACGACAACAACTGGTTAAGATAAAGAAAATTTCCTACGGTTGACAGACATAATAACTGATTTTGTATATGTATATGCGAGAATATATCTTAATGTAAGGTTAGCCTACTGCCTTTCGCGTTAATTGCTTGTATCTTGTATGTGCATCAATGTTGATAAACGATTCACTGACATCGCGTTAGAGTATCCAACAGGATTGGAATGTCGAATACGAATATTGTACAGATTGACTATATTCATATTTCCGTTTAGCTATATTAAAACGCGTATCTGAGAATCTTCTAGCGATCAATGTTTTGGTACGTAATTCAATAATCTTCGGCAAACAGACGATTCGTTAACAACGAGTATTCAATGGAAGCGGCGAATGTATTTACCATTTCCATACCTGATCTGAAATAACGATGTAAGATATATGGCACTCAAGAAGGAGTTACTCGATCGCTGCATCAACATGTACGAATATTATATGTTTGTCGTGTTACGTAGAATCGTAAAGTTACTTTAAAACGATAAGTAGGAAGTTAATCGAATTCGGTGGAATTTATTTGCTGTGCATTTTTAACAGAATTACGCGATTTTTCACATCAAAGAATTTTACACATCGTCTTCTGCCTCGTTTCTCACTAGCACTTTCGTGCCAGTAATTACATACATCGTTTATAGTTCTATAGTTCTATATACGAACGAGCTGCATGGAACGGATTATCCTCTCCTTTTCAATAAGATGACGACGAATACCGTATGTTGAAAATTGAAATCAACGTATGAATCAGCTATTTTGAACATTCGATTGTGTGATACTGCTTTTTTAACATTGTCATACACGATACAAAGTAAGTGTATGAAAATGTTATGCCATAAATTTTATGTGATACGATAGTTTTAAAAGGTTTGGCAAGTATGTTACAATGACGATGCACAGAAGGTTACACGTTCATACCTCACGATAGGCCTTGCGGTGTGAAACAAATCTTTTCTAATTCACCGGTCGACGAACTAACAGGGGATTCAGCCCTGTCATCTTGCTCGGCTAATTGCTCACTGTAGTAGTGTGGCGTGCTTAGATAATCGATCAACCGCCGTGGCAGAGGTAGAGTTGGAATAAGATCTCTGCGCACCATCTTCAAAATAACAAACCTGCAGGTGTGCTGCAAGCTTTGAACTTGTTTGAATCTCGACACCGGATGGAGGAGTTGCACGCGCATCGGACCTAACACTGGTCGCCGATGAAGAAAAAATAGATATCGTCCGCTACGCGAATGTTCCACAGCATTCTCAATGAAATCGACGATCGTGTGGGATTTAAATTTTGTGCAACTTCCAAAGCTGAAATTACCTGTACGCACGATAGAAAGAGAATGTACGTTAGAACATAAGGAAGTGTACAGTAATATTCTTCTTGACAAACGTATAGTTTGACAAGTTAAAAAAACTTCCTGCTACATGCTCTGAAGCGGGGACACAGTTTATAAGGTTTTCTTTTTCGTTTTTAAATCTTCCGAGTCGCTTTGGATTTAATGAGACAGAGACTTTTTCTAACTTGTCGAACCTATTCGAAAACTTACCCTGGTCATGCTCTATTCTCACGTGTCGCACGCAACTGTTCAGTCTAAACGATAGAGAAAAAATATAATGGTCGTCGCTACTGTCGCGTACAATGAATGATCCATCTGGTTCATTGGACAGTATCTTCTCTGCAGCTTCACCAGATATTGGGCCCCAATACCATCCGTACTGTTTTGAAGGTAATTCGTTATTTATAATTAAGCTGAATTGAAATGGAAACGGTAGTCGCGATTTGGACGCGATTATAATATATGTATACATATATGTAATAATCAGCCATTGCCAGCGAATATTCTACGATTCGTCTGTATTCATGAAATGATAAATTCGAAGCTCGGTTTCATTAAAAGTGAATAAAAATGGATCCGTCGATGGTCATCCGGGCAAGACAAGAATCTTTTCTTATTTATTGTACATCTATGTTGTAATTTGTAAGTGTATATCGGATACATTAATATTTGATAGGAATAGAATATGAATTACGTACATCTTTCACTTTCTCGATACTAGCAGCGAAGTCCATGCTGGTATCTTCGGCCGGTTCATCATCGACTTTCGCCGTGGGTGCAGGCATTTGCGGTACTGAAGTAGGACTTTCGCATTGTTTCGATACCATTGTCGTAAGCGCGTCCTCCGCCTGCTCTACACCTCCTACTCCTACGTGTCCATTGCTTTTTGGCAACGGCGGCAACGCACGCTTAAAAAAGGGTAGCTTCTGCGCTGAGGGATCTACCTCCGAGGTAGTGTTATTATTATTAGCATGTTGGTCAGAATCGACGCCCTCCTCTTCTTCGACCATTTCACCCTGTACAATGCTGTTTCGTTTCTCTACAAAGTGATCCGGGGAACCCAAACGCCTGAATCTAAAGATATTGCACAGTGTTTGCTTTAGATTTAACGAGAAATTCCGTTGACTCTTCTTCATTTTCTCCCGCTCGGAATCAACCTTCTCTTTGTGCGGTTCTTCTTTCACCTTTTTGTGTTTAATACCAACAAACGTGTTCTTTTTATGCTTCTTAACGTTACCATTAGTGTTATTATTATTATTATTGTTGTTGTTGTTGTTGTTGTTGTTATTATTATTATTGTTATTGTGAATCAGTCCATTGCTATTTTTGTTTGAGATTGGAATATCTGTCGATGAGTCTGTATGCGGGTTACTATACCTATTGTTATTATTTACACTAATACCTTTTGGCATCGCAAGGTGTATAGGTGTATGACTTATCGGAGCCTTGTTATCGCGTTTAAGTTTATTTTCACTAGAATCACTGGAGCTCGAGTACAGTGTCTGCAAATATTGGCGCACTTCGTGTAAAGTCATATGAATCGGTTCGCCAATATTATGCATGTGGCCGTTCGATGTTCGTGTTACATGTCGACCAGACGTTCCGGGAACACTGTGACGCTTCCCGTTCCCGCTCTCGTTGCAACATACGTCCGATAATAGTCTCTGAGATTTAATAACATGCGTGATAGCACGGGGTTTTCCACAATAATGCCTTGCCTGTTGTATATGGGCTTCTAACTCGCTCTGAGAGCTAGCGGACACGTTTCTTCTTCTCTTACGATGATGTCTATGACGTTTAGGCCTTTGCGGTGTCCGAAGATCGTGCAAAGGTCTGACTACATCTATTGGTACAGTATAAATGTCGGAATCAAAGGGCACATTGTACATATCACTGATCTCGCTGGTCGTCAAAACATCGTGCGACATAGCAGACGTTATGAAACTGCTGTCGTCTGCTTTGTGACTCAGTCCTGAGGTATTTATAGAATTATGCGAACTGGACAAACGTGAAGAAGCCAGAGAACATCGGGAATTTGGACGATTCAATGTGTTGTATGGAGTTATCAATGTGGTAGCCCCTTGACACGACGACGGAGTCAACAGGTCCGTCGCCCAGAAACGTTTCGAATTTTGAACGCTGCGTATTACTACCGGGACACGATTTGTGGCTGGCGCTATTCTTCCTTCTGGCCATGATATCCTACAAGATATTATTAACGCTTCCTCGATCGTCGACTGTACTAAATTTTCAGAATAATCGTCTATTAATTGCGGAACTTTCTGTCTCATTAATCGTGCATAGCTAAGAATTGGCGCAGACGAAGATTCCGAGTTAGGAGGAGAAGGACTATCTTGAAACTCTGGCGGAGGTTTAATAGCTACATCGACCACTTCCACTTCCACTTCCAGTTTCCCATCGGCATCGGGCCACCCTGGTCCTTTTTTTAATGTATTAAAATTTTCACCGCACATACCGTCTGAATAATCGAAAGAATCTTGCGACAAAGATTTACTCTCTATGTCGCTTTCTTGCATCTAAAAAATAATATAATTATTTATTATTATACTTACAATGTTCTATAAAGTCCTCATACTTTGTGCGAATATTAATGATTCGATTCTTAATTTTATTTCAATTTATCACAATTCTGGATGTGCCATGTACCTTATTCAGAGGGTAACAAAAACCTTAATGAACGAAATAAATTTCTGTTTAATTTCTACAGTTCTTAAACTAATCTATAGAAGTATGCACTTGCATAAACATTCGCAGTCTATGAATGGCGGCGCATCATAAGAAATTCTACCTCGATCGCAAGATGCGCTCTTACAGAATCACTAGAAATGGACCCTCCAATTCCACTGCTACCAAGATCACTGAGAGGCCCAGTAGCGCTTAGCGAACATGACGGTGGAGAGTCCATCTCAATGCTTGTCTTTTGTTTCTTTTCTAAAGGGTTTATAGCAGCCAAAACTTTTGGAAGTTCCACATTGTCCCCTACAATGTTATCAAAAAATTAGAATTCTTAGACGAAACATAATGAAATAAACAACATTAGTCTTGATGACATAATTATTAACATGTTCGCTACCAAGACACTATGAAGTTTTCTAAGTTTATCTGTTCTTTCCTATGAAATAAATGATGTTATCAATGTTTAATATATCACTAAGTCCTAAGATCATACTTAGGACTTAGAGATTAAGGTAGAATAAGAATGGTAAGTTTAGTTTTAGAACTAAAGAAAATAAGATCTATCAGTGAATCAAATAAACAAAAACTATAGGCATTTGGCAGAAGTAAATACCTATAATTATACCATTAGTAGAATAGCGTTAATGCAAATATAAATGATTGTAGACTAGTTTGCAGAAACAAGAATAAAAAAAGTAATCTCATTAATTTAATAAGGGTCCTATTATAACATTCATTACACGTTTCCTATATTGAGTTTTACACAATGGTGCGAACAATGAATACATAAAATCTATAGTCTACTTATGACATGTGACAACTTGGCAGTGAATGTGTTAAATTAATGAGTACTTGTACCATAAGTTCTTTGATGACTGAACGTTTCTTACCTGAAAATAACAATTACGGACAATACGCAAATGTGTCATCATCTTCATGTTTACATACATGCTTGTACGTTTCACATGGTCCATTATGAATAAGAAACTGGAAACATATTTAAAAGAAAACGCTTATATGAAAGAACCTCGAAGAAAAACAATTAACTTACATTACAAAGTACACAATTAATTTCTCTTCACTGATTTAATTTTTTTATTAATTGAGCAGTCAAGATTAATGCTTAAAATGATCATCTCTAAAGTTACAACGTTCCTTACAGCAAAAATATCTTTCGGCAGGATTGCACAGCGCTAGACGAATTTCGAATATTTAACCTGTGAACTATAAGTATTTATACGTAACGTTACTTTCACGAAAGGAAACTGCACGGATGCACGCGAGATAAGAAAGACTGTCAGAAAAAGAGGCATTCTCAGGAGATGTATGTATACTTATTTGTCAAAGGATACATGTCACGATAAAGTAATATATCTCAAGATCGCCTCATAATCGAATTTCGACCCACATTGGTTAAGCACGGACAAACGTCAGAATATCCCTCGGTATGATTCATCTTTGAGTCGTTTAAGTACGGTACGAAATGTTCGAAATATCTTGAACCAAAGTGCACGCCGTGCGAGCAGCGCTCAACATCCCGGCAAGGTTGATGTTTGCGTCGTAGATAGTAGCGGATGACTACGTTTGACGTTTCGAAAGCGAAAAAATGTAGAGTTTACGTACTTATTTATGCTAGGTTACGCGCAGCTCGATTGCGTTCACGCAATTCCAGTGGATGGAGCGGCGCGTCAAAGAACCGTTCATCGTTGTCACATAACGGGCCGTTCAACGGACAAATCGATATTTAAAAGACAGAACGCGAATCCCTCGCGTTACAGTTTACTCGATATCAGTTCCGTTCCCACATTCCGTCTGTCACGCCGGGCAATAGTTCCATTCGAGTACTTTCCGGGACCGACGATGCATTTTACAAATAAAGGAGAAACTGCGGCCACCAATGCGGTTGCACAATTCGAAACGATGTTACGCTCATGGTACCTATAAGTATACACGTTCGTTTACGTACTGGCGAAGCAGCAACGAAAATTTTATCATTTCGCAATTAAAGTCAAGATTTTTCACTTAAATTCGTGAATGAAATTACTTTTTCTAAGGCTCAAGATTAACCGAGGACTGAAATTGTAACTTTGTTTCAAATTAGATACATAATGCGATTTCAGAAACGAGTGCTATTTTTTATTCACATGAATTGATCGTTATCATTACATTGAGTACTTGATGTAACTTGATGAAATGTTCATTGGATTTTATGTTAGCAGTACCTGGCAGTACGTATTACCAGATATTACTATACTGTTACGTGCTATTACTATCATCATACCCCGTGGTGCGAGAAAGTGGGGTCATAGAACCCCCGGAGCATGCGCAAGAGACCCCGCTGCGTAGGACAGTGGTGTCATAGAGCCTCCGTAGCACCTGCAAGAGACCCCGTGTGGGTGAGAATGTGGGGTCATAGAACCCCCGGAGCATCGTAAGAGACCCCGTGTGTATGAGATGTATGTACATATTTATTTATCATGTATAATTATATTACGTTAATCGTATATAGTTTATACATACGTTTATGTTTATATGTTTTATATTTTATATTAAATATTTAAATCATATATAAAGTATAGTATTGTATTTTATTCTCTCTCAACGCAGAAACAGTTTTTGTGTTGTGTATCAAGATTAGGAAAATATAATTCGATACAAGTAGTATCGATAATTTGGTTTCGATATCGAGTAAGTATCGATACCTTCATTCAAAAGTAGTTATGAGTAAAAGCATCGATACCTTGGTGGCATCGATTCAACCGTAATTGTATCAGAGATGATCAGAGAGGTGATATAATGTGTAGTATATGTCAGAAAGGTTAAATGTTAATTAAAAACAAACCGTGTATTACAGACAACCGTGAATGTAATAACACCTTGTTGAAGGAAGTTTTTTCTACTGATGTTTACAAACACAAATAGTAATGTAATTATCGTAAAATCATATTGAATACGTTTTTCTGTTTAAAGATCAATTCTAGATAGAATTTCTTGTTTTTTCTACTGATTTTTACAAACATAGTAATGTAATTCATCGTAAAATCATATTGAATACGTTTTTCTGTTTAAAGATTAATGACTTACGATTGCAGTGAGCAAATTCACTCAAGATAAAAAATCGCAATTACGGTCGTGAATGAAGTGAAATCACGATCGTGATCGTGATTCGGCGATCACTGTGATAAATCACCGTTAGTGATTTTGCACGCCATCTCTAGTCAAAAAGGGGTCTTATTCTGGATAACTAGCTGTTTTGATCGTCCTGGCAGGTTTCAGAAAATGTCCCTAGACGATAATTCCCTAAATGCAATAAATGCAGACGAACGCGGTATCGATAGCACTAAGGTCACAGCTAAGGTGGTTTGGAATGGTTTCTTCGACCGTCATTGTTAGATTTTTAACGTATGAGTGTTTTCTGCAACCGTGATTACACAAGTGTTAAATATTCCTGACAATGTAGCGATGTAGCCCTAGAATGTAGTAGGATCTGACGTTCTCCCATCAGCGCTGTTACATATACATACATATTATGTCCGCATTAGCGAGATGGTGCCTATCCTATCCTATCTGCCTATTCTCGCACACAAGCTTAAACAGTAAAAAGATTAATATTGAAAGTTGAATAAGTTGTTTTAAATAACATATTGTGTCGATTCTGGAGTCTCATAGTGATGCAGCATAATGTTTCCTATTATCACCGTACAAATGTGTAAAATTCTGTAAATTGTTTAACAGAATTTTGCAAAAATGTCGAAATTTGGTAAATCTGTTAAAAGTAAGTAGATGCATCGTAGTGAACGTGTCCATTGAAACTTAAATAACCACGTAATACGCAAGTACCTGACAAATGCATAAATTATTAATAATAAAATATTGTGTTTTTAAAGGGTGCATTGTTTAATAATATTGTAATTATCGGAGCGGATAAATTAACGATTGACAAACATGTTGCTGCAACAATTGGCAGATTTCTTGAGTCTCATAACAATAGGCATGTGCCTTATATTAAAAATTCCCCAAATTTTGAATTTGCATTCTGCAAAGTCAGCAGATCAAATTTCAGTAGTGGGACTTTTATTAGAATTAACAAGGTAAGCTGTGTTTGTTATGTAGACGCATATTTAATCAATGCGAAATGATTCCATTATAACTGGATATGTATGCATCTGTAATAATTTGTATTTGTTTCAGTTACACAGTGATGACCAGTTACAACTACACAAATGGTTATTCAGTACTCTCTTATTTAGAATATCCTGTTATTCTATTACAAGAATACATTTTAATCTTTTTGGTTTTGAAGTACTTAAATAAGATCAATACATTCTCCATTCTGGCCACAGTATTATATTTTGTTATAAGTGTATCTTTTGCACTTGAAATAATTCCAAGAATAGTTCTCACCTTTTTAGCGGTCAGTTGATTAATTAACAACGGGAAAAAACATTAAATTTAATATTTGAACCATGTATGAATAACATTGGAATTTCTGTTAAATCTATAGCCAATGTGTACTCCAATTTCCGTCTCGAGCAAGGTTGTCCAATTAGTCGCTATATTCCGTGCGAAAAATGCGGACACAGTGTCACCAATTACGTGGTTCATTTCTGCCTTCACAAATCTAAGTAAGTCGGATATCGGTTTCACAAATTCTCGAAATTAAACTTCATCTGATGGGTAAAACTTCCAGCGAGGGTATTCACGATTTGGATGGATTCAGCGGACATTTTGCTGCTAGGAAATTTCATCGTATCAGTACTGTTAAGCTCCAGCATTATGTTGTCCGCTATTTATTATAGAAGTCACCGAGTAAAACAAGATTAAAGAAGTACGAACGAATAGTACATTATACCGTTAACCTAGTCACGGCGATAACTTATTAAGGACTGTTAAATAAAAATGTTATTGGGAGATTGAATCGAAAATAGAAAATGTTGTAGTTGATTTATTTTTCGTGATATCCGTTATAAATACTTGAAGAAAAATCTAAGAGATAGGGTAAGGATGTCCGGTAAACGAGGTGATGGGATAGCTGTTTCTGGTAATCTCGGGCGACGACACTTTCTGCTTCGATCCACTCCTCGCTCCATTTGAAGTTAAAAGACTCGCATATCGTACATATGTACATACATTGTACATACACGTGTATGTATTCTGGTGGGAAATGGAGGAAATTCATAGATTCTTTAACACTTTTGAAGTCGCCGAGAATGAATCGTGGTCTCGGAAGAATAATTCATATCAGCTGTAATTTTCGAGACATAAGAATGACAGTTTGTCGCAGTACCCACTATGATCTTCGCGGCTGAAGGTGTTAAGAATAGATGTGTATTTTAAAGAAAATATTTACAGCAACCAGTATACCAAAGTGAAAGAAGAAAAGAACGAAAGATTGGGGAATTACACTTAAGTTTTAGATTACGGTTATAGAAAGAAGCGGGGCGGGGGTTATAGAAGAAGAGCAATGAAAGCTCGAGAGATACGCTTGGTTATTTTGCTTTCTGTGTTATACGTTATACATACGTAAGTACATGTCACGTAGAAATAAAAATGTGCGACAAATTAAAATATTACTATCTACATAAGTACTAAGTAAAAAAGATGTTTGGTATATGAGAAAGTCGGCCCTGCCGGCCAAGGAGTTTAGCTAGCCAAATGAATCCGTTATTTTGCCGCATCTCCTGCCCGTAGATTCTACGCCGGGCGTAGAAAGAGGAGACAATGGCTCGGTCCCGTGGAGAAGAGAGTGCTCGCACATGTGTAGGGGCACCGGAATGGCACATGGTTTCGTCGAAGTGTACATACGAGTACATACATATGTGCAACACACCGTGTGGACCGTGTGGTCCATCCTTCTGGGCTCACCACCCGCGCCGCCCCTCTACCATCTCGGGCTGCCGGCTGCCGGCAGCCTGCCGGTCCTCGGTGACCTCCGGCTCCGGCCTGTCAGTCTGCACTGAGAAGCCGTTCAGGCACCATCAACAACTGTGGGCATCTCTCTCGCCGTGTTCTCGGAGAGGTTCTCTAGAGGAAGAGAGCGAGAGAGGGACAGGAAGAAGGGCGGAAAGAGCAGACAAGAGAGTTAGAAGAAGTGGAAGAAGGAGATTTCTAGCTGGCAGGATCGGCGAAAGGACTTGAGGGCTTGAGGGCGTAGGAGGACGGCTCCGACTCCGACTCCGACAGTGGCGGACCTAAACTCTCCACTATCAGGATGGCGAGGTGGTTGCTGATCGTTTCGTTGGCCTGTCTTCTGGTTCACGAGACCAGGAACGAGATCCTGACGCCCCCGTACTTCAATCTCGCCGAGGGCAAAGAGATCATCGCGTCGGCCACGTGTGGTGTCGACACCCCTGGCCCGGAATTATACTGCAAGCTGGTAGGCGCGAACGCCGATCAACACGAGGACATTAATCTGATACAGGGTCAGGTTGGTATGCTTATGTTCTGTCTATCTATCTACATATTCTATTCAGTCATGAATAACATCTATACACATAAGGAGAAAATGAAATTATTTCAAAAGGACGTTAATTAAGTTCCTCGCATCGGAGATTTCACAGTTTAACAGCTAGGTGATGCTCGAATTATGTACCTTAGTTGTTGAGGCTTTCGAATATGAGTCGTGTTCTTTTGAGAAAAGATATGTCATTGAACTCCTCGATGATGTGCTAGCTGCGGTGTATTCGAAACGTTGAAAACCATCACGGATCAACTAACAATTAAATGAGAACTATTCACTCGTAAAAAGTACAAGTGAAGTATGTACATACATGTGTAGACACGATGCTTTGCTTACGATTCAATCGAATATTTGGCTGGTCAGATGTGGATATCATTTTAATCGAATACAATTAAATACGGCACAATATATATAGGTATACATAAATACCTTTATGAGAATTATACCTTATTTTAAGAGTGACAACTCTAGAATTTTCTTCCCTATTAGCAACAGTAGTAATGCAAAATATTTAACAAAGGTAAAAATTTAATAAGTAAAAGCCTGTGTAGGTACATACATATGTACATAGATGTACATACATACATATTTCAAATAGAAAGATACTCGTCGGATGATACTGTTTATTCATCGGCAAAAATTTGCAATAATCATTTTCGCGAAGCAACAGCAATGTGTTCTACGGGCTCTGTTCATTTTCGTTCTAGATATGTATGTACATATATGTGTACACGTTCGTTCGTCTTTTTATTGGCACAGTTATTTAATGTTTATCCGAGACCGCTTGCTCGAAATCGCTCCGTAGTCAGTTACGCAGCCCCGAACCGAATTTTATCTGTATTTGGTCCTTTGAGTCCAAAAGTTTATCAATCCCATGACGACCGACCGCTTGCTCAACTATGTATGTATGTATGTATGTATGTATGTATGTATGTATGTATGTATGTATAATTCTTCGCGTTTGTACCAATAAACTCGAAGCGTTATGAAAAACAGATAGTTACCAGTTCGTTTGAAAGAAATGTAAACGAGAATATTTTAATGTTGCTGATGTGTCACACGCGTAACTTAATAATCGCTCGGTCAGACTTTCTCCTCCGAATGTGTCGCTAGAATATATGTATATTGTAGGTACATACATACATACATACATACATACATACATACATATACGTACACATACGGACACATGTAGTCGTTGGTATGCTCGTACCAATATCACTCTTCGAGTTACGATAAGGGCAGAATATCGTCGTCGTGGTATACATATACCTACATAATCGTTTATACGAAGTATGTAGCGTGAATGAAATCATACGTAAAAGAACGTCTTTCATTAAGCGACACGTAAAGAGCAACACCGAACGACCGACCACAAGCCATGTGTTTCAACATGATAATAAGTGATTGTGGATTTTACGATAGCGGGGTAGAAAAAGCAAACGCTTACTTTCACGTGTCCCCAGAATTTCAATGAAATTATTCGGAATAGGCGTACATATGCCTATGTAGTGTATGTACCTATCGTATATACGGTCAGTTAAACGTCTCGATTATATTATTAACATTTCACCGGTATTTAATCGATTCCGAGAAAACGTTGCAGCTTCTTCTTCGACCGTATGCAATGTTGAACGGAGATTATCGAAGTAATCCGAGAGGATAATCGCTGTCCTCTTCATCGAATACTTAGTATGTATAATGTATGTATAGTACACCCCTGGGGACATTGACGTGAGAACGGTTCGTCGGCGAATCAGGACAAAGAGCCTTCGTAGCAAACTGTCCGTGACTGTCCGCGTGCCCGTGAAGGATATGCCGACCGGTGCAGTGTCTTTTTTAGGGACATCCGGAGACTGACGATGAGAACCAGTCCGGAAGATCTCTCTATCGGCCCTATCCCTCTCTGCCTACGACAAACAATGACAGGCTATCCGTGGACATTATTGCTAAATTTATGACATTCTTTTATATCGCAAGATCCATCGCGGACATAATCGAATTAATGTAAATATTATATGTAGATATACATAGATAATACATATACATATGTATGATAACGGACAGCATGCATCGCGATACGAGAGAAGCAAGTCTTCTCTATACCAATTAACTTTCTGAGAAAGTGTCGAGAGGCTATCAGAAATCCCGGAATTCCCTAAAACAGTATAATAGAAACTATTCATGTAACCTTTTGAATCTGGAGAAAGAAAGAGCTCTGAAATTTTTGGTTATTTTAATCTTGTAACTATTTTGGCTGTGTACATACCTATTATACATACCTGCATATTAATATTGTACCTTCAGGTACAACCGTTTGTTCTTAGGCCATTACAGTACCTGTACGATGTCATTTAATGAAAAATCGAACGCGTTGTTACTGACAAATATCCTCTGATCAGCTTCTTTCTATCACCATTAATCATCTCAGATTTCTCAGTAGCCTATCGCTGATCTCAGAAGCGCCAGACGAAACAGGAAACAATAAATTAGAATTAGACGACTGATTTCGTATTCGAGAAATAGTGAAAACGATCGCATTACCATTTACATTTATGTATATCACATTAGCTTACATTTGTTTGTTTAACAGGCAGATCTCTGTTTCTATTCATTCAGAGATGGATTCGAAAACTTTTAGCCGGCTGTGGGTATTTTTTTTGTTAATGATAGTCTAGTCTAAATAGATACATAACTACATACATGCATATATATATATATATATATATATATATACACATATATATATTGTTTATAATATAAAATATCTTGAAATCCACTTGAAAAATACATTAACTTGTTTGCACCCCTGTGTTGCCTACCCAAGTATTGTATGATACATACATATTATGTATACTTTTGTGAGTAATTGTAGATTACCGGCAGTCGAGTCTCCAAAATATGTACACATGTACATATACGAATTTTACCGATAAATCAAGCCTACCGCTACTTATGTACATTTACACTTCGCTTTATACTTTATGGCTTATGGCACCGTGATGGTAACGGTCCAAGTCTAATATTTGGTCGATTGGCGAGTCGAGGTTACCGCGGCCAATGGCCGCCATTTGTATAATACTTTGCATTGCGTTGCGGCGTTACGTGTACGTATCGTGTATGTGCTTATAAGTACATTATATCTACATCTATGCGGACGGAAGAAAACGCCATGTAGACTAGAAGTGAGAGAGGGCTGATAAGGAGCGGTTGATAAGGGTGACCTCTCGATAACACTTGACCATCTCGTCTTTTCAAATTCCGAACGGTCTAACTGACACGAGTGTCCCATAAAGATTCATCGAAAAAAAACTTTGTGATTTCTTCGTTTCCATGTGTGTTCGTAACAATAAAATTATTAACGATTTCTCATTCAACGATTCAAACCTCGGAATGGAACACACTTCATGGTAGCGGTAGCTTTGCATCATTAGAAAATGTGTATATATGATACATACATATGTATACTGTATGTATGTACATAATATACATGTTACATGTATAATCAATGGTTCAGTTCCAATGGAGATGGCAAAGATGTTTATTTTCATTTGTTTACTTAGATCTTGGAAATGTTGGGTCGTGTACCGACCTATTTATAGTTTCGATTACGGTGAAATCACTGGGAAATGAGGAACTTATTATATTTTAATAATATCGTAACCTTTCAATTTAAATTGGACGGTTTTTTCCCCACAGTTTTGAGGTTTCAGGAACATATCACTGAATGCAATCTGATTTACTTCAGGCAATCACACGCATTTTCATTTTTTTACAAACACACATACATACATACATACATACATATATCCTTCCTTCGAAATGTTAAAACAGAAATGGAATGAAACAAGTACATGTGTAGTGATACATACTACGTACATATGTAGAGCATTGTGCTCTCTAGGACCCTGTGCTACATAATAATATGTATGTATTTTTAAAACAGAGGATGGCATAAGAACTTTCTAAATTGACATTATATTACGAATTTATCAAAAATACATAGCAAACTTAAATTATTATTGTAGCAGATTCGATAGTTTTTCGTATAATGGTGAATTGTTGAAAATATTCGATTCGTAATATGTACATATGTTAACGTCAGCTAACATTCTAAACGTAGCGTATCAAAGAGATTAAATGCAAGGTAGATTTTATATTCGAAGAAATTAAAATTTGAATTTCAATTGTTTCGATCCCACCCAATGAAAAATGCGTAGCTGCGACTGCTGCGAGCAGCCCAGGCATTGAAATCACCATCGGTGATCGAGCTGAATACGAATACGAATATGGAATATGTATACATGGATATGTATGTTAAAAAAAAATGTATGTTAAAGATCCGAAATATTGTATGATATAATGCGCTACTCATACTGGCTCGTAGGTTTGCGATTATTGCGATCCGGAGAATCCTGAAAAGAAGCATCCGCCGGAGTATGCGGTCGATGGAATGGAAACCTGGTGGCAATCCCCGCCGCTCTCCAGGGGAATGAAGTACAACGAGGTGAATCTGACGATCAATTTGGGACAAGTGAGTATACATGGGAAAATAACTAATAATGTGATTTTTTCATTAAATATGCTTGTTGAGAAAATAAAGACGCAGGTAATCTTCATAGAACTCTTTGGTTAGAAAAAAAGTCTTGTTTAGTGTAATGTTTTTGATCTTGCGAATTATTAGTTACCATTCGGGGATTTGTTTCTACGTATTGTGACAGAAAATTTTGCAAAAGGTTTCATAAAACATGGATACTTGTTTCGATCGTAAACTTGTCTTGTATAATAAAACGATATCGCTGGGATTGGGTTAATCGAGATTCTATTATACATATAATGTATGATATTATACGTTATTACGTACAGTATACATACATATAGTGATCCGAATTTCTTTGTTTGTACTTCAGTTCACTATTACGTATTATGTACGATAATTGTGTTACGAGGGTTACCTGCAATCTGAATGATCAATTGATGGCGCGAATTTCTTTGTTGTGAGCATTCGAGAAAGAAAAATGTCAAACGGGAGAAAAGAGAGGGAGGGAGGGAGGGAGAGAGCAGGAAACAATGAGCCTGTGAAATAAGTATTTTATCTGTAACAAATTGCTTTATCGCGAGGTAGGCGTTTTCCTGAAACGCGGGACAGAATTATCTTCGCATTGCTTCCGGAGGACAATAGAAAACAACACGGGTTTTAGGTAGAGCGGGGTAAATGGTACATTGCGTAGATATTCTTTTAGTTCGTTCAACTAGATCTAGACAGATGGAAAGGTATATTAAGAATTTACAAGCAATTAGAAATACTCCTCTATTACCTTTATTAGAAATTATACTTATAGGAAAAGAAAAGAAATGGAATAAGATTTACGCAGGATTTTTAATCCTCTAAATCGGATACGTATTTGGTTAATTATTGAGAACATCGGAACCTTTGGTGAATGTTGGTACCTGCATACCGATACGATTGATTATCGGGTTTACCGAATAAAAACGTTAATAGAGAAAATTCGTTTTTATTCGATGGTTGTTTTTTTGCAAGTAATGATTCTGTCTAAGAAGCGTACATAAGTAGTATGTATCGTATAAACATAAAAAAAACTGTCTGACAAATAATTACCATAAAATAAAGCATCAGATTGCATACAGAAAATCGTTGAAACCAGAGAATTAGAGTCAGTATTGACATGAAGAGTTTTAAATTACTTGGATATTTAAAAAAAGTCAAGAATCGATTTCTCCGATATGGGGAATTGTGATTTAAGAGTGTGTGATAGGCTGATAGGTAGCGGTGTAGCGGTGTAGCGGTGTAGCGGTGTAGCGGTGTAGCGGTTGCAAGGGTAAAAGACCGCGCGAAAATTTCACGCCTCGGAAAACCGTAGACATATGTGTACTTACTTATGTAGATAGTATACATAGAATGTTCGTGAGCGTGTTCATTGTCTTTTCGCTAAACACTTTCTCAGAAGGACCCATTTATGTATTTACGCCGTGTTCTTTTTCGTGCGCTCCCGACCATGTGTACGGGAATTTCGGATTTCGGGGCGGAGGCATGGTCGTAATGTATCCAAAAGCTCCAGAACCCCCGGTACACATCTGTTTCTCGGTTGTCGGTTTTTCCCTAGTGCTTTCATATTCTGTCCCCCGAAAACGAGTTCTTGTAGCAACGATCACGACACATTCTGTGCGTTTATTTAGAATTTAGATCTATTTGAACTCCGGAAAATTTACAAGTTGCACGGTCTGGAATAGAATGGGTATAATTACATAATTACCTACTACTCGATTAAACGATCCCTAGTTCCTCTAATTAGTTTAATTCTAAGATTAGAATTCCAAATACATTGGTGTATGTATCAGTAGGTACAGAAAATATGAAAGCTGAATTTCCTCTTCAGGAATTCCACGTAGCGTATGTCTACGTAAAAATGGCGAATTCTCCGAGGCCCGGGCTCTGGGTGCTCGAGAAATCGAAGGATTATGGCAAGACCTGGTCGCCCTGGCAATACTTCTCCGACACCGCCAACGATTGTATGACTTACTTCGGTGTGGATAGCTACAAGCCCATCACCAGGGACGACAGCGTGATTTGTACGAGCGAGTACTCACAGATCGTGCCTCTGGAAGGCGGTGAAATACCGATTTCGATTCTGAATAATCGTCCCTCCGCCAAACACTATTTCAATTCGACTCTCCTGCAAGAATGGACCAGAGCGACGAACGTCCGTTTCCGTTTCCTGAGGACCAAGAACCTGCTGGGACACCTGATGTCTTTGGTCAGGCAGGATCCTACTGTGACCAGAAGAGTGAGTGTCCTTGAAATCCGTTGAATGTATTCCTTAGCACTTTTTTGCTTGTTTCGACTTTCTTCAATCTCACGGGTCTTATTATCATTATAACTCGCTCGAAAAAATTTAAATACCTACATATTTACAATATCATATAGGTAGATATGTACGTATAAAATTATCATATGTAGAATCTTTTCTTATTGCCGTTACCTATGACGATCACTTGACGGGGATCAGTCATGATATTTCTTGCTGAATATAGTACATATTTCACCGTATTTACTTGTATACATACGCATACTACGATTGCGTGTATTCAAGTAACTTTTATTCGGTCAACCAAAATTTGGAATCGTTCTGCGAATTGAAACGGCAACTGTCGCTGTTCGCATTTCTTTTGTTGAAATTCGAAGTTACAACACGTACGAATCACCACCGAGATATGATCTTTTAGGTCGGAATAGATAATGAAAATCATCGGATTTCAGTATTTTTACTCGATCAAAGACATCAGTATCGGCGGTCGTTGCATGTGCAACGGACACGCGGGTACGTGCGACGTGTTGGACCCAAAATTGCCGAAGAAGCTTTTCTGTAGATGCCAACATAACACTTGCGGGCCACAGTGCGCGACTTGCTGTAAGGGTTTCGAGCAAAAGAAGTGGCGGCAGTCCACGGCGTTCAAAAAGTTCACTTGCGAACGTAAGGGCTTTATCACTAGCCATTTACTGATATTTTATAAAATACATATAATACAATAATTATCATGGTTTTACGAACGAGTACCGAGTCGTCGAGTCTACTTGTCTATATGTATTGAAAGACCGACGACAAACGGTCTTGAAAATAAAGCAACGACATCTAAATAATGATGTAGGTACATGTACATATGTATGTCCATGTACATACATACATACATACATACATACATACATACGTATCGTTAATTCTCCTCTATTTATTTGAACCTTTTAAATTCTTCTTTGGTTAGCTTGCAATTGTTTCGGCCACTCGGCCGAGTGCGTGTACGATCCAGAGATCGATGAGAAACACATGTCCCTGGACATTTACGGGAACTACGAGGGCGGCGGTGTTTGTAAGAACTGTCGCGACAACACCGAAGGGATCAACTGCAATCGGTGTAAACCAAAGTTCTTCAGACCGCTGGACAAACCTTTGAACGCTACCGATGTTTGCCAACGTGAGTAATTGCTTCTTCGCAGATCATTCTGTTGGAATTTTTGCAACTTTCAAACTTTTCGATTGCGATTGTAAGCAATCTGTGTTGTTGTTAAAAGTCCGAGTTGAAATTTTGTAAATCGTAATCGAAATTTCATTTAATTATTCTCTTGTTGATATAGCGTGTAACTGTATCAACTTCTTCTCGACCGGAAACTGCGCGGACGCAACGGGAAAGTGCGAGTGTCGCAAAGAATACAGTCCACCGAATTGCGACAGTTGTAACGACGGATATTATGGATATCCAAATTGCGTGCCCTGTCAGTGTAATCGAAAAGGAACCAACGGCGATTATTGCGAAGCGATCGATGGCTCGTGCCCTTGCAAGCAAAACTACGCCGGCCATTACTGTAACCTTTGCGCGGAAGGCTATTACAATTTTCCTGAATGTTTGCGTAAGTAACGCGAATACTTTCGTAATATTAGTTGTCGAGACGGTATATAAAATAAAATAAATTTCGTTGGAATCTTTCATTTCTATATGATTAATTAATTGTTACATATACATACATGTGTATATGTATACGATAGTAACGGTTTTGTTCGCGTGTAATTAATTTTTCCAACGCATTATGTATTTCGCAGCCTGCGACTGCAATTCTATGGGTTCTCTCAACTATTTTTGCGACGTGGTGTCTGGTAATTGTACCTGCAAAAACAACTATGGCGGTCGAACCTGCGACATTTGCGAAGACGGTTACTTCAACTATCCCGTCTGTACATGTGCGTATCCAACAAATAGTCACAAGTCACAATATACATACATACATACATACATACATACATACATACATACATACATACATATTCCAAGCCAGACAAACAAACAAACAAACAGAGTTGTTATTGCTATTATTAATAGAATATTTCCTCAGATTGTAACTGCGAGGCCCGCGGATCCGTGCCCGGAGTTTGCGACAAATCAAACGGTGTCTGTCTCTGCAAGGAAGGGTATGGCGGTGCCAGATGCGATCAATGCGTCAGTGGATATTACGGATATCCGAATTGCAGGCCTTGCAATTGCAGCTCTATAGGATCGTCGTCTGTTAGCTGCGACGCTACAGGAAAATGTTCCTGCCTCACCAATTTTGCTGGCAAGACTTGTAACCAGTGCAGTCCTGGCTACTACATGTATCCGGAATGTATAGGTAAGAAGGATACGGTGATTGAAATAATTAAAAAATAGATTAGTTTAAAACACTATTACTGATAATGGTATAGTATGTATGTACAATTTGTTTCTATATTATGTACTTTGTTATATCCGTCTAACATCTCATTTTAGCCGGACAAAGAACGCGTACTGACAAATAAAATACTTCATAAGCGTTCACACGCGTAGATTAAGATCGTCGAGGACTTTTTGGCTGGCTGTTGGTATTTCACTGTACATACATACGTATTGTAGTTCCGCGATGCTTGTTCCAGCGTGCAACTGTGACAGTCACGGTTCAATCGGCGCCTCCTGCGACGCGGAGGGTAAATGTCAATGTCGGGAGAACTTTGACGGTGCCAGGTGCGAGAAATGCAAAGAAGGGTTTTACAACTTCCCGACCTGCGAAGGATGCAATTGTGATCCAGCAGGTATCGTCGAAACCTTTCAGGGGTGCGGCTCTTTGCCAGCCGGAGAACTCTGTCAATGCAAAGATCGCGTCGAAGGAAGAATATGCAACGAGTGTAAGCCGCTCTATTGGAATTTGCAGCCTTACAATCCTCAGGGTTGCGAAGGTGAGCTCAATGGGAATGCTATAGTTTCGCCACTCTCGTCCATTTATCCTACAATTTCTCTGCCGGGATCTAACTCGATTTTTCTCGAATTTTTCCCCCGAAGAATGTCATTGCAATATACCTGGTGTCATCGGAAACATCGGCGAATGCGACACAAAGCGCGGTCAGTGTATCTGTAAGCCAGGGGTAACAGGAAGGAGTTGCGATCAGTGCGTGGACGGCACGTACAATCTGCAGGAAAGCAACTTCTTTGGCTGTTCAGGTACGTAATTGCTTACCAACATTCTAATAACTCTGTATATACCTATGTACGTACACACACACACACACATAATGTAGATAATGTATCGTGACTTGTATCGTATTTAGGTGTAGCTTGAAAATTGTACAGAGGTAGGTAACCAAGTGAATCGGTGTTCTTAATATGTATGGTATCTATGTAAATACCTAGGTAGACAAAGTAATAGGAGTAGGAATCAGTAGGTACATTACAATAATATCCAGATTGTCGTTTTTACAGATTGCGCCTGTGACATCGGTGGATCTGTCAATCCCATTTGTGACAAGCAGACAGGTCAATGTCAGTGTCAACCACGTGTTACTGGTTTGACTTGCAACGAACCACTCAAGGCCCACTACTTCCCGACTCTGCATCAATTCCAATACGAAGTAGAGGATTACAAAACGCCTAGTAACAGTCCAGTTCGTTACGGTTTCACCGAGGAACATTTCCCGGGTTACAGTTGGAAGGGTTACGCGGTGTTTTCGGCTCTTCAGGACGAGATAATTTTACCCGTTTTCATTCAAAAGTCCTCCCTCTACCGAATGGTGTTAAAGTACGTGAATCCAAACAACGAGCCGATTCTCGGTACCATCACGATCTCACCGGAGAATCCACCGGGCGTGGAACAACATTTCAAGGTGAACTTTAAGCCCACCCGGAAACCGTCGTTCGTGACGGTCGCCGGTGCCCATGGTAATCATCCGTCGCCTATGGTGATGGATCCTGGTCGATGGTTCATCAGCATCGCCACCAAGAACAGCCTCTTCCTCGACTACTTTGTTCTACTCCCGTCCGAGTACTACGAGGCCTCTATCTTAACGCAGGACGTGAATATCCCCTGCGAGGTAGGGTCCAAGGGACTCTGCCGTCATTATGGTTATCCTAACTTGAACAGATTCGACTCTGTTCACGGGGCCGGTGGATTTTTGAACGAGAACAACATCAGGATCCCACTGACCGAATACTTCACCGAGAGAGACATCCTTCGGGAAATCGGCAGAGACGAGGTGCCGTTGATCAACGATAAACAGGAAGAGATACACTTTAATTTGAGGGTCTCGAAACCCGGGCTTCACGTGTTATTAGTGACGTACGTCACGCCAAAAGATGAGAATGCTACGTCGACTCTGTTGATAGAGGCCAACACGGTTGGCAAAGGAAAGGCTACTCTCTATCCTTGCAAGTACACCAGTGTTTGTAGACAGGTGGTCACCGATAACTACGGCCGAGTGGCGGCCATGAATTTCCCTTCGAATTATATTAGCTTGATCTTGACCGGCGAGCGTACGTCGAACGTTGCGATAGACTCTGTCGTGGCCATACCTCACTACCAGTGGTCGTTGGATTACGTCAAGCCCAAGTCTATCTGCGTGAGAAAGGACGGTGTATGCGTGAAAGGCGAGTTCCCCGGAGCCGCGGACGCGAAAAAGATCGAGTTTGAAAGCGTTAGCACCGTTCCAGAAGCCACCGACAAGCCGTTCGGTATCTATGACAACACTACCAAGCTGATCTATTTAGACGACAAGAACACGATGGTCGATATCCACGCTAAAGTCTTTCAACCTGGTGATTACACGTTCGTCGTGCAATACTACCAACCGGACTATCCGCAATACGAGTTGGACGTTCTGTTACAAAACGGAAAGTTCTACGAAGCCGCCATGTCCGTTTCCCATTGCCCAAGCAACAGTGGCTGTCGAAGCGTTGTCAAACAGGCCGACGGTAACATTCGATTCCAACTGATAGAGAACTTTGTGATAACGTTTAAAGAGTTCAAAGAGAACGCTGGGAACGGGATCTGGTTGGACTATATTCTGGTGATTCCCAGCGAGCAATACAACGAGAAGATTCTCAAGAAAATTCAGTTCGATCAGACGAAGGAGTTCATCAAGAAATGCGGCTACAATCATTTCCACATGAATAGAACCGAGGAAGGGTTCTGTCGTGACTCGGTTTTCTCATTGACAGCAAATTACAACAACCGTGCGTTGCCATGCAATTGCGACATTAACGGAACGATCAGTTTCGAGTGCGAAAAGTTTGGTGGACAGTGCCCCTGCAAGCCAAACATCATAGGTAGACGTTGCGAGATCTGCAAAACAGGATTCTATGGATTCCCGAATTGCAAGCCTTGCAACTGTCCCAGCACAGCCCTTTGCGAACAAGAGACTGGCGCTTGCATCTGTCCCTCAAGGGTCACCGGTGAACGATGCGACCAGTGCGAAGTAGGAACGTACGGATTCCATCGAATAATTGGTTGCGAAGAGTGCAACTGTTCTCCTGTTGGTGTGCTCGATGGCGATCTGCAATGCGATCTCTTTAACGGTAGCTGCAGATGCAAGGAGAATGTTGTCGGTAGACAGTGCAACATGTGTCAGGCCGGGTACTCGCAGTTTCCGCACTGCGAGATATGCGACTGTGACACCATAGGCACCACCACCGGTATCTGCGATCAGTACACAGCCGAATGTTTCTGTAAGGCGAACGTTCACGGTCTTGCCTGCGACATCTGCAAAGAGGGCACCTTCAACATCCAACAGAGCAACGAGGAAGGTTGCGCAAAGTGTTACTGCTTCGGAAAGACCACCAGATGTACCTCGGCTAACCTTTACAGGACTCATATCTCCGACATGTCCAAGTGGGGTCTGGCTGTGTCCAGCGAGAAAGGCGGAACCCTGCAGTTGTTGGTCACGGATCCCCAAAAGTTCAATGGGACCAGCATACACGCCAGTCTGGCTGGGAACGACACCTTTGGTGAGGTGGTCTACTTCTCCGCGCCGGAGACTTACTTGGGAAGGAAATTGACCTCCTATGGGGGTTTCCTGAATTATACAGTTCATTACAGCACCGGACCGTTTGGTAACGCAGTCAGCGCGGCTGACGTTATCTTGGAGAGTGGCGACACAACGCTGTTCTATTACGCCGATGAACAGCCACCGTCGTTCACAAACTTCCAATCGTCGCTGGAACTGGTCGAGTCGAACTTTTTCACGCATACCAGGCTCAGTGCCACCAGGGAACAGCTAATGGTGGTTCTAGAAAATCTTCAGGGACTACATATCAGGGCAACCTACTGGAATCCCAGTATCACAGGCTCATTGTCTCGCGCGACGCTTGATACGACCACCGAATTCTATTCGTCGCAGTATAACATTCCAGCCGGCAGCGTCGAGCAGTGCGACTGTCCACCAAATTATCAAGGATTGTCCTGCGAAGAATGCGCGCCCGGGTACTACAGAGTTCAAGCCGGACCTCACGGCGCCTGCGTTAGGTGCGAGTGCAACGGACATGCTGATATCTGTGACGTAAACACTGGGATATGTTTGGTAAGCGCAATCGGACACGCAATAGAACGGCTAAGCGAAAGATGGTGGTGGTGGTGGTGGTGGTGGTGGTTTGTTGCCGAAAACTTGTAACCAGTCTTTTATCTAACATTTTTCTTCCCAGGGCTGCAAAGACGGCACCGCAGGCGAGCACTGTGAGTTCTGCCAGCAGGGCTATTACGGAAATGCGACCGGAGGAACGCCGACAGACTGTCTGATCTGCGCCTGTCCTATGCCCATTCCATCCAACAACTTCGCTACCGGTTGCGAGGTGAACGAAGAAGGCAACAAGATCAGTTGCGACTGTCTACCAGGCTACTACGGCGGCCGTTGCGAGGTCTGTGCTTCCGGTTACTACGGCGACCCGCAAGTCCAAGGGGACACTTGCAAGCTGTGCGAGTGCTCGGGAAACATCGACACCAATCAGATCGGTTCCTGCGATTCTATCACGGGCGAATGCTTGCGATGCCTGAACAATACTTACGGCGAGGCCTGCAATCTCTGCGCGCCCGGGTACTTCGGCGACGCCGTCGGTAGAAAGGATTGCCGGAGTTGTCTGTGCGAGGAGTGCGGTTTGGAGCATTGCGACAGCGGCACCGGTCAGTGCTTCTGTCGCGAGAACGTTGTGGGCGAGAAATGCGACCGTTGCGCCGATTACCATTACGGCTACGACAGCTGCGACGGCTGTAAAGCTTGCGACTGCGGGCTAGCCTCCGACAGTAGCCAATGCGACGATGTTAACGGTCAATGTAAGTGCAGACCCGGCGTCACTGGACGTAGATGCGATCAGTGCGTATCAGGATACTGGAACTACGGTCCCGACGGATGCACTTCCTGCGGATGTAACACCGGATACTCTGTCGGCGTGTCCTGTAACACCACCACTGGACAATGCACCTGTTTACCAGGCGTGATTGGGGAGAAATGCGATCACTGTCCCTACAGAAATGTCCTGATCCCGGGCCAAGGCTGTTTCGCCTGCGACTCTTGCACCGGGGACCTTCTGGACGTTACCGATCAGCTGTCCTATCTGTTGGACCCAGTGTTCAGCGAGTACAACACCGTGGCCGAGAGCTACTTCACGAATCAACGGTTGAAATTCATTAACGACACGGTGAACGATCTGTACACGGAGGTGAACCTCTTGGATCCGAACAGAGTGGACCTGTTGCCGTTACGAAATGCCGGGGAAAGACTGGAGACGGGGGCTTCGAACCAAAAGCGAGAGATCGATTTCACGGCAGAGGACAGCGTGAAATGGAAGCTCGCCGCGGCGAATACTCTCCAGGATATGAATTACCTGCAGTCAGACGTGATCAACGAGATAGAACTGGTCAGATCAACGGTCTCCGAGGTGGAGAGCTTGGCTCTGAATATTGAACTGGGCACGGGCGCAAAGGTGGAGAACGCTCTGAAAGAGGCGGAGGACATACTGAAGAGGATAAAGGAGGTGTCTTTCGTAAAGTTTCGTGACCGTGCGATAGATCAGGCGGACCAGGCGAACATCCTTGTCTCGGAGATGCACGCGTACAGCATACCGGTGAGTAATCTGTCGACCGTCGCGGAGCGTTTCAGCGGCAGGATTAAGAACGTCACCGCCAAGACGGACGATTTGCTCGAGATCACGTGGACAGCCCAGGAGCTGGCCAGTACGGTGGACAGATTGAACCAGGAGAATAGGATTGCGGCGATGACCGGTTACCACGATCTCGTCAAGAACGCCACGGCCGAGGCGGAGGAGGATCTTATCGCTGGCGACGAACTCAACGGGAATGCCACCGAATCATTGGACACAGCGGCACGAAACGTTCACTCGCTGATCAATTCAAAGCTGTCGCCGCGTACAGAGATAGCGGAAGAGCCATCGAGGTCGCGCGTGACGCGGCAGCCGACGCCACTGACGCCGCCAATAACGTTACCGTTTTGTTGGACGGCGTGGAACAGCGTATGCGGAACTCGATAAATGCTTCTTCACGCCTGTTGGAGTCTGCCAAAGACACCTTGGAGAACACCGGGGGGGGACAAGAGGAACTGGACAACGCGCAAGCGGACGCGATCTTTATATACGGTCAGAACAAACGAAATAAAGATCTTTTGGATAACATCGATAAAGTTCTCGCGAATATTCCCGCGTCAACTACGACGATAGCACGGGACGCGATGGGCCGGCTGATAGACGTCGAGGAGAATATCAAGCTCTCGGTCGGCAACATGCACGGTGTCGTGGCAAAAATACCGGAGGATCTCAGGGACACCAAGCAGCTGTCAAAGGACATCTCGGAATCGAATCGTGACGTATCCCAGGCGATGAAGCAGATCGATATCGTCGACAAGTATCTACCGAAAATCGCCGAACTGTCGAACGGTTTGACCGGCAATCAGAGGGCGATCGATAACCGGGAGAATGATCTGCAGGGCAAGATCGAGGCGTTGAAAAGCAAAATCGGGAACGCCAGGGAACTGGCGGACCGTTTCAAAATCGGTCTGACGTTCTACAGGAACACCACCCTGGAACTAAAGAACCCCGAGAGTCTCCCTTTGCTGGCCACATCCACCAAGGTGTCCCTCTACTTCCGAACAAACAACACCAATGGCTTCCTTCTGTATCTCGGAAACGAGAACAACGAGAAGCTTCCCCGGACAAAGACTCACGACTTTCTCGGTCTTTTGATCGAAAGCGGTTACCCGGTGCTCATCGTCGATCTGGGATCCGGACCGGAGAAGATCATCAACCACAAGTTCGTCTCCGACTACGTCTGGAGGCAGATAATCGTCGACAGAACCGGTAAGAACGTGCGGCTAATCGTCCGCGAAGATATCGGCGAAGGAAAGGATCAGTTGTACGAGAAGGGTCACGTGTTGCCTGGTTGGCACTCGATATTCAACGTTGACCAAGAGCACTCGAAGCTGTTTGTCGGTGGTTATCCGTCATCCTTCGACATGCAGGATGCCGTGACGGCGTCCTCTTTCGAAGGTGAAATGGAGGAGCTCGTAATCGGCGATATACCCGTGTCCTTCTGGAACTTTGTAGACGGGGAGAACAATCAGAAAGAAGCTATCGAGAGGGACAAGCTGATCAACTTCCAGCCCAGCACCGGGTACAGATTCGACAGACACGGTTACGCGATCCTGAGCAAGAGAAACTCTCAAATATCGCCGGACAGCAAGAAGTTCAGTATCAAGTTGAACTTGAAGACGTTCGCGGAGAACGGTTTGGTCTACCTGATGGGTAAAGGTAAACAATTTCTGTCCATTGAAATCAGGGACGGTCACGTGCTCTATCAGTACGATCTCGGGGAAGGGGAAACCAGTCTCAGGTCTGCGAATAAATACAACGACGGAAACTGGCACAGTCTCGAGGCTCTCAGGTTCGAGAAGATGGGAGTCCTGAAAGTAGACGGCGTTGACGTCGCGAACAACAAGGCGGTCGATGGTAACAACAAGAATCTGGTATCCTCTGATAATATTTACTTCGGTGGATATCCACCGAACGCCAGGCATCCTTACGAACCCGTGACCAACGATGGCTTCGAGGGCTGTATCGATGAGGTCGTCATCTTGGACACGGTGGTTGATCTGACGCGCAACATTCAAGCGTTCGGAGTTATTCCCGGATGTCCAGTCAGGGTAATTATACAGATTATCCTATACTATCGTGCTACCATCTACTTTGAACTTTCATGCCAAATCACTTCCCAAAATTTTGTATCCGAATTTCTACTAATTACTATTTATACCGTGCCTATAGTTCGCCAGTCTAGTGTCCTTTGAGGAGAACATGCCGGGTTACGTAAAATGGCCCAACATCACCGTATCGGATATCCTTCAAGTGAACCTCAAGTTCAAGACTTTAGCGAACGACGGCTTAATCTTCTACGTGGTTGATCCAGAGACTGGCGCAGTCAGCTATCTGTCCCTGATTGACGGGGTGCTGGTCTTCAATAACCAGGGCGAACAGCTTAGAACGAGTTCCTCTGGCATCAAGTTCAACGATAACGAGTGGCACGTGGTCACGGCCACTCACTCGAAGGACTCATTGAAACTTGACATCGACGACACCAAGAACTACAGTACAGACTTGGAACTACCTATACTGAACATACCTCTCGGTAGTTTATACATCGGTGGTTTGCCGACTGCCTTTGGTATCCCTCAAACCGGTCCAGCGACGTCATTCGTCGGCTGCGTCGGGGATGCGACGCTGAACGGAGTCATTATCAACTTTGCGAACACGACAGAGAGGCCTCACGCTTTCCTAGGAAAGTGCAAGGGCGGAGACCCGTCGTGTAAGTACAATAATAATAGATGTTCTATTTCACTTTAACGGTTCTAAGTGCGTATACATTACTAGTACACAACTGGATCTACCATACATCATAGACATATGTATAGGTACATAAACTTCAGTGCTTGATCAAAATTTTATACTTGTTACGTAGCTGCACCATCGATAGTCGAGCCGAAGCCGGATGCTGTGCCTCCGTTGCTACCAGCGGAAACGCCCGACGATAATCTTGAAGTATCCACTCAATTCAGTAAGTATACAATACATAAATATGTAGGTATGTGTAACGTTGTTTGTACCTCGGTTGACGGTTTCATACGAAATTTATTAACGAATTATTCAAGACGTTATCGATGTCGACGTGGAAAAGGATTCAGAGGAGGAGGAACCTAACCTGGAGGGGCGAGGTGGTGGTTATCGTGATGAACTGACTACGACCACTGAACTCACAACTTCGACCCAAAGACCGACGCCATTGCACGTGGACCGGTGTCAACTCCCTTATTACCCAGCGGATGATCCCGACTTGGACAATTCTTGGAGATTCGGTACGATATATATTATATGCGTACATAACTACATACATACAAAGATTTCAACAGGACAAGTGTCCATCTTTAAAAATCAACAGAAAATTTCGGTTAAATATTATAATTTGAAATGTTTTTTTTTTTTTTTTTTCATATTCTCCAGGCACCGCAAAAAACAGCAGATTAGAATACAGGTCTTTAAACGGAAGATACAAGAACGACTATGACTTCCAGATCGACGTGAAAACGATGGCCGACGAGGGAATCATTTTCTACACTTCGGATCCTGATAATCAGAATTTAATCGCTGTATATGTTAGCGATGGCAAGGTAATGTGTTTGTAGCGCAGAGTGTTGTTTGATAACAATAATTCGAAAACAGGTATCACACACACACACACACACACACACACACACACTAGACGATGACCCAGTATACATATTCAGTTGTTCGAATTCGAATGTGATATGCGTTTATCATCAAACGTCTAATAGTCTCCACTAATCTGATTGATATTCGATATTGTTACCACCATTTAGTAATATCAGTCAATTGTATGTAAACAATTTCAATTGAACAATGCTTTCGCCGAATTTAAACAAGTGTACAGAGTATGACGTGCCCATTTTTTTTTTTCTTACTCTTGCTCGCAACGAAGATGTATGTATATCTGTAAATTTCGCACGTCACACGATCAATTAATAGTTTTTTTTTACTTGCAGCTTCACTATAAATTTGACTGTGGAACCGGGCCTGCGTTATTGGTCAGCGAAAAGAAAATCAATGACAATCAATTTCATCTCGTAATATTCAAAAGACGAGGAAGTTATGGAGAACTGATGGTCGACGAGGAACCACCGGTTACCGGATATTCACAAGGCGACACCGAAACCATGAACGTGAGCCCACCCTTCTACGTGGGAGGAGTCCAGCAAGACGCGTCCGGCAAAGTGTACAACATGATTGTAAGAAAACAAACAATTAATCCTTCTTGGCATCTGTCTCGAGAAAATATTCAACGAAAATACGCTTGGTTGGATATGTATTTGAAAATATTCTAGATACAGGTGATAAGAGATCAATTAGTCAATCAAGGTTATTCTTTCAAGAGCTACTAGTATGTCGATTATTATTTGCCTCAGGGCACGAACCAAACGTTCAGCGGATGTCTAGGAAACTTCATGGTGAATGGACAACCAGTTGGTGAACCGATAAACAAAGTGGGCGTGATTCCATGTTCAAAACGAGTCGAACCGGGATTATTCTTTTACCCCGGCAATGGCAGCAATTTGTTCCGAGCAGGTACGTATTCTATAACGTCTTTATATTGTTTGTTCTAATACATAACTGGAGTTAACGTCGACTGTTATCAATACATAATCTGTAATTTCAGTGGATAAATTCACCGTCGGTAGAACGATCGATATCCAAATGGACATTAAACCACGTTCTACTTCTGGACATTTGTTATCCGTTCACGGCAAACGAGATTACTTGGTCTTGGAAATGATAAACGGAACCGTCAAGTTCCTCGTCAAAACAGCAAAGGGCTCGATAGAGACTTCCTTTGAGCCAACGAATTCAAATTCCCTCTGCGATGGAAACTGGCATAATATTCGAGGTAATTCTTCATTACACTTTTTAACATCTTCATTAACAGATTCAACTTTTTTTTATACTAAGCACTATTTATCCATTCGCGTGTATTGTTCGACACATCTAGCTCTAACTTTTTCTTCTTATTTACCCAATTGATAATAAAATATTCTCAGATTTAAGTAATGATAGTGGGGGGGGGGGGGCGGGCAAATTTTAATATTGAACTATCATAATATAATAAAAGAAACAAATATTTTTACGTTACTTATACAGCCGTCAAACAGAAGAATGCTGTGCTTTTATCGGTGGACCATAAAGCAGCTCCGCCGGGAATCGGTGGTAAAAACGTGGCAGGAGTTCTGTCCAGGCACCCGATCTTCATCGGTGGTCATCCGATGCTTGGAAAAAGGTTAAGGGGGAGCACCTCGCAAACGCAGTATGTCGGATGTATCACAAACATTCACATCAACATGCGACCCGTAAATCTCGGTCCGGAACGCGCTTATGGACAAGTTACTTCTGGTGTATGTCCAACAATATAAGAACCTGAAAAATCCGTGACTTAAAACACATGACCCGTAACTTTCAATTATTTTTCTCTACAAGGTCTTCCAGCCATTTTTTTAAACGTATTTTGCTAAATAAATTTTCAACTTTGAAAATCTCAAACATGTTTGAATATTACGAACGAAGATTGTATTGCATAACCGAGAAAAATATTGCATGATAATTAAAGAATTACGATTAGATTTCAAACTCATAGACTCATACGATACCTATCAATTATACCAGATTTTTTTACACACACACACGCGCGCGCGTCCATAATGTACACACACACACACACACACACATATATATATGGACATGTATATGTTATTAGCGTCTAAGATAATTGAAAATAAATTGGAATCGTCAAACATCAAGTGCCATATCTCAGGGCCTAGCCATCATTATAAATTTATAAAACAATGCCAAACATTTCTTCAGTGTGCTTTTGTAAAATTTGCGAAACTGTTCATACTACCATGTTACGACTATGTATACAAAAGACTGAACGTCGTTATGATTTTTTCCATCTTTCATGGTGGAAGATTGAACCATGTATCCTTATGACATTCATCAATAATTATTATTTAAACGCTCGAGTAAACAGTTTTACTGTAACTCGTGTTAGATGAATTCTAAAATTGTAACATAAACTGAATAATGGTAATTATTCAGTTGGTATTGTAACACTTAACCAAAGAAAAGCATTATAATAAAAGTTATAAATTATATAATATTCGCGTATAAAAAATCATATGATTTTCTTCAGCAAGTGCGAGGACATCTTGTAATTAAGAATATTTATGGAGTCATTCTTTCCTTATAAAATTCGTGCGGATTATACTTCACCATAAGCGATGAAAACTTATAGTAATTAATTCACCTTAGTTTTAAAAACACGTTGTAGTGTAACAAAGTTGACTCTATTTCATTTCCCATTTAATTTTATTGCATATTTTTTTGCTTGCACACACACACACACACACACACACACACACACACACACACACACACACACACACACACATCTTATACGGAATTTAAAAATTGCGTAGCATTATGATCTGCAAAACAAAAAGTAAAATAAACTATGCAATAAACGACTTACAATACCTAAAGAACAGATTTATTATAGTTATAACAACTATCAACCTGTGTATAAAATTGTCTACAATCTTCGAGTACACGTATTACCTTCGAGAAAACTTGTGCTGTTCAATGATTAATCTATTAGGTACTAAGCTCTTGTTTATTCATCGAAATTTTTATATTTACAGTACCCCGTATTTACAAAATTAAAAAAGTCAAAGTCGTAAAGGACATAGAAATTATAATCTATTATTGTGTAAAGAGTTATAGTACTCAATACATCAAGCTCATAGGCTCATTTTTTAAGCTACTGAAAAATCAGACATGTTAAACAAAAATACAGAAAATTACACGTAAACCAGTAGTAACACATGATCAAGATATTAAATACTTCAAGCAACATATGTGTATTTCGTGATGTATCGGAGCAATGATAGAAAAAACTGCGTGATGAAACGTCTTACATTCAACCATTTACATCGTACCATATTTGTGCAAAGACAAGAAAAAAAAACTAGAATATCACTATCGAAATCGTATATTCCTTTAAAAATATCCGAAAGAACAAATGTTTCTCATATGCTAATAATGAGTTAGTTTTCTTAAATTACATATGTCACAAAATCAATTTTAAGAGAGCGATGTTTAAGACAGTGAGAAAATTCGATACTGTCAATCTGACCATTGTAGATTACTAGTTTCGGTGCATCGAAAACATTTATGAGACTCTACACTGAAAGAATAACGTGCACATAGTATTTCAATAGATCTTGTGAATTGTAGACGATATTTACGGCCATATTCGCTGAGCGTATATTAATTTATTCGAACGATCGTTGTTTAGCGTGTTTATTTCAGTGCACGCATTTATCGAAATGTTCTATTAAAAATCACATAAATAACGTTGAAAACGCAAGGAAAAAATTCCACTTTCCGATATTCGATACTTATCATTCAGAACACATCCTTAATAGTAGCAATTACCATACCGATAATTTCCATTCCTTTGTTTCTTACTTGTCTAAAGTATTATAGTAAAACACTTACAGACTTCTATGTATTTAAAAAAAAATTTCCTGAAATAGTTGACAAATAGTCGTCTCGTTCATTGTGGTTAAACAAAAGAACCGAATTTTTAGAAATGTACATACGGAATCTCATTAGAGACAACTAAAAAAACTGCACGCTATTTGTCAATCAATTTCAGGAACTTTCTCAATGAAATACAGTAATGGCTTCCATAATGCACAACTCTTGTGATTCCTGTAATCCGTATTTCTGTCCGCAACTAGTTGGAAACTTTGAACCTATTCGGAATCATACTTTCAAATTCTCGAGATTTGAGACCGGGAAAAAAAAGTAGGTAAATGGCTCGTTGGCCGAAAACGTACACCTTATTTCCGTTCTCACAATCAATGTCGAAATCCCAGAGCTATGCTGACTACGGAAGTCATTGCTGTAGTATATCACAGTGTAACGATTCAGACAGTCAATTATAGATTTTTGTTACATGGCAATTGCGTCTGTACAATGGTTTATCACAAAAGGCATTATGTCGTTTGTTCTTTTCAATACTTTTGAAACGATATCCTGCGTCACAAATGTACAATACGTATACATATTATCCGAATATCCCAGTTCTGCACGTAAGTACAAAGATATTTTTCGTACACCTCGGAGATTACTCACATGATTGTATTGTAACAAACAACAGAATAAATGGGCATAAAAATATCTTTCGTGTGTGCACGGCACGGCACTCGTGCGAATAATTACTCAATACCATGCGCGAAAATCATCACTAAGCCAGGTGGAACCATCATATCTTCTGGCATGTGGGTATTGTCGCAATAGAGTACTAACACTGCTTGCTTGCCGGGCACTCGTTTACAAACGTAATTTTCATACAGCCGTCTAGAATTTTGTCTAGTCTCGAGAGAACTTAACCCTGGGGGCCATTTTCTTTCATGGCAATTTTCCATCAGTTCGTCGATTACATGGAGTGGACAGTTACATTCCGTCAAAGTCCTTTTCATCATAGTCTACAATATTATTTCTCATTGTTTATAGGACCGAATTAATTAGTACCATTAATGGGACCAAATACAATACATTGCCATATCCTGCATTATCGAAATGTGCTATGAATTCTTTAGAAAATTTTACATGTAGGATTCATAAGTATGTATAATAGAATAATAAATCAGGTATGCTTATGAACATACCGATTTCTACACGATTGAATTTTATTCAACTAAACGAACATTAAATGCTGAACGGATAAATACTTACGCGTACATATTGTAGTTGGACCCATTGTTAAGAATGACCAATATACATGTGTATAATTTGTATATTATGCTCACCTGTAACACTTCATCAGGTGTGGAAATCATTCCTCCCCACCTGGTTACTCTTGCTCGAGGAAGAGTAGCAGACCATCTTACAACTTCATCTCTCTCCATACGGTCTGCAATGACTCTTAAACCAGGATTCGAGAGTCTTAGTGCTCTAATAAAATCTTTCATGAGATGTATCTCCCTCTTGTTTTCTGTTATTTGTAGCTGCTGTTCACTCATTTCACGTTTCATGTCTGCAAGTTTCTGTTCCTGGACATGAATAATGTTCCTAAGTTCCCTTACACAATTATGGTCTTTCAGCTCATTCTTGGGAACAATAAGATTACATCCTTGTTCGCAGAGCATTGGTCTCTTGGGATTATATTCACATTGTTCCAAATGTGATGCCAGAGTGTCAAGTTTGACTATTACTTGACATCCATATATAACATTATCACAATTGATACAAAGACGTGCCAACAAGTTTCGAAGTATTCTTGGAGCTGCTCTGAGTTGTGCAGAAGTAATTGGTGTACGGTCCAAGGGACAGATGGCTTGTCTGTTTATCCATTCATTAATGCATGTACGACAAAAAGCATGCTCGCATACGGGTGCCTGTAACATATTGCTCACCTACCAGTCTTTAAGCCAAACCAAACATTATAAGTAACTTATACTATTACAGTGAATAATATCTAACAGACGCAAATGATAAATCTGCGCAATTAATTGATGAGTAAAGTAAGGATCTGCTATACATTTCATTTACAAAACGAAAGGTACAAGAAAAACAACGGTTACGAACATTTTGACAGAACGGAAGTTGTAAGAATTCAAGCAATCGTCTAACATTACGAAGTTGATTCAAGATTCTAACAAGTGTTTCTCGAAATGTATGTTAAGACGCTCGATGAGATAAAAGAAAACGATTGCTGATACAATTTCGGAAGCAGTATTTAGTGCTAATCGATAAAAACGTAATAGCATCATTATGGAAGAAGAGTAGAAGAAGAAGAAGAAGTGAGGTTAGTATCGTGTAATCGGACGAAACTGGTACATCAAGAGCATTCGGGTTGTTCGCGACCGAAACGAAAAATAATACCTGGACTGGATCCTCCAGGACCCCGGAGCAAATCGCGCAAACAAGTTCCTCGTCAACTTCGCCCTGAAATCGGTTCACATCGAACCCCATAGTGCGTGCCCACGACAATATCAGTGAATATCAGATCAGCCGTTCTCGTGCGTAACGACGGTAACGACCAGTAATTGGCAGTAATGACCGAGCCTCTCTTCCGAGTGCTTACGGGAGACGCGAGCGAGATACACTGTGGAGACAGGAGACAGGATCCAGAGATCCAGAATCACAAATGATCACAAATTCGATGGCGTTCGGCGTGAAAGCTCGTCAAGTTTCTTCTCCTCACTTTTCACGGATATAACACGACCACCCGATAGTCACTTTCCGTAAATCTATTGACACTTTGCGCTTTGCACAACTCCGTTGCAATGCAATTCGAACACACGATTAATTACCTGTTGTTTTATGTACGTACAATGACATGGTAGAACACGGTCGGTTAAGCCTTCTATGTGGGCCTCGTGGCCCAAACTTTCGTCACCTTTTCTGTTGCACTCCGACCACGAATGTCCGCTCTATCTATAACTTTATCTCGTTGCCCAAAGAGGGAACTCGGTTTTCTTTTTTATTTATAGGAAGGGAGTACAACAGTATGTAGGATAATTCTTTTTCTCCCGAAATTGAAAATTATTTTCATTTGTGCCTTTGCCATTTGCTGTTCACATACTTATTGTGTTTGAGGAAGATTTGCGACCACATATACATACGTAATACCTGGTAGGTAAATAATACTAAAAAAAATTCTAACAATAAGATAAGACATAAGCCCTTAGTTTTTTCGTAATGGCCACGATACCATTTCCCTCGCTGATCCGAAACAAAAAATTCAACGATACATATGTACATAGGAGGTATACATATAATAATCTATTTAACTGGATAATAAATATACATATTTACTTATAGATTCTATTATTAAAAAGAGTCACGTAATCTTTCCGACTTTTAAGTAATGGCGTTTAACGAATATCTATAGTACATACTTACTTCCTTTGTTAACCAAAACATAATTGTTGAACAGGCTTATCGATAAAAATATTTCTGATAAAATTCATTACTCCACGTGACCCTGTCTTCACCAGAAGAGAGAAAGTTCAATTGGTATTCACGTATTCGATACTGAATTAACTGAATACAGGATTTGCCTTTTGTTTATCTTCTTTTTCATAATATATTTGTTTTTTTCAGGTTCTATCGGATCGAAGCTAGAGTTACATGCATACACTGTATGCATGTATGTATATAATGTATGTTTCCATTAATGTCCGGCCGCTTTTCTACAATTTTTACCGTTTGTAATAAATGAAGAGTAAGTATGTGAATCGAACTGCAGAAATGTGTGTAGCTCCAGTACAAAGAAGCTATGTAATCCACTATACGCGTCTAATGTTTTTATTTAACAGAAAGCATATTATATATGTATTAGCTTGGGTTTATATCTTTTCCGATAACATGTGTCATCTTCATTGACACCAATAATTAAAGTCCAATTTATCGCGTGTTTCGTGAAGGTGATGTCGATTTCGTTTGATTTTCTTTCCGGATTTCGACGAGTTACGTCGAATTCATCGAATCTTGTTGTATCTGAATCAATTTGGACTCTATCGAGTTGCGATAAATCTCTCCGGAATTAATTGTAGGCTTGCATGTTTCGATTGATAAGGAATGATTGTCATAAGAAGATAACAGTACTGAAAAACTGGATCAGTATCAGTTTTACCGTTATAGAGACAGGTGGAGTTAACAATTCGTAAGAGACTATGGACGAAAGGAAACGGTCCGATCACGAAATAGAAGGTACATACATACATATCTCTAGATTACACCTTCCGCAGAATTTGCTCATTCCAGGTTATTTCTTTTGGCAACAATCGATTTGAAAGAAATTTTACTAAGAGTGAAATTTCTTTAAACGAACGTTTGATAGAAGAAGTGTAATAGAGGACATTTCTTCACTTTTCTTCGGTGTCAAACAGTGTTTGTTCTTCAAAGAACGAAGTTACTACATACATACATACATACATACATACATACATACATACATACATACATACATACATACATACATATGTACATAAGTACCTATTATAATTCCAACAGTTGATGTCGATTTTAAATACCTGAAATATCAATCATATAGAAATTTATCGTTTAATGTATTTTGTAAGAAATGGTATTACATAGAGAATAGTATAGTGTACTATGGTAATATATAGAGGTACTAATGGTATTATATAGAGAATAGTATAGTACTGTAGTTTTCGATTTTGAACACATTATCCAGTTATGTTATAAATAGACTCGAGTATTTGCTTGCGGTTGCAATGTGTTTACACGAATCATAGACGATGCCGTGATATGTATAACGGTGTACGGATTTTATCCAATATCGGTCATCGAGGTCTAATTCCGAAAGATTTAACTCGATTTCGAATCGTTCGAACTACCGCCCCGTAGTTGTGCAGTGATTAACTTTAATATGTGCACATTCGGGGACATTAGTGCGGAATCATTCTGTATTTCTGTCGAAATCACTTCGAAACTTTTTGTTAACCGCCTTAACTTATTATTTGGCAAGGGTGCAAAAGTCAAAGTGTCTGCCTGTCCATTTTACTCGCTGTTCGATTGGACCGTGACCCAATTCGAAAGTTACAAATTGTCGTAGCGCCTTTTAAATATTAATGAATCACAGGACAGATTACTTTTTATTGGCGTTCCTCGTGCGACGATAATACCCGACATTGCTTTAACCCTGTTGAATCATGATTAACATGCTCGACAAACAAATAAGAAACGAACGATTGATTCTTATCGATTAGACGGACGTTCTCTGTCATTTCAGGACGAATCTCCCATTCGAATTCGAAGGCTTAATAATTCACTCTTTTATTACATTTTCATTAAAACATTCGGGTTTCTCGATGACGTTTATGAAGTGGAATTTATTGTCGATAATAGAAATTGAGGGTTTGGAATGGTAGCCATTTTGGAGAAGATTCCTTCTGAAATCTCATACCTCCACAATTACGTCACTTAATCGCATGAAAATTTTCCTATACGTTTTCTAAAGAAGAACGCGTGAATACATTTAAAAATTCCTCTGTCTTATGATTCTTTACTTATAGGTAGAAAATATTGCCTACTTACGCGACTTGGGTTATTATCGTTATCTCAGAGAATATGATCGTCAGGTAACTACATAACTGAAAGGATGTAACATTCGTGCTGTTCACGTGTAAGTCATTGGTGTTGGTAATATTGCGAGATTGCAGATATGTATATACATACGTTTACCTCTATAATTGATACACAGCGATCAGATTATTCAAATTGACGCGAAAAAGTAAGAAAAAAGAAAAGAAAAAAAAGGAAAAATACCGTTGAAAACGTTTAACGTTAGTCGAGGTGAGGAGAACTTAGAACTTGGAACCATGATATCTCAGGGACAATCGTTCGTTTCGAAGATAAAGAATCGAGAAATTAGGTTGAACGTTTGTAATTGTGTCACACAAGTGTTATCGGACCACTTTTCCACCGTCTGTATGTTTTCAGATCATCCGGATAATGAAAGCAACCTGGAGAAGAATGAAAAGGTAAATACATATTGCGAATCACTTTATCACTATTGAGAATCGATTTGTTGTACAATGTAAATATTGTCAGCGCGACTTAATTTGGAACCGTGACAATTCGGCGATAGGTAAGTTGTACATACCTTACTGATGAATTTCCCAATGACGGCGGCCCTGACTAGCATGTAGCATAATGAATAACGAACGATCCATAAATACCTATTACATACATGTAGTACCTACATATATGTATATCGAATTCATCAGAACGAATACATACTCCTAAAATTACCGTAAAGTCGGGAGTCCATGTTCAATTTCATCGGGAAAAATTCAGCGACGTGAATTACGAGCTCGATGTGATAGTATCTATGTATATATGTACATACATACATAATTATGTAGCTATTGTACATCGCTTTGTATATGCGAGCGAGTGCAACAAGTTTCCTTTCTTTTTCAAATATCCTGTATAAAGAGCACAACTTTTGAATCTAATATCACTGAAAGATGAAAATATTTGTGGGTTTAAGGACACAATAAAGCAAAGAAACTTGTTCAACGTCGTAACTTCACGCCCCTGCAGTAAGGACCAGTTTCATAACATAGCGTCGTCACCGTTTCTTGGACAGAAATCGAGAGCAGATTTCACTTTCCCTTTTTGCATTAAAACATTCAAATGAGTCAATCGATTTCACTTGGCTGGTTTCGATAAAAATTGAAAAATTCTATCGTTCGTCGTCGTATCGTTGAAAGGAAATAATTCATCAACGTTCCTAATCGTCGACACTATCGTGCACTAATCCATTGATCGATCGTACATATGTACTTACTTATGTACTCGATGATAATCGCAGATTAGCTTCTTTTTTCTAACAGAAACTATACCTACAGAAGACGTTCTGCAACAATTGAACTTGGACTTTGCCACGTCTGAATTATCTTAATCGATTTTCACGGTATTAGAGTTATAAAATCTTAAAATGGCGGGGTAACAATGCTTTGATCTGGTACAGCACGCGATAATGGTCGCTTCTGATCTGATTGTGCATATACATACAGTCTATTACAAAATTTATCAGTTAATTATATATGACTCATCGAAAATAAAAGCGTTATGCTTAACAAAATTACGCTGCATTGTCGTGTCGCGTTTCAACGCTCCTTTCGCGAGTTATCCTTCCGATCGAATCTCAATTAAATGTTAATTTTGAAGGTACATGAGCAACGCCTCGCGAACGCGTTTACTATGTAATACATATCGCGGCAATTTTCTAATCTAAAGTCTAGCAAACACTTGGAAAGATTATTATTATTTTACAATATGTTTTCACGTTTTCAAGCTTTTAAATCAGCTTTACATATTATATGTATGTATACCGTATACGTAACTCGATAGTATAGATTTACGACTATATTACGACTCGTGTTGATACTGTTGTGTTTAACAATTGGATGTATATCCTACACAGATTAATACCAGTAATGTCCATTGAGTACAATATCTACATATACGTATACTTATACTTACTCTACTACATGTAGATATGCGTTGTACAATGTGTTAGTCTTGAAAAAGATCACATAATAATCTGTAGAAATCCATAATTGTCCCTCGGCAAAACATTGACTTTAACATCAATCAATGGATGGAACTGACAGCTCACGAAAATATAAGACAATTTGTTTATTCAACGCGTTGAATGTTGTGCGTGGCAAAAGCTTATGAAATCGCTTAATACATTTCATTTACGAATATTCTACGAATACATAGAAGTATAGAAACAAAGCCCACGAGAGATCGAGCATCGGTCATGAAAACGGTACTTTCACGCGGCGCGACGGATCCACGATCTGTACAGGATGATCCAAGTGTTTCGGCCATTAAACTTTGTTTTAATGAATCAGAACAAAAAATCATATCGTTCGTAATCCTAAAAGCAACGGAGATATTTTAGGCACAAGAGATAAACCGAACTGCCCTGTATATTAAAATGGTAATTATCCTGTAAATTTTACGTATTTATAGCAAAACAATGTGTCAAGACTTCGATAGAGTTGAAAACTTTGCAAGTTAAACAATAAAATCTTTTCGCTCACGATTTCTTTTCCATTTTCGCGTTAGAAGAAAGTTACAGTACTTACGGTCCAGTTATTAGGATCAACCTGTAGGCGCGACCGTTCTTCGGCTACATATCCGTAGGCTCGCGACGTCGGAGTCAACAGTGCGGCTTCGTGAACCAAGCGGGTCTATCGGCAGTTTTCGCTCGGGTCCGTAGATCTTTGTAGATCGGCGATCTATGCGTCGCGACACACAGAAGAAAAAAGGAGCTGTTCCTGCCCCGATAGATCGGCTCGAGGACAATCTAACGCCATGTGATCCGTTCCGGGATCGTGTTTCTCGTGCCGTAAATTCTCTGTTGGTGACCGATTTCAATTTTATCGTGATTCGTGCACTCAGAAGATCAGCAAAATGTTGGAGCAAGATGGGAACCAGACAGAGGTAGGGAATTCCGTTGGAATTTTCCTTCATCTCGTTCAAAGAGCTAGGCACGATCTTGGATTTCACCAGAAGGATTTCATCTCCCTGGGAATCAACTGAAATTTTCTTCTAGATCGAAAAATCAAGCTATCTTGATAGTTTCTTGAATTGGAAAACTAATTTTTAGCCCTCTGTAGCTATGTTGTCTTGGGTTTCGTATACATATGTATTAATTTTGAAATATCGTGCGCGTTACTGTCCCGGAAGAATGTTTCTGGGTCGGTTTGTTTCCTCGTTAAAAAATATTAATTTTCATTTGACTCGACGGTACATACATACTATTATATCAATAACGATACCGATAGTAGGTATCGAAACAATTGGATTCACGAGAAACCACCCAAAATTCGTTGGAGATTATCGAAAGTGTTTTCGGGCAGTTTATTCATCTTTAAACGTTAAAATCTTGTAAAAACTGCATTTTTAACACATTATGCGAGAGAGATTTTACCTATTAAAATTTGCGGTTAAATCATAGAGACAACCTGATAGAAAGTCGCCGATTTTTCTGTGTTTCTACTCGTGTTCGCGATCGAACCTTTCACTTGCGCGACAGGAAAGGCATTACGAGTTTCGTACAGGTGGACGTAGTGTTAGGTGTACATACACAATATATGGTACACGTGTAGGTGAATACTAAATACGCAACTCTTGTGTATCCATCTGTGGACTCAAGACAACATCACGATAACTGTCGCTATCACTTTCGAAGCTATAACTCCGAAAATATTTCTAACCGAAATATTATTAACTTTTCTTCTCGAAACTTTAATTCTGTGTTCACCGAAGAGTACCTACACCTACATATTAGTAGGTATGTACATACCTACTGCTCTCGAGAGTCGAGAGTAACGCTATCGAGTCACCATGCGGAGTGCACACTTAATAATCTACGCATAATGCGACTCTGTACATACCTAATGTTCTTTGATCCTACTTACACTCTTATTGTTAGTCGAGAAATCCTGAGACACTCTGTGTAGAAAAATGTCAACTGTAAACTTTCCTTCGAGCAGTGTCCTACTTGATCGTTCCTTAGGAAACGCGTTTGAATTGCTGAACGGCTTTGAATAATGCAGCACATGATTGTTTTATTTAACAGGACGCATTCGAAGAGAAGAGTCGCTAGACTGCTCGCACAATTTCATCTGATCGAAACTCTGAAAAACGAAGTTTCGTATAATAAAACACGCACTCTTATGTGTACCTACTTATTTTTTCCATTAATTTCACCTAATTGAAGCTCGAAGCTTTCGTAATCTATTCTTGGTTTTGGGTTGTGTGAATTTGTAAATAACGCCACTTCATGGTTTGCCATGTCTGCTAATTTCCTTTTAAACATTTTATCACATTTGATTAAATAGTACGTACCTACGTACAGAAATTATCGCTTCAATTCGTCTTTTAAATTAATAATGTATGATAGCTGTCGAGGCGGAAGTCAGCTACGTCAGTTAGAACGACAAACTTCATCTCCTGGTTCATTAAAAATAACATTAACTTATCGCTGCCAATTATCGTGTTATTGTGAGCTTCGTGCGATATTCGCCGAATGAGCTAACAGTAGAGCAAGTGCGGAAATGAAAAATGACTTTTTACCGACGTACCTACTATTATCTATGCAACAAACATATTAACTAATAACATGTCTTGAAACTTTAGATTTCTGTTCCTTTCGATTCATCGCATCGTAAGGATATAACAATCGTTCTGTGTCTTTGATAATTTCCTTTGTTCACCGAGTTAAAAAACTGGTCAAGTAATGGTCCCTTCCTTTAATTAATACTTTAATCATTTTACCATGGAACATCAAAAGAGTAAAACAAAGAATAAAAGCATTCTAGACGTTAGGCACATACATACATATGTATGTAGAATATACGTATGCAATTATGTATCATATATTGGATAGACTGCACAATAAATATTGTAAGAAGATTAAAGAATTTTACGTAGATGTATCGAGTAGTTTTCTTTAATGAAACTGCGATCGCCAACATATTCCGGTGTAAATTAAAATTATAATTACGTTTCGCGGCGACCGTTGGCTACAGCGGATCGGATGGCGTTCGTAGCGTGAATAATAATAATTGATCGAATAGCGTGACCTTCGCGTGTATGCGTTTCCACGCACAGCAGAAAACGACTCGTTAAATTGTCGGTAACGAGAAACCAAGCTAATCGGGGCCAAAGCGATCGTGCCTCGTGATTCTTTAACGCCGACTTTGTTAAACCGATTGCACTATTACAGGAACAACGTAAGTAATTCTGTATTTCTTCTCGTTGGGAATTTTACAGAAGCTCAAGTACCCGAAGTCGGTGTTCTTTATCATCACCAATGAATTCTGCGAAAGGTTCAGTTTCTATGGAATGAGAAGTACGTAAACCTAAACGCTGTACGCTCACTCTATTTTTTTATATATATATATATATATATATATATATATATATATATATATATATATATATATATATATACGTATATTATGTATCACGTTACGTTACGTCATACATATGTATATGTACATAGTACATACGTTGCGTTGGTGGGAAATGAATGGCCGTTTGAATATGTTACCAATGTTACCACCGTTACCTTTGCTATAAACTTTAAATACCTACGTATGTACATATATCTACGTATACTTAGAATTTCTCTCTAGGGTTGTTTTCACAAGGTGACGATGAAATCGCACAATATGCAAATTCGCAAGTCGCTTATTTCCTTCCACCAACCTAACACGAAACACAACATTTCTATATGATGTTTTCTGATAAATATTAACAGATTTTCCGCGCGGCACATGACATATTGACATATTCATGTGTCTGTTACCTGCGAACTTTCCTTGCTTAGGTACTATGTAGTAAGAAGAAGCGATCCGTTCTTTTCCTTCATCTTTTTCAATAAAGCTCTTTTTACTTGACTTTGTGAATATTATTATACAACGGGTATGTACGTTTCTCTATGATGGTTTCCATACAATTGTTAAATAATTTGTTTCTGCAGCTGTGTTGGTACTCTACCTAAGGAATCAATTGCATTATGGAGAAGGCACTAGCACCGCAATTTATCACGCATTCATGATGCTCGCTTACTTTTTCCCTCTGTTTGGTGCGATACTGGCGGATTCATTACTCGGCAAATTTCGGACGATTTTCTATTTGAGCATCATTTACGCGGGAGGACAGATCCTCCTGTCCCTGAGCGCGGCTCCTCCGATAGGGCTCTCGCCGAGGTAAGTCGAATTTCTCTTACTACGCTTTCCATCACTATGTACATAGATACCTAATCGGACCTTTCTTTGTCATCGAATCGAGCTTGTAAAATTGCTCTTTAACCCTTTGCGGACGGTCGACGCATATATGTACATATGTAGATCTGCATAGATATACAATATAAGTATGTGTATATGTATAGATTATAGATACAACAATACGAAACTTTCTACTAAGCAGCGATTACGACGAGTTTACGCTCTTCCTACCTAGGTAATCTAGGTACATACCATATGTATATGTATGTATCTGTGTATAAACTATGACCGTCACAAAACCGACGAGAATTAAACCGATCTATGCACATTAGCGAGCATTTAACCGGACTCTATGTATGATATTATACGCAGTTTACGGAATCGAGGAATTGTACATAGAAAAGTCACATTAGGAGAGAAAAAACCAAAAAAAAAAAACACAGTGACCGTCGCGATTGACATGTGATCCCGCTTACCGATGGTCTAACTTTGCAGAGAATTTTCAATGGTTGGTCTGCTCCTTATAGCCATTGGAACAGGCGGTATAAAGCCTTGCGTGTCAGCGTTCGGTGGTGACCAATTCGTCCTGCCCCAACAGGAACGATACCTCTCCACATTTTTCTCCATCTTTTACTTTTCCATCAATTTCGGCTCCCTGATCTCCAGCTTCCTCACGCCTGTACTTCGCAGCAATGTCAGCTGCTTCGGTGACAATTCCTGCTACTCCCTGGCGTTTCTCGTGCCGGCCGTTCTCATGATCGTGTCCATCGGTAAGTACTTTTTTAACTTAACGTCTACTTATGTACTTGTAATCCATACAGCAGTTCGATTCGAGAAGAATCAATACTAATCGAACTTCCTGTGTATATGTACATACTTATTTCTCTTTTCCTCCAGTGATATTCCTGCTCGGAAGACCTCTGTACAGGATGGTCAAGCCTTCAGGCAATGTGATATTACTCGTCTCGCAATGCATTTCAGTAAGTCTTAACTTAATGGAACACACGTAGCAGTAGCAACTAGCACGTGCTAACCCGAGAAATATCGAGAGTATGTATAATAGAATGCCCACTGAATAATGAATGCCATTGGAAATTTCAAGAGAATATCCACCTTAGCTATTGCAAATGGAAAAAACATCTTTGATAATCGAACATCACATAATAATCGATCTGTGTAGAAGAATTCGGTTTCTATACATGTTTCTATGATACATACCTACATAGTATACATATGTATACATATGTCTATCATATGTACGTAGGTATTACCTACACCTACCTTATATAAGTTTATAGTGTCGTCGAGGTAACTCCGAATTAGGTTTTAATACGTTGTTATTTAACTATTATTTACAAATATTAATACAATTGGACAGAGTGACGTTGTGATGTTGCTGAAATTCAGAAACATGACTGTCTCATCCCCTGTTTGGGACCAGTATTTAAAGGGGTTCCGGTATGGAGGGGGTGGACGCTAAGTTTAAGGAATTTAGAAAAGGATAACCTAAGAAATAGGGATATCGATGGGAAGAGACATCTTGGCGACATTAGGAATTTGGAAAAGGGCTGTTTGGGAAATCGGGATATCGCGAAAAGACATTATGGCGTCCTTCGGAATCCGGGTGAAAGCTGTCTCGGCGAACGGTCGGGTTTTTGAGGAGATCTGTATCGCAGGGTCGGTGTACATGAAAAAACCATCGGGGTAATGAAGGGTTCAATTGGCGGGGAATGTATTTACGGAAATGTAAATTTACATCAACTTCCGCAGTCTATTTAAATGAAACGTTGCCGCTGTTTCCGACTGATTCCAGTTGCTCGACAATGATATTCCATGGAAACTCTTCAGATAAGCTTCGCCTGTCACGTTTCAACGCTTAACGCGCGCGCGCATTCTACGTGATTACAGCACGCGATTTACAAGAAGGCAACGTCCAAGGAGAAACGGGAGCATTGGCTCGATCACGCGGAGGACCAATATGAGAAGCCTCTGATAAAAGACATCAAGACATCCCTACAGGTCATGAAACTATTTATTCCTATACCGATCTTTTGGGCGCTGTTCGATCAGCAGGGCTCTCGATGGACAATCCAAGCGTCCCGTATGAACGGCGAGATCGGCGATTATCTGCTCTATCCGGACCAAATGATGGTGGTCAATCCCCTACTGGTGCTTGCCTTCATTCCACTGTTCGAGACCTGTATTTATCCGCTTCTAGCGAAAATTGGGCTTCGGACACCGCTTAAGAAGCTTACGATAGGCGGTCTGCTGGCCGGTCTATCCTTTGTCGTCTCGGCGCTGGTTGAGCTTCAACTCGAGGTGCATACAACCATACAAACATATAATGTATTATGTACCTACCTACCGAATGAGAACATAAAGAAAGTCTCAGAACGCGACGTAACGGACCGATAGCGCCAATTCTTTTTCGCTTCTTTTCATGTTTTATTGGCTGGCTCGGAAACTGGGTTACAGTTTATGATCCTGTAATTTTAACGAATACAATTTCGTCGAGTCTATCGGTTCGAGCGTGGCTCGTAAGATCATATTTTATCCAAGTACACAGATTGGGACCTTCCACGAGATTCTTTACGCGTTTCGTTCTAGCAAACGTATCCAGTACTGCCATCACAGGGCGTGGCCCAGATACGAATTTTCAATACTCTGAACTGCCCCGTAAGTCTAACCATAGAAGGGTTGCCGAAAGGGTCTTTTGAACTCAAAGCAATGGATATGTGGGTAGACAAATACGTCGAGGCGAACGGCACGAAATCCTTGAGTTACACGGCAGACTTTTCAAAATGCGAGACAATGCTCGTTAACGGAATTTCTCAAGGTGTGTCTACAATTTACATTCTCTCCTTCGGAATTATAAATACATACATGTATATTCATCCTCCTCTCCTTTCGGATTCGGATAAGGTTCTTTATGTCTTGTTAATGTACAGAGGATATTATACATATGTACACGTATCTACAATTTTTCTAGGCAAAATCGAGGTGTTCGAAAGGAATGCAATCTCCTGGGCCATCACGCGGAATGGCCTCTCTTACAGCTACCACGACTCGGTAGAAAAATCGGTATCAGGAGATCCGCTGGTGCGTCCTCTGCTCTCAGTGGACTCTACCGTTGAATGTAGGATCATGAATGGCGATATAGCTGTCCAGACTTGGGAGATAGCGAAAGATTCGAGTGAAATTCATAATCTAACAAAAATCAAGGCAGGAAAGTATGATATTTGGATAGATAACAGCATAGTGCAAACAAAAGTACCGATTAAACTCGGCGGAGTATACACGTTAGTGGGTTACGCGCAATCTGGCATAAGGAATGTCAACGTGGTAACCATCACCGACCCAAACTCGTTGCACATATTATGGCTGATACCGCAATACATCATTATCACAATGGGAGAGGTGATGTTCTCCGTAACCGGATTAGAATTTGCATTTACGCAGGCACCTACCAGCATGAAGTCGTTACTCCAAGCCAGCTGGCAGCTAACTGTCGCCGTTGGTAATCTTATCGTTGTCATTGTTGCGGAAGGCTCGTGGTTCGATAATCAGGCAAGTATCATCTTTTTCCCGAACTGACAATTATCACCGTTCAACACGTGCAAAAATTTTCCAACTTTCAATAGGCGTTTCTGATTGATCTTTACGAACTGAATACGAATCTGCAAACCGTGTCTTTCCAGAACGTCCAATTTTTAAAAAAAAAATACATTTTTTTAATAATTCCACACATTTTCAACTGTCGAGCTTATGTTGTGCTTTTACATCCTTACCTTGCCGAGGGATACCGGTTTCTGTTACTTACAATTAACTACATATATGATACATACATACATATGTATGTACACATTTGTCGATAACTGTTGTCGATCGCAACTTCAGTATACTATACATATCGGTCGATCATAATTCTAATTCCCACATTATGTACATATGTATGTATGTATGCAGTCGACGTTTTAAAAAATATTCTATGGATTACTGTACAAATTACCGAGCGAGTAACGCAACTTCTTGGTTCTTAGACGTACGAGTTCTTACTTTTCGCTGGACTCATGTTCCTCGATATAATAGTATTTGCTGTAATGGCGAAATTCTACAAGTATGTGGAGACACCCGAGGAAAAGTCTCTGACAGGGGAGCTTGATATGGAACTAAATAACGGAACAGTTAATTCATCCTATAAGGATGACGAGAAGTGAACTGTTGACTGTTACAAGTGTAAGATTGTGTGATCTGTGAACGGTTTCATACTACATACCTTGGAACTTAAAGAACAACTTCCAACGAGCCCTGAACATCTTTCATTTTAATGTTGACCATTGAGCATTTTTTACTACTTGGTTCCGAGAACAAGATTTACTCATAATTGATGGGATTAATTTATACAGGATTCAGTCATTTAAATCGACTGCCTTGAATATCCTCGAAGCCGTTGATGATACCGAGAAATGTTTCAGACAACAGTTGAATGGTTTCGAGGGGGAAATAATCCGATTTAACTTGTTTTTTTTCTGTTTCTTCTTCTTCTTTTCCTTTTTCTTTTTCTTTTTCTTTTTTTTGTAACCGGACATGTAGACCGTCTATTGAGGTGAAATTTATTTTTATTTTTCCGATACTGCTTATCGTTCCTTATAAACGAAAAATATTCGCACGCAGCACTACGCGCGACATCTAAAATCTTATTTTGACCATCAACTTTACGAATGTACCCACATCAGATTTATTTCTCCCTCGAAACTATTCAACTGCGGTCTGAAACTGATTTTTCAGTACCATCAACAGTTTCAAAGCTATTCCTGGGGATCGATTTAAAAGATTCACGAATGGAACGACAATCATGAGTTGACAACAAAATTCAAATTTAATTTCAAGTTTTGTAATTATACTAAATACTCCATGTCTCTAATCTACTAAACTAAATTGTTAAGACACATCGAATTTGTAAATAAACATGCAAATATAAGAGTATTTTTTTGATAAAAACGTAAGCGTTATTTAATGAAGGCGTTAGAAATGATAACTAAAAATCCATTCAATCCATTTACCTATGCATACAGAAATGTTTCCTCATCCGTAAAATCGTCTGAATCCTGCGATCCTTTAATAATCTATCTATGGTAACACTTATTGTCTGTTTTCTTTTTTTATTGGAATAAATCAGAAAAATCCACAGGCAATGAGTTCGACGTACATACATACATTATGTTCGTAACTGAATGAATTCCATCGCGGGTATTCCACATTATTTTCTATAATTTTTTAATTTGCACAAGATCGTTAAAAAATGATCATATTATAAAATAATATTGAAAACTTACTATCTCCGATGACTATGAAACCTTCACGGGCAATTGAAATGAAACTGTTTTCAAAATATACATATACCTACATATCTATGTATATGTGTACCTATGTACATATGTACATACGTATAGGTACACACATACAAGGAAATCTCTATTGGGAAATACATAGATAGGTATTTTCTTCGAAGCGTGTGATCCTCGAAGGTTTGACGATTACGTCACGCAGGAAAAACCCTTACGATAAGGAAAACTCTTTATAAAATAAACAATTTATTTAGTAAAATAATAATACATTATTTATCATTTATATGTAGGTATATTACACTAGGTTCGGATTAATGGAAGAACGAAAATAACAATGGTAACGTGTATACATTTACGGAACGTATCGCGAACATGAATTGCCGCTATGATTTCATGGTGCCTATATGCTACAGCTCACAATACATACAATCATGCTACAAATCACTATACAATAGTCTATTTGTACACAGATTGTCCTTTCATAGTGTCCCGTCCTTCCTATAAAATTCAAACAAATTCATTCCATAATAGACGATGCAGTGCTGTAAAGGCATAGAAAGGCTACCGATAATTTCATGCTGCTGAGGTGTTTCAATTTTTGTATCTATGATTGATTTTCAGATAGAGAAGGTTTTGAAAATTACGTTTCATCTGGTCGTTACAAGTAATACCTATTCCACAAATTACTGAAAAGTGTAAGTAGTAAGTCTTACTCTGGGGAAGTTACATGGTCGGCGTTAATTACACGTATGAATGTAAGTGCTTCAACTTTGTCAAAATAAATAATCATTTCTATATGTATATTCTCTTGATTACAATAATAGGCTCTTTCATTATAAAACTGTTTCATAATTAACAGTTATAGGTACGTATCATAGAAAAATAAAATACATATTACCGCTTCAAGCCAATTAATAATACTTACATAGATACATACATACATACATACATACATACATACATACATACATACATACATACATACATACATACATACATACATACATACATACATACATACATACATACATACATACATACATACATACATACATACATACATACATACATACATACATACATCATAGGTATGTATGTAGTAGCCGATATTAAAGTTACGCATATACATATAGAATCTTTTGTCTGCATAATATGAATAAAAGTTTAGCAATAGTAGCGGAAGTAATAACCATACATACAATTGCAAATAAAAGCAATACACTGATGCAACCATATTCACAAGAAAAAAACAGCTTGTAAAACATTAATGCATAAATCTATATGATGTATAAAGTTAAGATCTGTCTCCTTCGTAATACATATGTACTCTTAATTCTTAAACCATCTTAATTGTTTAAATTTGATGCATCTAGTTTTTGTAAGAAACTGTCGAACATAAGCAATATAATCACACGTACGTATGTGCATACATACATATGTATGTACACCCGTTTAATTGAACTATCCAAAAAATTGAAGGTCGTTTTAAAATCTTGAAAACGATAAATGATAGAAAAAATTCATTGATATATTTGATTAGACGATCCTATTGAATTAGTTACTTAAATACACAGTATAAATGAATTTCAGTTGAAAACAGTAATTACAATGTTATCAAAGTGATTCCAGTTGCACGTTCCACGCTGTATAGTTCAATCACAAGTATGTATATGTATATACTATATGGTTATTCGACAAAAATTCATGAGTGTTTCAGTTCTTTCACAAAATTCATTCCTTCAACCCAAATCTTTCCTTCTGATTTGATATACATAGATCGAACGTATCGTATCATACACAGGTAATACATATGTATATGTAGATCAAAGGAACCTACGAATTGTTAAAACTTGACAAGATCAACAATAGGTTTGAAAATCAAAGTGTTCAGTGACAGACGGTGAGATTGAATGTTTTAGTAAAATATGAGTCTCCAGTCTGTAGGTACTCAATGTCGCCAACTCAGTAACTGTGTGTGTAGAAAAATAATGTCAATCATACGGCTGACCATACTTGCTATGAAAGTACAAACTATAGTACATCATGGAGTTAAAAAATATGTGTTTTCAAAGAAACACGATAGTCCGTAACGACGCCGAGTGTTGATCGCTTTACACATGGTAAATCCCTTGCAGAAAACGCAAAAGTGGCCTCCCCACAGGGCACAGACCCTTATTTAGTTAACTTTATATCTTGACTTCCTGCGTCATATAAATATTAAAGTTGTATACATTCAATATATGTATGTATAGATAAATGTTTCCGATATGGTACATTAACAGTGAGCTAAGCACCAAAGAAGGTATGTAAATTAATTGTAAGTGTATTCGTAGTTTACTTAAACTACATGTGGTCCTCTTCTTTATTCACTGGTGCTGGTGTTGCTGGTGTTGGGTCGTCATGGAACAGGGGATTCTTCACTTCCATTTCACCGGTCTTTGATTAAAAAAAGAAGGTGGAGAAAATCATTCACCGATCAGAGAGAGAGAGAGAGAGAGAGAGAGAGAGAGAGAGAGAGAGAGAGAGAGAGAGTACATACATATATGTACATTCATATTCGGAATATTTATGGTAAAGGCAGTACAACTTACAGATGCTAATCCCGGGCATTCGTAAACAGTATAGTCCCCTTCTTCGTTTTCCTCTTCGCTCTCCGCCTCAGAAACAGAGCCTGGATCTCTGGACGCAGAAACACGACTACACAAATAATCATTTAAACCCTACTCTCCGAACAGTTGCCTCGTTCGTCTTTTACATAGTAACATTTCAACTTTGTTATTTGGACAACTTACTTTTCCATAGCAATAATTTGTTGCTTTTGATGCTGGAAATGGTACATTTGAGCAGACTGAGCCAGTCTTTGGTCTCCTGAGGGTGATACCTCTTTATTTGGCCCTGTCACACCGTATGCTGGATATTCTATGTCTGCTGCTGCTTTAGCGCCCCGTTTCAATCTGTAAAAATTCAAAAAAAAAAAAAGATACTAAATTCTCTGCTGCACACTTGTTTCCTAGAATATGGTAGGTATGCTCACAGTGATCAACTTGTTCTTTACAATAACTCTAATATAACATACGATATAATTGTTATACAAGTTGTATACGATAATTCTTTTACAATTCATGAGTTATGCTGTTACCTGCACCAGGTCAATGTAATTAATACAAGGGCAAACATGGCAGCTGCGCTGCAGCCAGCGACAATAGCTAAAAATTTAAGAAAGAAATTGCTTCCGTGAAATATGCCAAATGTCCATATTCACATTCGTGAATATTCAGATTCTTACCGATAAAATATATATCATTATTCAAGTTATGATTGACAGGTACAACCAAGGGATCGTATCCTGTGCGCCGTTCCAACTCCGGCAACACGATCACTGTTTGATCATCGTTGAACTGGCGGGGTTCAGTATTTCTCATGCTCTCCACGTGCATCATATGAGTTTTCTCTATTTTCACATTCCCACGTTCCGACTCGGTCCCGTTTTCCATTGTTTTCTCGACATTCGAACGATCACCATCTTCTGTCGACAACGACATATGTATTATATAATTATATTATCACGATAGATTCCATGGAGCGGTTTCTACTACATATAACTATGTACCAGATACAGACTGCTTGATTTACAACTAAGAGCGGGTATATATAAATACGTATGTACATATGTACATGATCACTACTACGGTATACATGTATATGTAGAGTATATGTATGTATAATAGAAGTTACCCGAAAAAAAAGGAGCATCCTGATAGTATCTAGGATCGTTCGGTTTCACAGCAAACGGGTGCCTCCCCGCCAAGTTGGATTCGTCGAATTTGAAAGTGAAATCCGGACCAGCTATTTGCGGCTTTTGCGGTACCCTGTCATTCTCGCTGACCGATCCACTTCGGTAACTTCCGCGATGATAGTCCAACAGGGGCTCCTCCTTCATCCCATTCTCGAAATCGATCGGTCCGTCGTAAGGGGGACGGTTAAACAATACGTTCTGCTGGTATCCGTACCCGTATCCGTACCCGTACCCATACCCATATCCGTAACCGTCACCGTCACCGTCACCGTCACCGTCACCGTCACCGTCACCGTCACCGTCACCATCACCGTTACCGTCTTCGTCTCCGACCACCGGCAAGTTCGCCTCCCCGATAGTACTTCCGCGAGGAAGATAAGTCAACTTGTAGCTGGGATACTCGGGAGGATTGTCATATGGGTTCGGTTCGTAGAAAGGTAGGTAATGTTCCCTTTCTCGCGGCGCCGGCGCCTCGTTGATCGGCTCGTTGATCGGCTCCTCGTTGATCGGCTCGTAGAGCGGCTCGTTGAGCGGCTCGTTGTATCGCGTTTGTCGATGATTCCATCCTTTCGGCTCCTCTTGATGACGAAAGACGCGGTGGCCTAGGCTTTCCTTCTCCGCCAAAGCTTCGAGAAACTCCTTCTCCTTCTGCCGGTCCAGCTGCAACTGCCGATGTTTCTTGTGCGCTTGGTTCGCCAGGAACGAAGAAAGCCGGAACTGATGACCCGGCGACTCGAAGTGCTTGATCAATTGTCTCAGCGCCACGTTCTCCGATGTTTCGGGGACTTCATCTGGGGAAGTGAAAAGGAAATCCAGATGACACTTTATGTCCCGATGATTATTCTTGTTGCGGGTGTCGTCGCTGTTTTTATCATACATACAAACCTATCTACCTACATACATACATATAATTTTGATATCGTGAAGTAGGTGGTCGCTGCAGACATAGCGGTAAAAATTATTTGAAACAACCACTTACGAATTATGTACATACCTAGACTTCTTAGGTAGGTATCTACATATATGTATGTATACAAGTAGTATCGTTCGGTCCCCGCGTGTTTGCGATATAAAAGAAAACAGACTAAAGAGAATGAAAGAACACATTCGCAGATTTTATACCGTGTATCTCTTATCGTTCCACTTCCTGATGTTATCGTAGCGGCCTGTATGTATGTATGTATGTATGTATGTATGTATGTATGTATGTATGTATGTATGTATGTATGTATGTATGTATGTATGTATGTATGTATGTATGTATGTATGTATGTATGTATGTATGTATGTATGTATGTATGTATGTATGTATGTATGTATGTATGTATGTATGTATGTATGTATGTATGTATGTATGTATGTATGTATGTATGTATGTATGTATGTACGTAAATAGAATGTGGATTTCCTGCGGCCAGCGTTACTTGACGCGCGCTCCCTGCGTTATAACGATTCGATAAACGTCTTATACCTTTATAATATGTAAGTACATTCTTCCTAAACAAACTGTTTCTGTGATATCGAATAACTAACAGTGATCGCCTTATTGCTTCGACTAATCGGGAAAGGTGAAAGGAGCATTTCAAACTGAGATCGCCATTGGAATGAATATGTATATGTATACATATAGACTTCCGTTAATGCCGTTAATAAATCGAATATGTCGATAATGTCGATATGTAGGTAATGGTTTCGATAAAATCAATCGATCCAACAATTTTCATCAACAAACCGGGAAAAGGCACAGTTTCTTGCGTTGTTATAAGCAATTCGAGTACAACAGTTTATTCGTTACTCGTCTAAACGAAAGTAGGTACCCATCATCAACATCAACAAATCTTGCGAGTGCCGACGTCCGTTGACGTGCACGCGAAACGAAGGGAACCGACGTGACGTAAAATACATTGTATCAGGATTCGTCGATACTTTCTTAAAAATAGAGACGTTCAGATCGGAAATCTACGGGAATCATGCGTAGAACCTCGCACCGGATCACTCTATAACGACTGAGTCTCCACGATGATATTGTCGAGAAGGGCAAAGGTTAATTTCCTTGAGAATGATAAGTGAAACTACGGGGGCGCGTAAATCGAAGAAACTGTAAGAAATACACGAAAGCAATTACAGAAACAAACAAGAACTTATTAATCAAGTATGTACTGTATTAAAATATTGTCCAATGAAGTGCGCAAATAATGAACATAATGAAATAATGGCTACCTTGGCGAAAGAAAAGGCACGAAAGACATTGTTTACAACTATCCTCAACAACGAATACGACATCGAAAAGCGATTATGTGCACACCTAACCCAATAGGCCAGTACCAATTAATAACACCGAAACCGATCGTGTCCTCTTCCAAGCACGTTCACGGTCGCTATTATTAGGTATGCCTAGGTACTTACACGATTTTCATGCTGCAATCACAGTTACAAATGCACATTTGATCCTTTATTTGCTTCGAATTCACATACCTATATTGTGACAATCCATTCCAAGATAATGGGACGAGTACCTGTCCATTCTCCGTTCAATATTGCCAACAGGGTATTCAAAAACTAGTCAACGTGCTCCAGCATATTTTCAAGAACACGATCGTCGAATCGGTAAACGATTAAACAGACAGAAAAGTCCACGCAACATCATCGAAAAACGAGCAGAGTCGTGTCGACGAGGTTCTGGATTCGGACAACGCAAAACTTTGATTCCGGCCAAGCACAGGCCAGTGCAGAAATGCAAATGAAACAAGTCGTGAAGAAAGAGGAGAGACCAATCGAAGAAACAGTAGTCGGAAGGTCGCGAAATAGTGTCATTTACCCTCGAAAACCGATGTTTTCGGGCGATCCCGAGGGTAGTGTGCTCACCTCGATAAAACTTGAGTTCACCGGTGGAGAGGGTGACGAGTACGCAGCAGGGTAACAGCAGCCATGTGCAGGTGCAGAGAGACGGTGTCATCATCACCGTTACAACTGGCAGGGGTTGGCCAGGTGTGGTATCCACAGGTTTTTATCGTTGTCCCGTCCGTCGTGGTTCCATATGTAAGCACGTCATTTCATTGAGGGCAGACAGGGAGCTTGCGCGGTCAATTCTTGCTCTTGCTCTTGCTCTTGCTCTTGCTCTTGCTCTTGCTCTTGCTCTTGCTCTTGCTCTTGCTCTTGCCCTTCCTCGTCGATTCGTTTCTGCAGACCCTCGAGGAGAAACTGTACACATGGAATTGTTCAAATAGGACCCTTTCCTTGGTAGCTGGAGGACGCCCTGGTTGTTGACGCGCTTGCTTTCATTCGTGGAGATTCCTTCCAGAGAAGGATCTAACCCAGACCTGTTAAAAGCTCGCCGAATGGACGGACGCCTTAATGGTCACTACGGTTGGTTCAGACAAACGATCGTTATGGAAACCTTGTCATTGGTTATACATGTTGCACAGGTGCATGGAAATTATTAGATTTAAGCTGCAAAAAGCTAGCAAATTGCGGAAAGATTATATTGAGTCTAAAAATTTGCAATCCATTATACATACGTACATAGGATAGGAACTACTACTATTTTCTTAATGCTGTTAGTACTATTCTTTAAATATTCAATTATCATTCTTCTGTCATGTAAAGTCAACTTCAAAAACGGAATAACTTGCGGAATGATCTGTAGGTATATGTACATATGTATAATAGACTCTGTCCGATACTACTGTGGTTATGCGACTTCCGGTAAACAATGATTGTGAGCTAATGTGACTAATTCTATCAAGTTTTACACTGTGCTCAAATTCGGGGTGTCCTAAAGTTGATGGTGATTTAAACTCTTGACCAGTTACAAAACTGATCAAACTGTCGACCTAGATCTTTCTGTTCTTTAAATATTTTCATTTATCGAGCAATTAAAGCTCATTCGGTATTTCATACAATTTGGAGGACATGTCTGCCCAGTACATGCTTTTCCTTACTTTACTTTCAACGTATACATTCCTATACATATGTACATACATATATGTAGTTTCTCTTTAAAACACTAATTCTAACATACAATTCAAGCTCGCGATTACAACTCACAATTCCAGTTGCAGAAAAAAAACAACAAATTGCTCAACAAAACACTTTAAACAATAGCTGAAATCCATGCTTCGTACACCTTGAAAAATTTAACTTGACGTTCGATTAAAAATTTACAATAGAAATATGTAAGCCTCTTTTCTGCTACTGGCATATATCAGCCACTTCAGGGATCAAATATATTTTGTAGTTGGAACGATGGGTAAAATAACATCACCTTAATACGCTTATCCGCTTACGTTAGAGCACTAAAGCGAAAAACGCGGTGATAAACTGTTAAATGGCCGACCCGCGACATTCCTCGAAAGGTTGTCGAATCGACCGAACCAGTAATATTCAATTACCCGTACACCTTCTTATATGTATAATACAATCCATTTGTACACGTAAAATTTCTCCAAAATTGTGTAAAATAGGTAAGAAAATTGTAAACACCGACAAGGACCGAATTTACGTGTTGCAATAAATACATATTTTTAGTCGAGTAGACTGCTCGACGTTATAATAATTTTAACAAGATTGTTATTGCAATCTAATCATAGCATAAGTCATAAGTCGTCGAAAGGCACTATACTCACCACTCACTACTCGGATATTTCTTTAGCAGCGTTCAACGCACCGTCAATCACGACTGTTGAAAGAGTATTAACAAGTCCGACAGGGATTAAACACGGTACGCTCACCATTACCTCTATTTATGTATTTGATTTAACGATGGAAGTCGACTACTGTGTCTGATAGAAACAGTCAGTTCATTTTTTGATACCTTTCTCACAAAACGAATAATATATACATATACATATACATACTATATATACTATGTTGAAAATTACTTATCTTGATATTGGGAAAAGGACAGTAGAATGAAGACGAGAAGGAAAATCTAAGAACAGTATCAGTTGTGTCTACATGCGCCATACGTACAAAATATCCGTCTACATATGCAAATAATCCGTTCACCGTAACTAACGCAATAAGTCGCATAACCCATGTTCTCTGAATGTTAAGAGTTCTGACATTTCAAGTATCTGTTGCAATAGCTTGTTGATATATTGCACGTTCCATTAACGTCAACCATCTTATTGTTAGAAAACTTTTCAAGTTCCTCCAGCTCAGTTGGTCCCATCTAAATAAGTTATGAAAACTAAGTGTAACAAGTAAATAATCTTTTCTGTCGTACATCTTTATTTCAATCGTAAAAGATAAAACGAACGAATGCGTTCAGTGCAATAGTCAGATATGTCTATGTACACATTCTGTGTCACAGATGAGACACAAGTTCATTTAACAATATTATTGTTTCAACAATTCGTATAGTAGGTATATCATTTGAAACTAATTATTTTTAAAAATACAATACAACTTGCGTATGTTACTCGTTCTGATTGTGAGAATTACATAGCTTTACATTAACGTGTGCAGTTTATCATTTCATTACTCCTAGTAAGTAAAATTATTGTACATAGATGATGTGTCTGATAGATGAATGTCTAGACTCATCGATAGTAATTAAAAGGGAATATTTTATAAACAAGAACGTTGATAAAAAAATTGTATCTTTTAAATTATCCGCGAGAATGTGAAACGAGCGCCATCTAAATTCAACGACGTTTGTTAACTGAATTCCACGCTAAATGGTACAGTTGCGCCATCTTCTAATACGAGTGTAATACTACGTGGCTCGTAACCTGAGAATAATGCCGTAGATCCCACTGTAGACTTTTGTGTTTCCATTGAATTAAACTGAATTGAGTGCGTAGACGCGCGGTCTTATGGTAGGGATGAAATCTGATCGAGATGGAGGGGCGAAAGCGCCTGGAGTGGCTTGGAGGGCAATGACGAGAAGGAATACACACGCATCTACATATTTAGGATGTATTGGATGTACGCTCATCATAGCCGTGAAGAATCCCCCACCAACAGCCCCATTAGAAAGAGAAGTAGCTGCTCCAGTTATTGCCCTCTCCTTCTCTTATGTCGACTTCAGCCCTACCATAATGTCTATGCATATTGTATATTGTATACTGTATACTGTATACTGTATACCATTTACCATTGAATATCGCAGTATAAGAAAAAGCTCCCGTTTCGTCGTACTGAGACTGACTGAGACTCTCGAGTTGCCGGAGTGGAGTAAGTAACTAATTATTCCCTAATCTTCGGTATACGTACATTTTTACAAATGCACATATATGTGATGTAAATACGGTTACAAATAGTCCAAAATAGTCGCTCGGATACGTTGCATATTATACGACGGATTTTATAGAAATGCAAATGCTTCGAGAAAAACAACTCGACTAGGCTGTGCATCATCACCAGTCAAATCACTCTACTAATCGAAATCGAACCCCTTAGTTATGACACAGTACTATTAGCAGCAACTCCATCGACACTATTGACAGGTATCGAAAGATGGCAGGCACGGTCAACGGTAATTTGCTTTTCGCGCCATCAGTATGTGTCTAACCTGTTCGGAGTGCACATAGTTCCGTGATCTTTTCCGAGGGGAAAAGATTTTTCTTCAATTCAGGGATATTCGATTCGTTTTCGGTAACGCTTCACTTAGTTTATCTTGTTTTCGAAAAATGGAAGAAGTAACGAAATGTAGATACATTGATTGTCTCGACGGCCGAGAGAAAGAGCAAATACTTCACGAACTTCCCGTTTGCGATACTAGTCTCTGCGTGAGATGGTTGATCAACAGTGGTCACGTGGACCTGATTGGAAAAGATCTGGACGCTTTACGGTCCATGAAATTTTTTGTGTGTAACAATCACTTCACGGAAGATTGTTACCTCAGTAAAGGTACGTTGAAAGAAAATGCGGTTCCTTCGCCTCACTGGAACGACGTTTCAAGAACATTAAAAACTCCAAAAGGGCAACGGGTATGTAGCTTTTGTTTCTCTCTCTCTCTCTCTCTCTCTCTCTCTCTCCTTTGTTATGTTTACACATGATGGATGCACAAGGCACCAGTCTAGTATTTACCTTGACTAAAACACATTGACAACACTGAAATCTTACAGTTGTTATTTACAACGGCTTTCGGCGTAAGCCATATCCTTCCTTTTTCATAAACTATCCTAACATCTCTCCAGCATATATGAATGCAGTTCCGTAAGGAGACCATTGATGCACCAATAATTATCCCAGAAGAATACAGTCGAAAGCCTCAACATTAACAACTGTATGATAATGATAGTGGGGTGGCGGGACAGTGAAATCATCGAATCAGAGAAACTGTACCGGCGATTGTGCAATGTAAAATACACGAAATGCTGCATATGCCTCGTAAAATGATTTCGCGCAAATTATTATCTTTTTATTCCCGACAAATAAATTGATTTGCAATGTTTGCACAATATCATGATTATAAAAGTTATTACTTCACTTGATTTCAGCTAAATTAAAAAAACGTATTAGTATTTTAAAATAAGCTAAAGAAAACTAATAAATCAAAATCAAAGAAAAACTTTTTTGTATGATAATTCTCATCACAAGAGCCCATATGTATGGGAACTTTGCAATATGTGCACACTATATACAAAAATACTAACGCTGCGTTTTTTGTGAGCATTTCACACACGCACACACACACACACACAACAACATGGCCTTCGTACACTTTTATTAAATTTCCAACTAACAATTTTTCGTACAGTATGCATTTTAAAATTTTTGAATTTCAGTGCATACCATTAAGTGTTGCATTTGTAATTCTACATTACCGTACATATGTATGTATGTATGTGTATACATAGTGTTTGATTCTGTAAGAAAAAACCCGCACACTAACGCGTGATCGGATGTTTAAGTGTTGAATCGTATCTGTTGCGTCTTTATCAAACTGCATTGTTTAGCAGCATCATTGTACCGTTTGACTGCTTTAATTTTAGAAAATTCAAGTGAACGGACAAGAGAATTTGATGGAAGAAGTAGAGGCAAACCAACTTTCGGAAAAAAATTGCCCTTCCGAGTTTGAAGTGAATCAGTGGTGTAGAACGTGTGCTACAAAGAAGCATAATCTCGTAAGTATGACAACCAAGGGGAAAGGCACAGAGATGACTCTTCTATCGAAACTAAAACTTTTGATAGAAATTGACGACGAGGATGCGTTACCGACAAAGATGTGCGATGAGTGCGTCGATAAGTTGGAGCAGTCGTTCAAGTTTTTTCAACAGATTTACGTAGCTGATAATACATTACGTCATGTATTTCCAAATGCACGTGTAAACAACGTATCCAGAAAACCTTTGTATTCGCTTGGCGAGCATATGAAAAAGGAACAACAGGAAAAGGAGAAGGAGAAGGAGAAGGAAAAGGAAAAGGAAAAGGAAAAGGAAATGGAAATGGAAATGGAAATAGAGAAAGAGAAAGAGAAAGCTTACGAGTTAGCGGACCGTACTCCTAAAGTGACTCGTGGTCTTTTCCGGCGTGGTCGAGGTAGGCCTCGTACTCGAGGATACGCAGGGAGAGCACGAGCGAGACAGAGGTCGAGTCAGATCGCAGCGTCGTATCCGCGTGCCACTAACTGGGTTGATAACGTTGTCGTAAGTTCGACTTGTGATTCCGGTATCGGCGAATCAGTGGCGCGAAAACGCCAGTACAGAAATGAGATGTCAACGGTTCGCTTAGAAGAAACTCAAGGAAGAACAGTGTTTTCATTGCTCACGGATACTTGTCGTAGCGACGAGGAACTCGATTGGGCCGATGTTTTAAAAGTAATGAATCATCAAGAGTCGCGACAAGGCTTGGAATCAGTTGGCGACCAACTGATTAAAATAGAGACCACCGAAACCACCGGTGTTGAGGTAAACACAACGGAAACGAAGCTCGAGGAGATACGGCCTACGCATGTAACAGGGTCAAAGTCTGAAACGCAGCTGCCAGTGACACCAAAATATGTAATCGGGGAGTCGAAGGTTGAGCCAAGAAACGAAGGTACAGAAAAAACGGAGATACAGAAGGTTGAAGAAACGACACGCGAATCTGATAGGAAAATTACACGTTGCGAATTTTGTAACGACACATTCAAGTTGAAGCGAGAGTTGCAGATACATTTGGCGAACAATCACTCGAAACTATCCGGATATATGTGCACTGACTGTCTGGCCTGTTACGAGAGCGAATCGTTACTCTTGAAGCATCGCGCCTTACGTCACGGACAGAGACGATATCGTTGCGAGCATTGCGATCGGGAATTTCTTGAGAAACGTGTTCTGAGGGAGCACATAAACGGGTGTCAGTCGTCCCAACAGCATCTCCACTATTCCTGCGATTCATGCGGAGTGGCGTTCACTTCGAAGCAAGATCTTGTAAAACATGTGACCAGTCATGCCAAAGGTCCGATTACTTCGCGTCAGTTTGATCCGAGAGACTCGAAAGAAACCATGAACGAGTCCGTTTCATCCTCGAAACAGTTTGAAATTGACGAAAACCAAGAGGGTTCCGAGACGAATACATCTTCCAACACTACCACCGTACTTACATCACAGCCTGAGCCCAGTGATGAGACAGCCAGAAACTTAAATAGCATGTCCGTGATTAATGCCGAGGAGCGTACACAGGACGACAGAGAACGCACAAAGTGTCCGAACTGTAACGAAAAGGTAGATGATCCGGTAGAACTGAGTGCTCATCGAAAGCACTGTCACCCGATCAAGAGAAAGGAGGCAACCTGTTTACTTTGCGACAACAAGTCTTTCCCTTCGCCAGAAGACTATGAACGACACGTACTCAATCATTGTAAACGATCGAAGGTGTCATCACCGTCATAGAACTGCATCGTGGAGATAATAATATGATTTATTTCGACATGCAATGCAATTCGCTTCTATAGCGACAGAGCGGAATTGAATATAGATACAAAAATTAATCAGATAAATGCAACGTGTGCGCGTACACTCGATACACTCTGTTGGGCCGATTCGATTTTTTTTTTTTTTTTTTCAAAACCTATTATATGTACAAAATAAGCAATAAATTATCCTCCGTCTCATTGAAATTGATGAATTAGCATATTTATTGTATCGTACAGTAGTATGTTTTCTAACAAACTGCACCGATGACATGGAAATATTTACGATCATGAAGGAATTAAGTAACGTTTCTTATTAAGGTGGTGAAAAAGAAGTAGCAGCGCGTAATATGAATCGGTAGAAACGATTTTTACACGAAACACAGTTGGACCGGTCACAATTGTTTCTCGCGGTTCAACGTACACATGCATGCATGCATGCATACATACTAAATACTACTATGTATGCATGACAAACCAAATGGATATTTCTGAACGCAGTGACGGTACAAGTTGTAACTAGCGGTTTATTTACATTCGGCCAGATTCATCGGTGAAAAACTTGTAAATCTGCCGTTAATAAATACAGCGTGCATTGTTGAAATAATGCGATAACTTCACGAATAAAAACTACTATTTCGATCCTCATGTGATTTCGAGCGACGCGCGCGGCGGTCAATAAACGCGACCATTCGAGAGGAAGGAATTGTCGCGCCGACTGGTATCTGAAACGAAAAAAACGAAAAAAGATAAATACATACGTAAACACAGTAGCAAGTTGGTGCGAAGCGAAATACACGTATATACATATATCTACATACTATACATATGCATGGATATCGAACCAAAGGAAAACAACGTTATACATAGTATCGTAAACGCAGTTTACCTGAAACCAAGGTGATGACAAGGAAACTCGAGCGGTCGATCTCTCCTCTCCGCACAAAGATAACAATCCTCTGAGAAGATCCTTCGCTTCGCTCGATATCTCTTCGAAGTATTCTTCGGGGAAACAAAAATCGCATTTCAATATGTTCGTGGTAGTCTCTTCGATGGAGTCGTCCAAAAAGGGTGAAAGACCGCTAAATATAGGAAAAGAAAGAAATAACGTTCTTCAATTATCGACCGTGGAACACGTTTAGAGGGGAAAAAAGGGGGATCGCCGCTGTACCTTAAGAGCACGTAAAGAAAGACTCCAGTAGCCCACATGTCCGTGTAAGGTCCTCTTGGTTTACCAAGGACAGATTCAGGAGCCGCAAATTCTAAATCGGCGGGAGGAACTACTTGGTCTAATGGCGTTGTTCTAACAGTTTCGCCGAAATCTATCAATTTTACAAGATCGGTGTCCCGATCAATCAAAACGTTCTCCGGCTTTAGATCTAAGTGAGCTCGTTTCCGGGAATGCAGCCAGCGCAATGCGGACAACAACTGACCAGTATACTTTGAAACGATCCCCTCCGTGTATTCGATCTTTTCACCGAGGAATCCAAACAATGTGGAGCCGTTAACTCTACAAATGTGTACAGAGCACGTTATCGGATCGGTTTGCGAAGCTACCGACATAAGGACAAACCTTTGAATGTAAAAGAAAAACGTTGAGAAATTGTACTCACAGTTCCAAAACTATAGTATCGATGTTCGGCTGGGGCGTCTCCTCGAACAAACCGAATGCTCGAACGATGTTGTCGTGACAAGCTATTCGAAGTAAATCGTATTCGGCGCGTGTTAATGATTGCGATTGTTTCAGTCGGGATATTTGCTTGAGTGCCACTTCCTGGCCTGTTTCTTGGTCCCTCGCTCGATAAACTTTTGCGAACCTACCGTTTCCTAATTCTTTTAAATCTACGTTCATCTCGACAAACCATGCTGCTGTTGTCGTCGTCGTCGTCGTCGTCGTCGTCGTCGTCGTCGTTGTCATCGTTATCGTCATCGTCTTTGCCTTCTCTCGACTTACGATTTCTGCATCTTTCACAGATGTATCTTTGTTGAGACAGTAGAGCGTGGAGCTAACATCGACAGTCACCGATTCATTCGATTGACAGGAGACGGCGGTGTTTTCATTCGCGTCGTTCCAGATGTTTGAACCAATACCTGCAAGATTGATACATCTTTGTTTTACAAAATGCACATGAACCGTGCAAATTTTGTAGATACATGTAGCGCGTATAGCACACAACGAACTACGAACAACGTACCCACAACACGAAGAGGAATCTTCGCCGAACAAGAACCTGTTTCGTGCTCGACGTGGCAATGATAAATGCCGGAATCGGAAGGCAGGCAAGGAACAATTTCAAGAGAAAGGGAATCGGCCGTTTGGTAAAATCGATATCGATCGTTTCTCTCGATGTTATATCCTTGTCCCTCTTTTTTCCAAGAGACGATCGCTCGTTCCACGTGGCGCACTTCCAGTACAAGTCGCGCCACACCACCGGCCGTCGCCCTGATCGAACATGGAATAGTCAAGATCGTGGGAGGACCGTTCTCTTCCGCGTGTACTTCTCGCGGAAGATGGACGTTCTCTCCCACGGAATCGATTCTCCGCGGGCGAAAAGACCATGTACGGCTGATCGATGAATTTGGAACAAGACTCGCCGGAATCCAAAACTCTTCTTTCTTTCCAAATACCGGAGAGACGATCAAGCCTGGACCGTCCAATCGAGAAATCTTCAGTACTTCTCCGGCATGTAATTTTCCCCAATCCGCGGTCAATCTTACTCTGCTACCTGGAACGATCTGTGGAATCTCCCTATTAACATTGCGAACCGTGTCCTTCCTTCTGGCCTCATGCACTGGCTCGCTCTCGATACACATCTTTTTACGCGCATCCGAAAGACGGTCAACTCACCGAAATCTTCCCCGCTCGAGTCCAGTTTCGACTCCCGAAGCTTCTTTTACACGATATCCATACATTGCACGCGCTAACGGCAATTACTAACGCAACTACGTATAGTAATGATTGCGATTCAATGTCTGATACAGAAGGGAAGGTATAAAGCAACAAAGTGTGTGAGTATGGGAGAAAGAGAGCAAACGAACGAACGAACGACCGACCGACCGACCGACCGACCGACCGACCGACCGACCGTGCGAGAGAGAGAGTGAGAGAGAGAGAAATTAGTATGTAGCAACATTGATGGAGAGCAGTAGTGTCAATAGCGAAACCTTTACCCTTAAAAGACAGTTTGGCGTTACGAAACTAGTAATATCGGAATGTTCTTGACAATGGAATAATAACGATAGCTCTGAAGGCGACGGCGGTGGTAGCGGCGAGAACATTGAAAATATTAACGTTGACGATAACAACGACGTCGATGACGATGATAACGACGACGATGGCGGCGACGAAGACGATGAAGACGATGAAAACGATGAAGACGACGAAGACGACGAAGACGACAATAGAAACAACGACGTTGACGATGGAAATGACGGTATATAATACACACAATGCGACATACGACATCCGCAGAGTCGAAAAATACAGGTAAAAGTACGATTACATTGACTTCACGAATAGGATCAATAAGGTCTCTATATGTATATGTACGTCGATTCGTACGTAATTTCGCGTTTTCTGACAAAAAGATACAAACTTGGTCGGTAAAGAAGCATGTCGTGTCGTGTCGCGTCATCTCTCTATTCGTTCAATGATAAAAATAGGAAAACTTATCGCTGCACCAACCAAAAGTTATACGAAAGAGAGGGAATAGCAGCAGGCATCAAGAGGCAGAGAAAGAAGAATCCTTTTGCTGCAATTGCAAGAGTTCGAATTACGAATAGGCAAACAGATTAGTAGATATAAACATGTCAAGTAATCTATGTAATGTTGTTGCTCACCGGGACAGAGTTGTTGCGAACAGGTGATCGAGGTCGCAGCGTGCTTCGAAATCCTTCGAGAAAATTCAATCTACTTTTGGTAGGGCTTGGTGTCCGTGAAAAGTCTTGATTCAAAGCTCCGGTGCGAGATCGTTGCAAAAGCGACGTTGTCGTTGTTGCCGCTGTTGCTGTTGCTGCCGTTGTCATTATCGTCGCTGTTAACGTTTTTGCACCGACAGAGATAGCAGAGATTTCGGTCTTCCCTTCCTCGCTCGTGTTAGATACATTTGTTGATACCGTCGATGAAACCGTTGAAAAAACGCTTCCCCGACACGGAGATTCTGGGCTCACACCACGACTGCACGCCAGCAAATTATAAATGAAATTCAAACACGGTACTGCATCTATGGAAACGTGTGTTGTCTTCCTTGCATCGAGTATCTTATTTCTGGCTCGAATCAACGCTCGAAAAATCGTACTTTGAATTTAAAATATATTTTCTCGTTTCGTCCGTAGTCGGTCCGTCGACATGTAAGTATATGTATTTGTACGTATGTATTTTCAGACACTACACCAGGTTTAACGTTCCATAAGATTCAACAAAATTTCGAGAAAAATACTCCAATTTCTTGTTCGTCTTTAATTGTAAAAACACGTATCGTTTATATGTACATACATACATACATACATACATACATACATGCATAATGTGTATTACGGCTTCATCAACGAACTGGAACAGCTTTCTTCAAACATGCATAAGAATTTTCGTTTATTCGAATGAACGACATGGGTTTTTTCAAGTACCTAAGTAATAACAGTAGTATAAAATATCAGTTGATGCCGTTTGAGTTTTCTCCAACGAACGCAGCAATTTACATTAAAAACTATCATTTGTCGCTACCCGCCCATTCGTTTATTGCAATTGACATTAATTTTAAAATGGGATATTTACTTAAAATTAATGGTAGTGGATTCCAATGCTACTGATGCCGTTCAAGACCTTTAACGGAGCATCGGCTCTAATCTCGGAAAAAACCAACTGCAAAATCTTAACAAAGGGATTGAAATAGCAAAGAAGGTCGAGGAGAGGAAAGACAGTGGCAGATCTGTTTGCTGCTAAAGTGAAAAGGATATTACTACAGTGTCGGCATAACTGATTGACAGTATAATAATGTAACTTTTCAATTATAATATGCCATTCGAATAATAATTCTTAAAATTTTGACCGCGGTTTACATGGAAATTCTCTCGGATTCTAATACGCTTCAACGCCATATATCGGCTATGGAAGAATTTAATTGTATAAGATCTATCTGTGTAGTTTTGTGAGATGTTTTTGTTAACTTGTTAGCAAAACACAAACCCTTTCACTGACAGATGATAAGTATATTCATAATTTATAAGTAATAGCTATTCTTATATTTGGTATTTTCATTTCACATCTACGCAAACAGAGATCATTCACATCATCCATATACCATGTGTATGTGTGCGTGTGTGCGTATGTATGTATGTATGTATGTATGTATGTATGTATGTATGTATGTATGTATGTATGTACATATGTACAAGAGAATGCGACTCCCGATGAGATTGTCGTTTTCAGAAAATCATAACTTCTGTAAAAAATGCAAATATATTTTTATACTCTGAAAATAATGTATATATCTGGACTCGAGAACCAGAGTGTATTAAATCACAATTTTCAAACTTCAGAGGTAAGAGAGCAAGTCAAAGGTGCGAAAGCCTTGTAACTTTTTGGAACCGTTCGGTAAGAATTGAGCGAGAAACAATCGCTACCTTCCAACTATTGAATAGATTTAATAATTGTAAGACAAGTCTGTATGTAGGAATGATGAACATTGCATTAAGTGCGCCTATGTGATAGACTTTACACTGTTTGGCTCGAAACGAAATAAGAAGTCAATATCATTTTTAGACTATTGTATTAAAAACTAGACGACTTGGATGAAAATAAATTTTACCGCCTTAAAGAGGGAAATATTTGATACTAGAAACATGTAAAATGTCATTTTTGAAAATAGTGGACTTAATACACTTTGGCTCTGGGCTCCAGACATTTATATATTGGAAGGTGATATTTTCTTGAAAATCTAGATACATTGCAAGACATTTTAAAAAAAATTGCGCCATCACCGTCGTGTAACCCTTTAATGGTAAAATGGTAAGTCGTTTCCTATGGTCGTCGATTTTGTTGATGTCTAGCAACCGTTTAGACGCGACAAACCAACGACACAACGTAAATCACCCAAGGCCAATGTACATACGTATACTCTACCTACCCAGTATGTGGTTAGTTTATTGCAAAAATACTTATGCTGTCGAGCACATTCGGAACAATTTGTGGTTCGTCTGAACGTAAATGTCTGACGACGCAGTACCGTGTCTCGGCAAATAATAATAGAAACAAGCTGTTAGTCGAACGAACGGTTAAAAAGAGTAAATAGGTACGTTAGATGGTGTGGGAGAAGGACGCATCACAATCAGAAAATGTTGATCAATGTACAATTTATTCTAAACAAAATGTTTACGTTTCGCGAATCGGTAGTTTTAATTTATGTTTTCTTTTATGGATGCACATCTATGTACAGCATACTATCCCCAGCTCTTTCCACCTTGTATTATATAAACATTATTAAAAGTATTATACACTTGCAACGTTACGTCGTTAATGGGTAATGTATGTTTAGTGTGGGGTGGGTTCACAACTCGAATATCATACATGTATGTACCAGGTGTCGTGTATACATATACCTCGGCTTTCCTTAATGTCGCATATACGAGCAATTTAATTTTGTCGTATACGTACGTACAATACATACAAAGTCATTATGATTTCCTTCTACTCTTAACATGGATTTCCATAAATGAAGACAATCGCAAACAGAGAAGTAGCAGCTTTAGCAAAAATATGAATTTTGACGTCGCGTTCGTTGTACTCGGATACTAAAGTTTATGTGAAATAAGAAAAATAAAACAAATTTGAAAGAGGACATTTTATTGCCCCACCCCTCACCGACACGCGGTCTCACGTGGAAATACATACACAACAGCCACACACACACACACACACGCACACACAGAGATTGCATTCATACACTCTCACGCACGCATAGAGGTACATGCAGACACACGACACAAATACATAACGCATATCACTGACATGCAACAGACACACTTTTCTATTTTCCTCTTTTCCTCTTTTCCTCTGAACAGGACATAAAGGAATAGTGAAGAAGAGGTTTTAATTGGTGCGAGTGGATATACATTTTTATACCTACCCCCACCTGTACAGGTCTTTAAACACATAGTCGAGGAATTATCAGAGTTCATTTGATACGCATCGAATTGGATCTTATCGCATGACATCGCATCACATAGCATCACATAGCATCGTACCGCACCGTAGTGTAGCTTACCGTATAGTACCGTATCGTATCGTCTTGTATGGTATCGTATCGTATCGTATCGTATCGTATCGTATCGTATCGTATCGTATCGTATCGTATCGTATCGTATCGTACGATATGGTAACTAAACATATTACATCGCATCGCATATCATTGTGTTTTGGTGAACCGTAGCAAACCCGGTTGTAGGAACATCTAGAAAACTATTCGCAAAGGAGGTAGGTAAACAGGTAGTCATGGAGTATACAGCGAAAGACGCTCTCGTGATGAAGCCACTCCACAGCAATAGCGAGGTAGAGATTCTCAGACTGCGATGTTAAGGCAAACAAGAGGAAGCACTTTGCGCAATACGGTGGAGAGTAATGTAAGTACGTGTAATATGTGAGTAGACAGTAAACTGTGATTAGATAAGAACGAAACGAAAGGGGAAAACAGAGAAACGAACGGGCTATGGTTCAGGAGACGACTACGGTTCTCTAGCGTACAGCGCTTCTGCATCTCTTTTTATATAAAATATACAAAAATATGTCGGAACGAATCTTCATAGGTCGAGCGTTGAAAGAGAGTCAATGCAATGTTGTGTGAGTTAGATAGAGAGGCGCTTACAGTGGATCTTTGGTAAGTTCCTTTTGGTAGGCAATCGGCGACTGTATCGCCTTGAGAAAGTCACGTTGGGTCTGCAGGATGGCAGTGATCGTGTCTACCCATTCCTGCTTCCGTGGCCCATTATCTTCGAAGGCGCTACAGAAGAAACCGAGGCCAGGCTTTCGAGGGTCTGTCGATCGAATTACAAATCTTTCCGGATCGTCGTAGCACTCTTCGAGACTCATTTTATTAACCTACGCGAAACAAAACAATTTATTTCGCGTCACAAATTACCCGTTTCTTTTTATGTAAAACATTCATTGTAACAATTTTGTCCCTCCCTTTTGATTCTTGTAATCGGCATTATTTGCGACAGTGCTTATTCAAAATGGCATAAGGAAAACTAACATTCACGGGATATCTCGAAACATTTGAACGTTATTGGGTGAAAAGTTTTATACCTGGATGTGAGCTTTGTAAATGTAGGCTGGATTTGTAAACTGAGTTTTTTTCCCAACAGCCTCGCTGAAAATGATATTTTGCTCGAAGAGAAACACCTGCCACTCTCTTCCTCTATTCGAGAGATTCGACAATTCTGATACGAGCAGCGGATTCCCTAAACAAAACACCAAGATAAGTGGAAATTGATAAAATCCGATTTTCCGTATATATAGTGAAAAGAAATTCATTTTCTCGGTTTTCACGCGTAAAAGATAAAAGATAAAAGATGAAAGATCACTTACGTCGAAACCTTGCAGTCTTCCGACATCCATCATGTCATTGGCTGCCTTCGGAATAACGCGCATTACATGAACCGCGGCTCTAAGACCTTCGATTTCCGAAGTTCTCCGAGTCCGTTCAGTAAGCCTTAACGCTTCTCTGAGAAGGAGTTGATATTTTGTGATCCTTTGAACTGGTTTTATCAGGAGATCACACAGTTGTAATCGATGCCCAAGCTTCTGTCTCAGATCCTGCACCGAACGAATTGCACGGCTCATTGCAATCAAGAAAGAAAACTTGAAAGAGCATAATAAAATTCAGAGCCATACCTCGAAGTAAGTGTCTATGTATTCGGAAACAATGTACTCGGAAACAGGTTTGTTTTGACAATAAACAACATACATGTGTAACTTCCTTTCGGATCTTTTGAATAGCGGGCCTAGTTCTTCCGGTCGTTCCAGACAACGTTCCAAAGCCTTCAAGAAGAAACTATTCACGCGCATCGGTAAAACATCGAATTAAGTGCGGAAGGATTAACAACTGGTTCTAGTTAGTATGAAATATCTATATTTCCAAAGAAAACTTACTCTCTGTGCCATTCGTAGATTGCCCCTATGTTGCCGAACACCATCTTGTCCTTTCCACCACGCAAATCTTCTGGCAGAGGAATTTCACATTCAGGATCTCGCATCAACGACACATAACCCTCGACTATTTGTCCAAGATCATTCACGTAGTCTTTTTCCGTGTCCACTAACTCTCGTATCACAAACTGCCGCTTTGCCAAAATCGTACTCTCAGCTTCGGATTCCTCTGTGGATATATGAGCCGGACTGCTTGTTGTCACTGTCGTCGTCGTCGACAATGTCATCGTTGTCGTGGTAGTACTCTGCGTCAACGGCAGGGAAGAGCCTTCGTTATAGACTTCTTCGTTACCTGTAGCGACGCTCGAACTTTTACCACTGGGTGTTCGTAGAAGGCTCTGCCTCTCTTGGTTCTCCGTATGCTGTTCCTATTGTCATGATCAATATACATCATCGATCTGCATCACACACATATTTATATCCGATTCCATTGAATCTGACTGAAAAAACCTACCATTCTCTCTTTTACGATCTGTTCTATTTCTGCTAAATCAACTGACGTAGCCCCGTCAAGAATTTTTGTCGACCTCTCGGATGTCTGTAGGGATGCAAATAAGTTAATTTATTCGTAAGATATTTTTCTATATGTTGTTTAGTATACATACACATATTATGTATACAGTTATATATTATATGATATATGTGTATGTACATACATATGTATGTATATCGTTACATAGTGTATTATTATAAACCCTATCTAATTTAGATCCGATCGTAGTAAACATTGTACACAATTTATTGATTCGAAGGGATCGGTTAAAATGTTTTTAATCTTTCAAATGATTATCAATGAATGTTAATGTACAAGTAAGAGAAATGCTGCGTTCAGATAAGTTGCAATTACTTGTGATGGCGGGATAAAAACAGAAGTGTAAAAAAAGGAAAAACGGAATAAGAATAAATAAATAAATAAATAAATAAATAAATGCAGACAGAGAGGGAGGGACAGAGGCTGGAGGGAGAGAGAAAAAAAAGAGAGAGACGAACTTACTCGAGATTTTCCACAGCCCTCTGTTGGAATTGCAGATGTAGAGGAGCCGTTAGTGGTTCCTACGAGTATTGGCTCGGTAATGGGTTTCATAGGCGGCGGAAGTTCCAAATCATCCTCGACATCGTCCGCTCCGTTTTGTTCCGAATAAGTTAAAGTCTCGGTGTCATCGGGCTCCGGCGTATCCTCTTCCAGTTCGGAATTTTGTTCGATCTCTCCTTCTTCCTCTTCTTCGGCTTCGACTTCAACCTGATTATCTGTATCAAGATCCGCATCAGAGACCGAAGCGGTGACATGCATAGACGCTGCCGCGGATGCCAAAGTAGAAATGGATATGGGTGTGACGGATCTCGACGCTCGCGCTTGCTCGGCACTGCTTGGTAATTTGAATCGCTTTTCCGAAACGTTCTTCTTCAAGTTCGAACGATCGGCCGACGATGCAATCGAGACCGTAGTAGACGTGGTCGCCGGTGTGGCGTTCGTTGATTTCTCAACTTTACCTTGACTGAGTTTGCGTAACGGTGGGGGTAACCACTTTCTCCTATAGAAAAGAAATGGACAACATGGATAACGAGTTCTGTCTTCACATCTCTCTAAACATTTTCCAATAGTGAATTTCTATTCTCTTCATTTACTTACCCGCTGAAACCGCGTCTCTTGTTTCCAGGAGAGCTTGTGTTTGCGGCAACAATTCCATCGTTTGCAATATTTTCTGAAATAGATAAACGAAAACTTCTGGTTAGTTATGCGTGAACAAAGAGAACACGGCGCCCCAACGGATTCGAATTACACAGTGAATTAGAAATCATAATTCATAAATCGTTCGGTCGGTCGGTCGGAAACTTTTATCAGTGAACTGGCAAGGGTCTCCCGATAAAAATAAATAAAAGTCCAAGTGATCCAGCAATATCATGAATTGAAAAAAGAAACTGAGTCGTAACGAGATAACACACTAATCGAGATTGTATTATTAATTCGATTTCAGACAAAATATGTATGTCTGATCATAGACGTTTCTGAATTTTTCGCATCAAAGTCTAAAAATTACCAAGTGGACCAACGACATTTGTCAACGATTGGTCACACACGTTGTGTTTCTCGCAATATGCATACCCCGTCGTATAATATGATGGGAAGCAAAAATTATGTTTATCCTAATATAAACGTCATGCGTTTAAATACGTTCCTCTTTGAACTACATAATTTCATTTAACATTAAACAAGTCAACAGAATTAATCGTACGAATGGCATAAACTGCAATTTCAAAATCAAAATGAAAACTTTCATGGAAATCGCAAACACACGAAAATATTTCAATAGATAGGTAATGAACCATTAATGAAAAATACTTGGATTATGACAAATACACGTATGTAAACCATGATCTATTAGCACACCAATCGGAGAGTCAATCGGTCAAGGACGCGTAGTTACCCCAGTATACGTACGTCGTCGTATTGATCGAATACGGCTGCGTCGGAGCGCGCCTACCATAAACTTCCTTAAACATATAACCGTATTTTCATAACAATATTACAATGTACGTATCCAATGTTTACTGACCTAACGTTGCTTCCTCTACGCGCAGTAGTCATCCTCGTCAAAAACTATTTTTTCTCATGTTGTACCTTGTATCATAACCTATTCTATTCTACTTCATACTGCATTATGCTTCCTACTACCAGACTTCATATAATAACCCTAATCAATTTTATTCCATTTTCATTTGTACCTTACCCTATTCAGTACCCTTACTCCGCCTCACACATTTCCATCGAATGTATTACAACTTCTTAACGCTTCATCGTAATATACTGGTATACATATGTATAACATAAAGTATTGTATACTATATACCTACGTATCATATAATCTAATGTACCGATATACTTTCTTCGTCGGAACTTGCTCTCAACAGCAAATGTTTTCTACCTGTTTGTAATTTATAGAACAAAAACAAAACTCCTAGTCTTAGAAATCAAGTATAAAGTAAGTATTGATTTTTGGTAATGTTACTGACCTGCATCATCCGGTGGTGCGTTTGGAACCACATTTTGAATAGTTAATCCGGCCCCTGATACACCAGTCGTTACAACGGACGACGTTAATCCAATTCCAGTAGCACAGGATGACGACGCCGGTGTTGTGATCGAACCGGAACTGTTGTGACTCTGATTGCTAGATTGCTGATGATGCTGTTGATGATAATGTTGTTGTTGTTGTTGTTGTTGTTGTTGTTGTTGTGGCGGTGGTGTTTGTTGTCGTTGTTGTTGTTGTTGTTGTTGTTGTTGCTGCTGCTGCTGCTGCTGCTGCTGCTGCTGCTGCTGCTGCTGCTGCTGCTGCTGCTGCTGCTGGCTCGGAAGTTTTCTCGATGGCGAAGTCTTATTGGAAGCGGGCGGCGGCGGTTGTTTAAGCGCACTCGTAGGCACCAATCCCTCTGGCGGAGGATCAGCTTGTCCTGGCGCAACCAGCAAACGCACGTGGGTCCATTCAGCCGTATTCACACCGCTGATATTGCTTCCAGTTTCCAATACCTCAACTTGTTGACCTTTTGTCACTGTTAATTCTCTTGAGCCGGGTGCCGCCGAGTGATCCGCGATAACCCAAGTTACTTCAGCTGCGCCAGTCTAAAATAATTCCATGAAACGATAAACATTGCTTGTTACACCGGCTCAACTGGAACAGTTGAGCAATTCTCTTATAAATGATACCAAGGATCGGTAACTAGAATGCATAAACTTTCAACATTGTCAAGAATAATTTCGGCTTTCGATCGAAATCACGGTCACGATTGGATAAAATAACACGAACACGGATGAGGGGTAGCACAGAGGCAGACGGTGACTGGAGTCGAGATTGGAGTTGAACGAGTGGAAAGTAGAGAGGAGCAGGGAAGAACAGATTGACAGAATGTTGAAGCACCGATTATCTATGACTTTGCGGACCGATGGAGCGTTTAATAGATTACTGATGCTTCAGTGATTTCGATTTTATCGAAATAGCTTGCCTTTGGTATAACATACGTAGTACAGCGTATTTGTTCCAACCGTACGAGAGAGTAACGAGAAAAGAACGAATCGAAACACGCAAGCTGTAATATTCCTTCTTTCCCTTTCCTCCATGGCTTATCACGTTTCAATATTTACTACTGCCATTTTATCACTTAAAACAACCCATTGTAGATAATTCCTCGTTAGCTATCGATCTCGTTGAGAAACATTGTGCGAAATGAATGCAGCAACTGCCATGTGACAATTTCGTTACAGCGGCCACGTGAAAAAAAGCACTAAATGCTAGTAAGGTTCGTTTTTGCGAAGTATTTAAACAATTATTCGATGCGGTTCTGCGAATATTGTAGAAAGAACAAGCAAATATTAGAAGCTGGAAAGGAACGTTTACGGGTGACAAGGAACCACCCATGATGGCGATACTTGTAGATACGCCACGATGAACGGCCGAGAAGTCAAAACAGTTAGAAGAGCTGTTTGCTCTCCCGTCGCATTCCACCGACGAAAATAGACTTTTTCCACGTGCCAAATTTTGCGGATTCTCCTCGAATCTTCCGTTGTGCTCCCATTTACGTCTTTTATTTATCTAGCAGCATGGAACGCCGACGGTCGTATCAACAATAAATTAGCACTAATTCGCGTACACGATTCCGTTTTTGCAATGTCTTTTGGTTTGCGAAGTAGACGCCGCGATTTACCAGTGTATAATTCAATTTTACATCCAATTTCGATTGCAGATTTAAATTGATTCGCCGAATTTCAAAGGAAAATGAAAAGGGAATAAAGAAGCGTTTTACGATAAGGTTTAAACGTGTAAATGAAGAAAGGTGCAACGGAACAACGAAGAACGGGTGCGGATTTCATTGAATCACAAGTCTTATTAACCTTAAAGGTAAAGTCGTCACTCATATCGTTTATAGAAATGCATCTCTGTAGTGAATTATGTAAAATATCTCGACGACGGATCTTGAGTCGAGAATAATCATTCGCGAAAGGAAGTCGTTCCACTGTAAGAGTCAAATAGTAAAGAAACGGTGACGAATAAAGGCGGATTCGAACGGACAGCCGCGGATGTGGTTTCCGATAAGATATTGCGGGTGTGAACCAGATCAAAAGTTACGATTGCTTTCTAGTGCACTGTATTTTTGCATATTCGTACACTAGAAATACTTAGATTACGTAGCATGTATATATTGATCTACCGTCATGCGAAATCATACTTGGTATTGTGGTACCAAAAACAAGAGAGTAGTACTGCCTTTTTGTAATGATTTTCAACGATTATTTTTGTAGACACGTAAGTAATAGGGAGAAAAATAGAGGAAGGAAGGAAGAAAATAAGGGAAGGAGGGAGGGAG